GCAGAAGTCTTACCATTCTAGATCTGATCGTCCACCGACGGTTCGATTCTGATGTAGCAGCCGGGGGGGGGGGGGGGGGGGGTAAACACACTGCGTATACAGTGTTTATACGTCGGTGAATGGCAAAACCCTATATTGAAAACACAATTCATTGTATTATTTTAATTCGTAGGAGAAAAGAAAAGGAGTCCGTCTCTTTGGCAACGGCTGCGAGGAACTCCACCGAAAGTTAGAAAAACGGAAACATGCCAGGTCTGTGGCCGATGAGGGCGCTCGTCAAACAATCTCGAGATCTCTCTTGGTGAGGAGGAGCGTGTGGGGCTTCGACTTCGGCAACAACCGTGTATAAACCTCTGTGCATGACTTCGCGTAGTGATGCATAATTCACTAGCAAACTATACCTGACCGCTAAACGTATTTTTCCCCAAGTGGATCGAGTCAAGCCTTACAAGTGCGCCCTCTGTCGCTGCCAACTTCCCCTGAAATTGAATCTTCTGCACCGAAATGATCCATATTGCCGGCGATCCTAGGAGGGGGAGGGGGTGGGGACAGGTGGGACATGCCCCGCCCCACCCCAATATGTTTTGGGAGACGCAATGGCGATGTCCCCCAATATTTCTCGCATTGCATATAGATGTTTGTGTTTACCATCCACAGTGACCTTAATTTTCAAAATGTTATTTCCAGCTTGTCATAACGCAAATGTTTTATAATTCCAACACCCTTTTTGCGTGAATTCATCAGTGAACAGGGAGCACGTTCCCCTGTGCCCCTTGAGGCTTGCTCCCCCTCCCCCTGCCGTTCCTCCCCCTCCCTGAGGCTCCCCGTGATACGGCCCCTCCCCGCCCGGGGTTGAGGAACGCAGAAAATGATCGTTTCATTGTTAGAAACACGCTGTTAAGTGCCCTCTCTATAAAATAAGGCCCCGCTAAGTGTCCCATACAGATTAAAATGACCATCAGGCCCTTGTGTCTTTTAGCATCATTTCCCTTCATGTCCCAATTCTCTCAATACCACACAAGATCCAACAAGGACTGCTAATAAGTGATGCTCTTGTTAATGTGAGGCTTGTAAATAATTACTTCACTTTCGTACGCTTCTGTGTTTTTTTTTAAATGTATATATTATTTGTTTTATGAATGTTTACCTATTTTTTAAGTGATTTTTGTGCTCCAGTTTTAATGCTTTTTATGCTCTTGGTCCAAATATCGTTAGAGACTCTTTTTATTTCTTATTGCTGGACAATTTAATGGTACTTTAGTTACATTTTAATAATTAATCAATTTAATACACTAAGCAATACAGGACAATGAGGTTTTCGGCCTATAATGTTTGAAGTAATGATATACCTAAGACAGTGATTTATACATTTCACTGCCGACGTTTTGAGGATTCTGGGTATTTTTTTATTTCTATATGGCCGCAGGCACTCGTCCTCTAGAAAAGAAACGGTGGTCATTGCTTCATTTACCCAGCACCATAATAACTAAATAATCATTTTACTGTTCCAAAACGCGATATTTTGTTTTAGAATCCTTTCTTTCTTCCTTACAAGTGCAGACTTCATGGCTGAAGATAATCGCACTGCCAGAAACACCGGGGCGAACCCCCTTCTCTTAGCGATAAGTGTACTGGGTTCTTTAACGTGCATTAGACATTATACAACACACGGGACCTACGGCTTCACGTCCCATCCGAAGGACGAGCCTAAGTAAGTGCCTTGCTTAAGGACACAAGTGTCCGCGCCCGGGCTCGAACCACGTCACTGTTGCCTCTGAAACACCAGAACATGAGTCCGGTGTTCTTAACCGCTAGGCCATGACACTCCTGCTATCTCCTGGCTGCCCAAGAGCACTTAGATGCTTAAACAAAACTTAAGAATACAGTAAGGAAAAAATTGGAGGTCAGAAACAGTTGTTATACTGTTTTTATTCTATAAAAATTCATAACCTCAGAAAAAGTTTCACTTTTTTTCATATGGGTATGTCGCGTTATGGAAATAAACTCTTCTGTTGTTGCGTAGAAATTAGTGCAACAATAATCCATTTTAAAGGAATGGAATCACATAGCGTACATTTGAGGCGGTGAATGGCAGTTTATTGATAATGCAAGGGGGCACGAATGTTTCGGTTGGCTGTGAAGTCTGTGGGTGTTTTCGCATTTGAAGGACGTAAATTTTCCACGATGTTGTCCCTCAATTTTTGGGGGGGAAATTGTCCAAAATGTTCGTGATGCTTCTCAAAACAATATAGTAATGGTGAAATACGACTGTGTGCGTTTATGAGTTAAACACGATGTCTAACCAGAACCGTTCACTAAGCGTTTATAAGATCATCACAGCTCAGTCCATCTTCTTCGGCGGTGTCCTCGCCGGGTCCTTTAACTGAGCGGAGCCCTGTTTGATGTATTCGGCCGGAAGACGGTGCTGATCGGCGCCTCGTTCCTGGAGGGCGTCCTAGGGACCTGCCTGGCCTTCGTGTGGAGCTACCCTGGGTTTGTTGCCCTGTGGTTCTTCGTTGGTGTGTTCGAGCAGGTACGAAGTTTTATAGACATAAGCATTAATCGAGGTTTTTTTTTTTGGGGGGGGAGGGGAGGGGAGGGGGACAAACTCTCCTTGTGCACAAGATGGCACAACGACAGCAGTCGGATGTGTCCATTCCCTGTCCATGTTGAACAGCGCCCTTGGTTTCAGATAATGCCCGTGCCATCCTTTCGAATTCCCAGCGGTCGGTAAATTACGCAGATTTTTTTTCTGGCTAGGGTAGGCCTATACCTGCCCTTCATTGCCTGTCGGCAAACAGTGGCCCTTCGTAGAAATTGATTTGTTCTACCATGGTATAGACCATGTGACATTTTGTTTACAAAATTGGATGTTGTGGTTACGTCATGAAACATTTCTACAATAATTATGTCGTCCGCAGGCGGGATCTCCACTGATAGCTCGTCAGAGGGCGAAGTCAAGGACAGTGATGAATATGAATAGGGCGAGGGTATATCCCTCTGCATGACACCTGCCAAAATGTCGAACTCCCCTCTGTCTCTGTCGGGGGTTACCACTTTGGAGCAAGTTTCTGTGTACATCGACTGTATGGCTCGCAGCGGGTTCGTTCGGACTCCGTATGCCTTGAGTATCGTCACCATCCTCCCTCTGTCGATGGAACAACTGCTTTTCTGAAGTCAATGAAGGTCGGGACTACTGTCGGGTAATTGCTCTTAACCTTCCTGATAATCGCCTCAGTTGTTGACCTCTTCTCCCTGAATCATGCCATATTTTCAATGGGGAGCGCCAATAAAATCCTACAATCATTCAGACTATATTAACAACAAATGAACCCTTGTCACGACTATTTCTTTAGGGGGAGACCGTGTACATAATCCTTCTTTTTGCTAATGCAATTTTTTTTTTACGGAAATTATTTTTTTTTGGGGGGGGGCTAGACATTTTTTTGGGGGGGGGGGGGGGGGGGCTAAAGCCCCCCTTCTAGCCCCCGTAGAACCGCGCCTGTTCCGGAGGTATGCCGTCTGGGCCTGCGCTCTCCCCCTTCTGCAGTGTCGACTTGACCTTGGCCAGCTCAGTGGCGGTGAGTGGTCCGCCGTCAGTGTTGAGGTTTTGTGAGTATGTAATCACAACGTCATCAGGAAGCTTTGATCGAGCACTTATCTTGACTCGCTCCATCTCCGGAACACACTCCCTCATCGCCTCATCAGCATTTGCTTTGACAAACTGCTCATACCGATCACTTCGGTTGTCTGATTCCTCCAGAATCTGGAAGCGGTTGTGCACCTCCACGGCGTACTTCTCTTGTAGGTCTGCTCTTACCGCAACCAGAGGCGTAACAGGGGATTGGGAGCGTAGGGGCGTGGGGAGGGGGCTTGGGATACGTTTGTCGGCGAATAGGCAACGAGGACGATTTTGACTTGGTTGTTGTCGAACTTGGCAATCAGGATCCTCTCTAAGTGGAGGCAAACCCCCCTCCCCCAAAGAATCCTTCTGGCAAGAGGGCTGAGAAGCAGTCCCACCCATCCAGTAGCTGCCTGCATGCACTGCATTCCTAGCCGATGAATTGACGAGGTAGCTGCCATTCACTCTCTCGAACACAAGCGGGTCCGAGTAATATCTCCCCTGCTTCAGCACTCCAAAGATCTCCAATCCACACTCCAGGCGATTGAGGCGACCTCTTCCCCTGGGGTTTGGGGGCCACCGTCATACTGCCAGGCCGAGACATGACCAGCGCCGCAGCCTGCCGCTTTGCTCCTGTCTACTCCCGGGACTGGAAGTATATGATTTTTGGTTTTGGGGTTCCAAGCCGTTTTGGGGTTCCAAAGCGCATTTTTACTCCGAAAGGATGATAGATAAATGATAAAGTCTTTGCGACCGCGTTGCTTAAATGCTTTTTGATCTGAATGTTGTTGGATCAGTTTTCCCACCGTGAGTGAGTTGTTCTGATAATCATCGTATGCGGCGTCAGTCTGATATCAACAACTTTGGCTCATATTAGATTACATTATTTATAGATTGAAGTAAATAAATGTTTTCCAACAATTTCTCCACGAGTGCAACATATGTGCATTTTCCCTGACGCACGGGTAAAACGAGAATCGGGTTACCAGTAGAAGACAGTCCGAAGACAAGAAAAACCGCAACATTCCCTCTATTGTCAGCAACTCTAATCCTTAACAACACTTAACAATGTGAATATTTGTGGTGTCTGAACGGTAGGGCTATGTAGCTTTACGGTGTAAACTACATCTTTCGCGAGCGTCTGTCGAGCGTTAAAATGCACACAAACGTGAATTCTGTTTGGGTTATCCACGTATAGCCTGATTTTCATTTTGAAACTTCCCCACATTTGTCTGATAAGTTACTAAGTAATAAAGTTGATTACGCGCGGGTACCCGATCCTATAATTTGGAACCGGGTCCTGACATCAGCGGTCGGGTAATTGAGTGCTCGATTCTGATCGAAGCGCCCGACAACTTCCTGAAGGATGACGACGTGGTCTCGCTTGTAGCTGCACAGACCACGGTGAAGTCACCGTCAAATGTCAACGACAGCACCGGCAATGACGACACGGCGATATGCGACAACGGGCTTGGAACAGAAGTCAAGATTGACCCCGAAGGGCGCCCTCCAGCTTCTAGAGACACGTTTCGGTTTGCCGAGTTGCTGATCCGAAATGCGTTCATCATGTTCTATAGTTGGTGAGAACACTATTAGCAACCTCGATTTTGCAAAAGAATTACATTTCTATTCATAAAAACAATTCATTACATCGACTTCCTTCTCCACTAAAACAACTGCAGTGTAAATTTTACACCGGTGGTCACTCTACATGTATAATTGACCGGTGGTGTTTGCGGTGTGAAAGTTAACTTACATACAACATTTGCTTTTGCTGTAAGTTTCAGAAATGGATGGATTTGGCGGTTAGTATTTAATAGCAAATATCGTTACACCGACCTGTTTAAAGTTTTGTGATTATAGATGCTGGAAAAACGAAGAAAAAAACCGCTGTTTTTGTAGTGTGGTTCCCTGACCCTACTTCTGGAGACACCAAAAAGTATTGGGTCACCTGATGATCTGGATTCCTTTTTTTATGACCAGGGACTTTTTAGAGCGAAAAAAATTGCCTATATTCGCTGACGAAACAAAATGGTAGGCCTAAAACCAATCGCAACCAAATGAATTGATTTGCACATGTTTCTGTTTTTGTTTCTATAAAAACTATAACAAGCTTCAGTTTATGCTTGCATCTTAATTATAGTAGAACATACATACATACATATAGGCATTTTTATAGCGCCCCACAAAGATCGGAGCGCTTTACAAAAGCTGACGAATTAATTAAAGATACAAACAAAAAATGCATTGATACGGATACAAAAAAATATACAAGCAAAATAACATATGGCATGATTAAACAAATAAATGGGTTTTGAGTCTATTTTTGAAGAGCTGAAGTGTGTTGGCTTCCCGGATGTTACGGGGTAGGGAATTCCACAGCCGGGGAGCAGCAGCTCGAAAGGCACGATCTCCAGTACGCGACTTAGTTTTGGGGTTATGGAGACGTGTTTTATCAAATGATGAGCGGGTGGCATAGACAGATGTGTTGAAAGAGATGAATTCTCGGAGATATGAAGGTGCCAGAGAGTTGATACATTTGTATACAATGACAAGAAGTTTGAAATTTATGCGTGCTCGAATTGGTAGCCAATGAAGGCGACGTAACAACGGTGCGCTCGGATGGTCACGAGCAGCAAGAAAAATTAGTCTGGCGGCCCTGTGTTGTAGCCTTTGCAGACGAGTTAAGTCACCTTCATTGGCACCGTAAAGCAACGCATTTCCATAGTCAATCCGGGAGAAGATTAGCGACTGAACAGCCATTTTACATGTCTCTTGGTCCATGAAACGACGAATGCGTGATAAGTTCCGGAGATGAAAACTGACACATTTAACGATGGAAGAAACTTGGTCACTCATGCTCAACGGAGGATCGATGACAACGCCCAAGTTACGCAACGATTTAGATGGTTTAATCGTAACGTCGCCAAGAGTCAAAGTAACGTTGGAAAGGCGGGGGGGGGGGGGGGGCAAACCTAGCAGAAGCTGCAACGAAAAACTCTGTTTTTGACTCGTTTAGTTGCAGCTTGTTAGTTGTCATCCATTGCTTAATTTGTCCCACACAAGATTGTAGTTTGTGGAGTGCCACTTCGCATGCACCGTCCTCTCTCGGATCAAAACTCACAAGGATTTGCGTCGCTATACCGAACACCGCTATACAGAACATTCGGCTATATCGAACATCGTCTTTGGCTTCCGATTTTTCTGTGCAAAACGTTCTGAACATTGTTGTTGAAAAATATAAACAGAAAGTAACAATCATAAGTGGCAATCATTTCCCCAAGGAATAGAAGGGAAAATCCACCAATTGCTGTAGGTAGTAAGCTCAAAGCAATGTGTAATTACATAATTCAGTAGTCAGCATGTGTTCAAAACCGTCCTTCAGTAACTACAGGGTGAAGTTCTGAAGTTGAATTCGCAGTTAAACCTGCAAAGATGTGAGAGCCAAGTTATTTTTAGGAAGACATTTGGAAATATTATATGATTAAAGAATTTGGAAATTGAAAATATGATTGATTTACCTTCTCTTCAACAAAACTCGGGGAGTGGGACAAATTGGTATGGTACTTTAGATTTTTCCGAAATTACAATTTAAATGCTTAAATTTTAAGGCTAATGTTAATTAATAGCAAAATAGCATTATGTGCTTGTCAAGACAAATGGAATTACAATAATCAATAAAAGTAAATAATTTGTAATTCATCAACATAGGCCTATGCTTTTTTTTTTTATAGGTAAGATGCTTTAACCACATCCTTCAAACAGCACGAACATAGTATTTGAATATTCGTTTGTTAACGCATTACAAGGAAACCAGGCGCGGTTCTACGGGGGGCTAGGGGGGGGGGGGCGCTGTAGCCCCCCCCAAAAATTTTGTCTAGCCCCCCCAAAAATAAATTCCTTAAAAAAAAAAAATGCATTAGCAAAAAGAAGGATTGTGATGTACATGCGAACGGTCTCCCCCTAAAGAAGAAATAGCCGTGACAAGGGTGCATTAGTTGATATAGTGTGAATGATTTTAGGATTTTATTGGCGCTCCCCATTGAAAATATGGCATGAGCCCCCCCCCCCCCCCCCCCCCCCCCCCCACACTCACACACACCTATTGATTTTCGGAGGCTTAAGTGTCTGGACAAATTAACCGGTCAACATTTCAGCACGCCTCCCTGAAAAAATTCTGGATCCACCGTGCTAGCCCCCCCCCCCAAAAAAATATTGGTTCTAGAACCGCGCCTGAAGGAAACCAAACCAAATAGTATGTTGGTGAATTGGCGATTAAATGGTATACATGTAATAGGAGTTTAAGAGCAAGTACCCCCTCAACGTTGACACCCCAATGTATTATTTTCAGTGTAGGATCTTCCCTTGAACTTACCGGACGGATTTTTTTCTGGAGTCAAAAAGGCATTTACCTTAATTCGCATGCATGGAGCATATCACGTGAGTGACTTCTTTTCCAAAATTGTGTTCTGAAATAAATTTCACTTTTTTTCTGATTCGTGGCTCTGGAGAATTGATTTTTCAAGGTCGGAGTGACAAGTCCGATAACAGTACTCCGTTACCAACTGGCGCGTGTGACTGGGTGTCATTGACTATACTTGGCTGTACAAGGGCGTCAATCGCTTCTGAAAAGTGTGTGTGTGGGTGGGTGTGACTACAAATTTTATATCCTTGTGGAGACACACACACAATAGGGAACAAAACATTGTAAAGGTCTCCACAGGGCAATTTCTATAGATGAATAGGTCTCCACAAGGTTTTCACGAAATAGATATATGGGTTTTACTCAAAAACTAGGAATTTCCAAGGTGGGTTGATTCGTCGCAAATGGAAGAGTTTTACAAAAGGGATATTAAGTGCAAATTTCAGCCAAGGAAACTAATTCTGGTTAAAATAAGAGCATTTTGAAACTTCACTTTCAAAATTGAACACTTTACTACACGAGAACAAAGGAATGTCTCCACAAGGATACAAATTTGAGAATGGGTGTGTGTGTGTGTGGGGGAACCTTAATTGATCAGAACTAAAGCGAGCGCAAGACGCGAAGCCATAACAGCGTAGGGTCGGGGCCCGCTGAAGAGCCCGAACAAAATTTGGCTTATTCTAGATGCTGTGGTGCGATCTGAGGCAATTTCTGACCACTTTTCCCAGTTTTTTTTAGCAAAAGATAACCATTTAAACATCATTTTCGAGTTAAGAGTAATTGAATTAGCTTTACGGAGCTGCAGTATAAAATATAGGCTACAATTTTTATTCGGGGATGAAAAACAAGTGGGGGGGGACAAACGATATAATATCCCCACACTTTAAAAAGTGAGGGGGACTTGTCCCCCCCCCCCCCGGGCCCGCCGTCACCCACCGATTGACGCCAATGTGGCTGTAGAAGCGAAATACTTGCTTCCCGGATATTACAAGGATAGTTTTAGCGCAGGCGAACCAGCAAAGTCGCGAGTGCCTTTAATTTAATGGCTGAACCTCACTCTATCATGCATAAGCCGAGATCATTTCGACAATAAGGCACGTTTCAATTGTACTTTACTTCCGCGTCCAGAATTTAGTTACGATTCAGTTCTTGTTAGTTCTCGATGTAGTGTGGTCAATGTCCTCAACAGAGTTCGAGGGTTTGTGTCTTCTCACTAATCGGTAAGAAGCAATTTATCATATACATGGACTTTAATTGTTTTCTCAAATTAACGCGTACTATACGGACAGGCCGATTGGTCCTATAATTAGGCCTACACCGAATCTCTTCGTGATGGCACATTTACCTGCGTATTAAAAGGATGTGTTGAAATGAAAAGCAGCATATAGATAGCGGGCTTTAATTGGAAACTCGTATCGGAGGTAGTTTTCAGATGGCCGCTTTGAACATCCCTTATTTGATTGCGGATAATACCAGACTTAACATTGAAGGGGAAATTTTAGTCAAATTAAAACAGAAAGGAAATCCAACGGATACACATTGTATTGATTGATAACAAAAAAGAGGAAATGGAGCTAAATCGGAGTCAATAGACATGACACAGTACAGGTAACGTAATTTAAAGGTTGTGTGGGTGATAACGTGTCGTTCAGTTTAGTCATTCATATAAAAGTACAAGCGTTCAATGTTGACTATACGTACAGCTCTATCACAGTTTCCCGTTTCCGAGTCTGAGGGGTATTTCCATTCTCACCTGTGTGGTATTTCCGACTCCGGTTTTGTCTCCGGAACGTCATGAGCGTCAAGGTCAAAATGTGAAGGGTCAAAGCTTGATGGTTTGATTAAAGGTGCAAGCTTTTGTAGAGTATTTTTTTCTTATTTAGCCAAGACTTTCTTGTGTTGTGGGCCTGTTCTAGACCAATCCAGGCATGCTATCGCTTCTTTTACAAAGGCCCCCCTTCAATAGCGAAGACATTGTGCTAGCTATTGTTCAGACAATCTGCTTTTTACAACAGCGAGCATAGCATAAATAGTTTCTCCATTGAAGCTTCCTCGTAGAGTGTACAGCGATCACGTGATCACATGCAGTTTCGTCTTTATTATCAATAACCGGGCCCAATTTTCCAGCAGCAACATGAAAATGCCATCATTAAAACTTTATTTTCGCCAGTATATTTTACAGTTTCATGACACGGTTTGATAGTTGCAGGAACCGTACACGCAACTTGAACCTAGCGTGTATATTCGACAATATGTCTGGGAAGGTTTAATGATTATCCACCTTGTCAAGTAGACCTACACTAGTGCATGTTTGTTGAATGAATTCAAATGGAGAGTTTCTAAAATTGGTTCGTGGTGGATCATGCATTATCACTGAAATTTAGATACATTGTAACACTTCTCATGCATGCCCCATGATTCCTCACTACCAAGTTTTGTCCCCCGCTTATACGTACCTGTTTGTCACCTTTGGCTTCTACCAAAACGCATTTATACATAATTGCTCTGTAAATTGCAACCAATTAAAAACTGAACTTGAATAAGTACCAGAAAATCATAACATATAGAGACTATTCTTTTAACTTGTCATTGTTAACAGTCAGAACACGACATTCAAATGTATGATAGACCCGATCAGTATTGATAAGCTCCCGCGTACGCTTGTATACAAGCATACAATTCACCGTGTGGACTACCGAACAAAAGTTGTCCACATAAACCAGGTAGCAGCGACGTTGTGTGGACTTGCCCACGCCCACACAAGGTTTTCCCCTCTCTGGAAAACAGGTGTAGAGACATTTTTGGGTTAGGTTTATGGGTGGCTAAATGAGGAGAAACACTAAAGGGAATCATAGAAAAAAACGCAGTTTAATTCATTCGCAACTACGCACATGCTTCCACGTTTACAAGCATTGATTTTCGATATATACTGGTGATCAATGTTAACAAGTTTACAGCACGCCAATTAAGTCATAACTTTCCACCACCGATAGCAAACCACATGTTGCGTAATCATTAAACACAGACGCCTTAACTAAACTATAATGAAAATTAAGGTGGGGGAACTGGCGTTAAACTGGTATTTTTGATTTTGTTTTAACCGTTGCATGTCAAGGTTTGTATCCGTGCCTTTTAGCTAATCCAAGTATCATCCTTTGTTCAAGGGAGTGCTCTCCTCTTTTGTATACCCAACGTCTGATATTTTTTTATGCGACTCCTCGAGCCAGCCAATCGGAGTCGGCTTTAGAAATTGTGACGTTATTTCGACCAGAAATATGTGGACGAAGCCGTTAATAGGTCAATTTGGCTGCCATGTTTTGTAATACAACAATGGGTTTACGGAAGACCATATAGACTGGCGCCCACTTAATGATCTTCATCTTGAGGTCAATACGCAGTCTTGTGTTGCAAATCGACGAATCTGCTTGCATATCATAGACATCTGCTGCTGTGCAAGAGGATCATTCCATAGACTGCCTTTTAGCCATGGCACTTCAAAATTAATGAATCGATTTTCACATTGATTTTCTCATTATCTATAGCATTACCTTAGAAAGACATTTGCAACGAGTTATCAAACGAAAAGAAATCAGTTCAAGATAAGTAACAGTTTTTAGGAGACATTATTTGGTAATTTAGGATTTTTGCGTGCTGCTGTAAATTCAAAAAGACATCAATCTTTACAATGCTTTTGAACGACCAAATAGAAAGTGGAAGGAGGTGTCGTCTAATTCAAGAAAATTATAGTTTAGAAACGTTTGAACTATTTCCTTTAATTTCTTTTATAAGCAGGAATATCCAAATACCAAATTTGAAAAAGAGAGCAATGATGCTAATACATTGTGCTCCCACGTACATTTCACACTACAGGTAACAGTTTTTAGCTGATTGAATTTCCAATATGGTGTTTGATCAGACAGTCTACGTATGCAACGCCTCGGCAGAGAAAGTTTACGTGCGGACGACGTACGAGAAATGGCAGCAGCTGAAATTCTCCACGGAGGTCAAACTTCTGTCCGGCACTTCCACCGGAGGCGGATTCAATTTCGAGCAGGCCAGCGACTTCACGGAGGGTTTCACGGCGCTGGCTCCTCACCACACGCTCAAGATGATCGGTTCCTTCTTCTCGGCCGAGGCTGATGACCAGACGGCAGCAGCAGCCGGTGCTGGCGGGGCGGGTGCCGCGGAGACCAAGCGGGTGAACATCAGCCGTAACTACCGGGTGCCCAACCGCCACGCCGTCATAGTCACACCGCAGATGACCCTGCAAGTAGTCCGTGGCGGTGACCAATGGAATAAACGATGCCAGGAGTTCTGCCCCTTCGTGATCCGTAAGTCTACTTTGTTGCGAAACCTGAAACAATAACTTGACCAGGTTTTTGTTTTGTTTTAGAAATGATTGACCAATTAACACACTGAACATTAACTCGTATGGAAGTGGAGCTCCTCCTTTTCCTGGACTGTCGCGTAAGTATTGATGAGATACACCAAGAGACACACCAAGGAGTACTAACCTTTGAGGTGTTTTTTTTCATTGGAGGAAGTCTTTGGAGAGGTTTTTACAGCTCACATTACATAAGGATTTCATCTTTTGGGTGCGGCTATACTCATAAAAAGATTCTTAACAAGACATTCGCTCGTACCCCCGCCCTGCAAACAGGACGCTGGTAAGGGCTGACGTCATTTCAGCTCTCATTGGATAGATTTTGCACGACCTGTGACGTAGAACGCGTCACACAAACTAGCTTCCGGTGTAGCGTGAATATATCCGACTCCATGAAATGTGGACTCATTGGCAGTACTGCGCACGCGTGAGTACGATACTGTGCTATTTTTAGGATCATTTCGGTAGAGTGACCTGTCACGTGCGAGGGATCAACCAATAATAGGGAAATAGGGGTCCGATTTTCATAGGAGTCGAATTTTCATGTGACACCGGTACCCATCATGCGTTGCGCGCGCTAGCTGCATGCAAAGGTCAATCTGTACTTCCTTTACAAGATTCTGTGAAGCTCATCAGCCCTTACCAGCGCCCTGTTTGCAGGGCGGGGGTACTAGCGAATACATGGCACAAATCCTTTGTATTTTTTTAACTCACAGGAGAAAAGAAAAGGAGCCCGTCTCTTTGGCAACGGCTGCGAGGAACCACGCCGAAGGTTAGAAAAGCGGAAACATGCCAGGTCTGTGGCCGAGGAGGGCGCTCGTCAACCATTCAATAGATCTCTCTTGAGGAAGGAGCGTGTGCAGCTTCGACTTCAGCAACACCCGTGTATAGGCCTTTCTTTTGTTTGTAAACATTTGCGCCATTTTGCATGGGCTGCCGTAAGCGCATAAATTGAAGCCGTGGTTGGCAACATAATTTTTCCAAAAAAGTCCTCATAACGCTATCAACACATAGTAAAAAGGCATAGGCCTATGTGGGAATTATTTTGTAGCTTGGTTGAGAATGTTGTATTTTCAAGTATCAAATAATATTTTGATCTGTAATAACTCTTCTTGATTTTTGCAATGTTGGACCTTCAATAGTTTTGCAGTCCGTGGTTGGCAACATGCAGTTTGCCAACCTAGCGCAGGTCTATAAATTTCTGTGCATGACTTTGAGCTACTATTTCACTGGCCAACAATACCCGCCCGCTGAACGTCTTTTTTTTCCCAAGTGGATTAAGTTAAATCTAACAAATGCGCCTTCTGTCGCTGCCACTTTCCCTGCACAAAATTCTTGCTCAGAATTTGGGGAAGACAGAAAATGAGCTCTTTAAAAACACGTCCCAAACGACATCCACATATGGGTGTACGTTATGGCGTTTTTGGACTTAACTTTTATGTAAACATGAGACGAAAATGTAAAATTAGAAAAAAGGGGAATTTGAACGTTATAAAATTTGGAGTTTTTTTCCCTTAAAAAAATCTTTCAAAGCCTCAGGTAAGAAAAGGAAATAAATTCGGGTGCAAAACAGAGATTCGAACCCGCAACCTGGTGCAAAATCCTACCCTCCATTACACTGCTCGCAACTACGTGGGGAAACAAATAATGATATTCGCTCGTACCCCCCGCCCTGCAAACAGGACGCTGGGATACTCTGATGAATTCGCGCTCTGATTGGTTGGATTTGGCGTGACCAGTGACCTGCGCGTCATCAAGGTCGTGACTCTGCAAGGTTTAAAACGGCCGTTAAGACTGTTTTCATTACTCTTTTTATTCCAGTCTATGTTTTTTCTCGTTAAAAAGTGTAATAATGTAGGAAATTCTGTAAAACTTATCTGTGTTGTAAATTTACAATTCCCGTCCACTCGCTCAGACTCCAATTCGAATCACAAATGGTCGGATTGCATTATGCAACGCTGAAAATTTTGTCCACATGGTCCACATGGTCCGCAATGACATCCGGTATGGAATACGCGCAATTCTATAGGAAGTTTTCGGATAGCATTTGCGCGCATTGTCTAACTGCAGTCTTGAACAGCTGCAGCCAGATGCTTTATACATAGGTCATAGGCCATTTCCTTCACAAGATTCTGTGGATCTCATCAGAGTATCCCAGCGTCCTGTTTGCAGGGTGGGGGGTGCGAGCGAAATAATGATATACCTGCGTGCGTATCACAAAAGTATCGTAGAGGGCGCTAAACAACCATGTTTGTTCGCTCCTACCCCCGCCCTACAAACAGGACGCTGGGATACTCTGGTGAATTTACGCTCTGATTGGTTGAATTTTGCGTGACTTGTGACCTGTGCATCATCACGATCATGACTCTGCAAGGTTTAAAACGGCCGTTAAGACTGATTCCTTGGTCTTTTATTCCAGTTTAGAGATTCTTTTCGTTGAAAAGAGTATTAATGTTGGGAATTCTGTAAAACTAGTGTGTTGTAATTGCTCAGGTTCCGTTTCGAATCACGAATGGTCGGACTGCATTATGCGACGCTCAAAATGTTGTCCACATGGTCCGCAATTAAACAGAAATCTCATCCAGTATGGAACGTGTGCATTTCTTGTAGCATTTGCGCACATTGTCTAACTGCGGTCTTCAACAGCTGCAGCCAGATGCTTTATACATAGTTCATAGGCCACTTCCTTCGCAAGATCAGTCTGTAAAGCTCATCAGCGTATCCCAGCGTCCTGTTTGCAGGGCGGGTTCGTACCCCCCGCCCGGCAGGGGGCTACGAGCGAACCAAGTTTGCGGATGTCATTTGGGAGAAAAACATATCGCGGCCCGGTAAGTGTCCCCCCCCCACAGATTAAAATGTCTATTAGGCTCTTTTGTGTTTCAGCATTTTTTCACCTCCCTTCATGTCCGAGCTCTGTGCTAATAAGCCATGTTATTTTTAATTTGAGACTTGTAAATAATTACTACTCTTTCGTAAACGCTTCTGTGATATGTATTTTTACATTGTATATTATTATTTTTTTATGAATCTTTACCTTTTGTTTTGCTTATTTTTTTGTGCTCTGGTTTTAATGCGCTTTATATGCTCTTGGTCAAACCAATATTAACGACTTTTTTGTTTTAATTTCTTATTGACCTGTACAATTTTATTGTATTTTATGGTACTTAAGTTTTATTTTAATAATTAATATGCAAAATATGCAAGACACGAAAATGAGATTTTCGGACTAAGTAATGTTTGCATTAATTACTTACCCTAGACACTGATTTATAAATCTCCTTGCCTTTTTGTTTACTTTTAATCAAAAGTGCACTTCATTAAACATTTAAAATTGTTCATGCTTTTGCAGACAACAGAGGGCGTTGTTGCTGTGATGTCATTTCAGGAAGACACTGTTCAGTTGAGGGGTTTTCTGTTCAAAATGTGAACCCAAAATTTTGTTCATTTCTTGAAAACCTTTCTGAGGAAAGTTTGCCCATTGGCTTACTGCCATGTACTGGCACAACTAGGAATCACACACTTTTTGCTCATGAATATGTAAATTTGCATTAGCATAAAAATTACAAAAGCTCCAAAATACCCTTGAAAATGGAAAACGAAAATTAACAATCAGGTTCAAATGGACACTGAGGTGAATCAAGAAAATGAGACTGCATGGGCCCTTAAAAGATTGAATTTCTTTGGGGTAATATAGGTACCGGAGTCTTATATAGCCCACGTATCTACCAACAATTTGGTACTCGCTGGTAATTATGTCTATTTTTAAGGACAGGTACAAGCAGTTTACCTGTGGGTATCATCACTGCAGTGTTCCAGTGGTTCATGAGTTTAATGTGAATCTGTACAGGATCAAACAATTTTTTTTTGCTTTTTCGGGGCATTTCTTTACCAATATTTTTTTGATTAAAATGTTTTTAATTTTGAACATGTTATTTTATTTATTTGTGATTTGAATGCCCCCCCCCAAAAAAAAGGTTCGAGAACGTATCTTAAGGCTCCCTTAATTAAGTACACACAGACCCATTTGTTGCCAGAAAAAAAATGCTGCCCAGCACATGCTTGGCAACATCCAAGTGGTAGTAAGGGCTCTTATTATAATTACAGAACTGGCCAACTTTGAGCGAACTGTGTGACGCGTGTTCGTACGATACCCATGCCCTAAAAAGCAGTACAGACCCACTGATTGACAGGCATTTTACAGGGTCCGGGTGTGTTCAAGGCACCGGCGATTGGCAGTTGATTCGTGGACTGGTTGGAAGTAGTCCTGACTTCTAATTAGGTGATCCGAGTTCGAATCCCAGTGAGCGTTTTTCACTTCTCATTTTACCTTTTAAACAAAAAGTGAGAAATGAATATTTCTCACAAGACACAAAGCCTATATTGGGTTTGTTTGTGGAGAAAAAGACATCAGGTATGCATGTAATCGGTCATAAATGGTTGCTAAGGCAAAGCGTCTGTCATTAAGCAAAGCTAATCCGTTTACGTACTTAGACGATATAGCAGAGCAGTGAAATTCATGAACCACACAAAACATGGCCTTTTAAACGTTGTATTTATCCGAAAATATGCTATGTGTGATTGAAATTGCAACGGAAGAGAAAACTCTCAGCTTCATGTGAAAAAAAATCACCGTCATCGATGCCGAAACGTCAATACTGGTTACTGGTATAGCTGACCTTCAAGTCGGGAAGACATCGTTCGAAAACTTCCCCAAATCTATACGTATTTATATCAATTTCTAGGAATTTCACGAGTAGTTGAACACATCATCTAAGTATGTTCCGAATTTCAGCTTCTATAATCTGTTGTTGCCAACGCTAGTGTTACACCTTGAACTATCTCCAAGGAAAATAATGTCAACGAGGATTTTCTGCCTGCTCAACCCACGTGCATTGTTCAGCAAAGCCCGTAAACGTTACGGTTGACCGATTTCGGCCAAGCGACCCAATAACGTATGGCAGATTGGCATATTCATTAGCGTCACTCGGCGTGTTTTGGCGTGGGTCTCGGTATCGACCAATTGAAACCAGCAAAAAGGGTGATATTTATCAATAAATAACTCATGAAGGAGGCTTTTCTCCAAATTTGTACTGCACACAATAATGGATAGGAACCTTATTAATAGTCGTGAGGCTGGAAAAGATTGACAGATATTGCAAACGCCAGTGTTACAGCTTTCAAAAATGCACGTTGCCAGGCCTATTTTTTTCCAATTTCAACGAAAAGCAATTAACATATCAAAACGATTTTTTAGCACATACTTGGATCATTATAAGGGAAATAAATATTGAAAGTTGCATGACGATACGGTCTTCCAAACTGGAGAAATTAACTTTTAATGATTTCACCCGCCAACGTGAACATGTTTGTGTACATGTAGTTTCATTCAAAATAAAGTGCGTAACCTTTAGAAATCGCCCTTCACGACCACATGGCTGTAATGGACCTCTCAGAAGATGGGAAACGGATGTCGTTTGGGGGAAAAAATTGCAGCTTGGCCGTGGGTATAGTCTGATGAGTATCACCCGTTATCCACGAAGCCAAGTCTCCTGTATAACGTCTGATATGTCAAAGCATGCAGATTTATGCGATCTCGAGCCTCAGCCAATGGCAGTCGTCTTTACTAAATCGTGACGTCATTTCGTTCCAAAATCAAGACTAAAACTGCGATTGGTCAATTCGAATGCAGTTTTTTGTAATACAACAACAGCCGGGCGCGTGTCGCCTAACATAATACATAGCGTGTGACCGCAGCCTTTGTTTCTGTGTCTGTTTTTTTTTTTATCCATGTCTATGACGCGACAACAATAATCAACGACCCACCAATTATATGATGGGGATTTATTCAAGCGTTGTATAAAATAAAATACTACAAATCAACTTTTCAAACCTGAAGTTGAGTGTGATTGTCGAGCTTTGACTAGGAAATATTGATGGGAGGGGTGGGGATATTTATTCATATATACCAGATCAAAGTTGTGAACAATTTTTTGTCAATATCAATGGAAAATATTCATTCCGAAATTAGCAAAATTTTCAACGTGAATGTTTAACACAGAAAACATGTTATATACAATCAGATTCATTTTATGTCTTCATCAAACAAAATGACCACTGATGGATTAACTTACCACTGGTGGATAAAAGACCACTGGTGGATAAAATGGCCACTGGTGGATAAACTTACCACTGGTGGATAAAATAACATCTGGGGGATAAAATGACCACTGGTGGATAAAATAACCTCTGGTGGATAAAATGACCACTGGTGGATAAATGACCACTGGTGGATAAACTGACCACTGGTGGATTAAATGACCACTTAGGGATAAAATGACCACTTGTGGATAAAATGACCACTGGTGGATAAATGGTCACCGGTGGATAAACTTACCATTGGTGGATAAAATGACCTCTGGTGGATACAATTACTCCTGGTGGCTAAATGACTACTTCAGAAACGGTATCTATTAAACCTTAAACTTCTAGCAAAACAAAGCACCCGAGGATTATGACTTCCTCTCATTGCAATAAACAACATACTGCATAGCCATTCTTTGACATATTTTGGCTGGATAAATAACTCAACATCCTTCACAAATGGTATGCTTGCTCATGAAAAGAAAGTTTATTATCTACGGTACAATAAATTTAATACAATTTGGTCAACCATTCAAACCGGGTAACATTCAAATTTGTATTCACTTCATCACAAATCATCCACTTAGCTATTCAACTGAAATGTGACCAAAGCGCTGCTTTAGCATTGTTTGTGCCCCGATATGTGCGACTTCATATGCCCAGTTATGTGCGTCTCACTGCTGTCATTTTCGGGAAAAGAGGAATTTACCATCATTTCCTCGCGATGGTTAGGACCAAACCATCATGATTTCAACAGAAACGTATGCTTTGCATCAAGAAAATGATGAGACATTTTCAGTAGAATTAAAAAGGATATCTACTCAGCTGAAATTTCGACAGGTTAGTTCTTTTTTAGCCTATTTCAGATTCATTGTATTGTTCCTTGAATCAGCAAAGACCAGTGGCGTAGCTACGGGGGGGGGGGGGGGGGGGGGACACCCCCCCCCATGAAACCTTGTCGCCCCCCCCCCCCTGAGATTTTGAGTTTGGAAAAAAACTCATTGATCTACATGACGCCCCCCCCCATGAAATGTTTCAGCCCCCCAGCGCCCCCCACTGAAAAATTCCTGGCTACGCCACTGACAAAGACCCATCTTAATGGTGTCCATTACCTCCAACTTGTGAATCTTTTGATTACAACTTCTACTTACACATCTGAGTTTCATGAAGCAATTAGTTTCTCAAGGCAATCTGTCATGACCACAAATCATGGATGATTTGCAACATAAATGTTTAACCAATTGAATTTGAAGTGATTTGTTAACACACATGCTATGTGGTTTATCTTTATATTTTAAATATCAGGACAATTTTCAGATAATTTTCAGAAACTTAATGAAGCCAAATTCCACAGAAATCCAAGGGCTTCGTTGTCTAGTGATCATAATCAGTGTAATTTTTGTTTTCATTTTGTTTTGTTTTGTTAGTTGACTATTCTATTTATCTGTTTTACCAGTATTAAATGAATTTAAGCTTTGTAATAAAATTTAAACAGGTTTTAAAACCACTGTTTTTGCATCAGAGCAGTTACTTATAGTCATCAGAAGACGCCAATATTTCAAAGCAATATTTAAACTTCTTCTAAGTTTTAATAAACAGCTACTGACTAGAATCTGGGTATAACAGGAAATGAAGATTACAAAAGCGTGAAAACGTTCCATTCCTTGCTTCTTTGTCTGATGTCTAATTCAGTCCTTTGACAAACCGCTGTTTTTTGTTTTCTCGGTGCTCTTTTCACCGTCTAGGAAATTTTTTTAAATTAATTTAAATTTTTATCGGGGAGGTAAATTGGATCTGCATGGGTTAAGGTTTGTATAAAATCTTCTTGTGTACTATTTCAACAAACAATCAATATATCAGGTTATATGATCCATGATGAACAAAATTCACATTTATTTTTTTTATATTCCTCAACGTCACACTTGTAAAAATACTTGGGTGTTTATCACACGTGTGATCATCAACATGTTTTTAGCCTGATTGATCAGAAGTTTTGTGGGGAGATTTATACTGTAAAAAAAGTTTCCCCTTTTCTGGGATTTGCTGATGGACTTGAATTTCCAGGGAAACATAGGTAGACAGAGATAGAGTGTCTTTTTGATCAGTTAAACCACTGAATCATCGACATCCACAAGTAGGTCAGTGTCTCCGAAGTTCATACAGGATTGCAGGGGTGGCTGTGGAGAAAATACGGTTGAAACATTATTTGCAAAAATAATTTAACACAATAGGTCTGATGCACACCAGTTGAAGCAGTAATGTAGCTTTGGCAATTTTATTAAGAACCCTAACAGAGCTCAACCCATCAAACCCCAACAGCATGTTTTGTTGGAATCTGTCAGGATGGGTACAGTACCCCTAACCTGACAGTCTTTTACATTGGGTTGGCAAACCTCCAGAATCAAAGTCAGAAATATGTGAGTGCAGTTTCCCATATGGTGTTGGAATTTGCCAGGATGGGTAGTTCCTAGTAAAGCATGCTGGGGAGTTTTGGTTAATAGGCTTATTCAGCAAATGTTACAATGAAGCAAAATAACCAGTACTTGTCTGTTGTATGAAAAGCGTTGATTTTATTTTTCATTTTTTACTTTATAATTACAAGAGTTAACAAAGAACTTAAAATTAATTGGAGAATAAAAGCTGTAACCTCTACAATGATACCGTCTGTCATTTTCAACTGGTCCCGAGCACGGTTGAGCTCACCGCTGGGCAAGAGCAATCAGGGGAGAGGCAGAGATGGCACAGGGTTGAGAATTTTGAAGTGTTGAATGTTCGTTTTCACCCCAGCATTGCCCAGTGGCCACCCCAGAAATTTTGTCTAGTGTAAAAAGGCCTCAATACTCCTAACATTTTGACTTTCAGGTTTATTCCTGGGCCACACTGTATGTTATTATTGTATGGATTCCAATATAAGTGCTTTGAACAGAAAATTTTATATATACAATTTGACTCTTCCATTTGAATAATAGGTTTGGACAGCTCAGATACAAAAGTGCGGGTAATAATACGTGGAAATTGCAAGTATCTAGGTCATCTTTCCTTGTGATCAATTGGTTTCAATGATCAATGAGTTTCAGTTAACGATTGCTAAGCTCAATCATGACATTGCTTAGGCCCAAAAAAAAGTCTCCGGTTTCTGGTATAGAGCTTGCCCCAAAAGTGGTGCGGCAACGCGGTTTTTTTTTTACCTGTTTTTTTTTTTGCTTCAAATGTCGGCTGATGACTGCAAATGGTGCCCGACTAAACTTAGTGCAAATATAATGGGAGTCCAGAGAGGCTACATAAAGCTTATTCTCGATCATAACCCCAACTAAAAACACGTTAAAACTGTGCAGCAGCAGGATTCCAGTCAAACCAGTGAGTTTGGCGGTTTTGAGACATCATCTTTTATTGAAAAAAAACCCCCTTTTTCATTTTGCCGACGTGCATGGCTACGGCGACGCGCACGCATACCAGAAACCGGAGACTTTTTTTTTGGGCCTTATAGTCATTTGGTGATTTAAAAAAAGTTAAATAGGTCTCTCTCAAATGACGTCACTTCCTACATTTCAAATTTTGGGCATCAAATTAATATCATGACGTGAAATTTCAAGCAACATGCGCGCGTGTTAGAACATTTTAGACACTGCGCAAACATGCACCAGATGGCGTTGAACACGCAGTTGTAATTTTTGAAGATAGCTGTCTATGAGAGGGGTCTTCTTATCCCTATCCCAAGATAAAACAAGCCAGGGCATTTTTTCTTTTACTTAAAAACTTCTTTTACTTTTACTTTGCTTGCCAAGTAAAAGGTACCTACCTGTTTCTTTTGGCTGACATCCTCGTTGCAGGAGAATGGAGACGTCTGCAAATCCAGCATCTCCTCCTCTTCACCAGCTTCAACATCCTTCTGACTCGGTTCGTCCCATTTGGCTGCTTCTTGGGATGCTCCACCCTTGCAAGCAGAATCGGCATCATCCTGGAGACTTCCCCAGCTCTGAGCAGGCAAGGTTGGATCTGCCCACTTGTCAGCCAAGGCAGGGCTCTCAGATGAACCATCAACATCAGTAGAAGTCCAAGCAGGACTTTCGCCATCTACAATGGAAGCTGCTCCAGCTACGAGAGAAGCATCTCCAACAGCGTTGGAACGCCTAAGGCCAGACCAAGGCCTTTTGGTTGCCTTCTTGCTGGACTTCTTGGAAGAGCCATCAGAACTTGCAGAGCATCCAGAGCCTGCTGACTTGGGCCTCTCTTGGGATGATGAGCTTGCTCTACTGCTGGTACTAGGCTGGTTCTCATCACTGTCGCCATCTTTGAACTCACCAGGGCCGACAGCAAATATGGAAGCATCAACAGCAAGGTTGGAGGTGCTGCCATCATCAGGCTCAGACATTTCATTCCATCTGTTAGTCAGATTGTTAATACTCTAGATGAATTCATCTACTCAATCTGGGGTTACCCTTTTGCTTTATCAGCCTATGAACTAATATCTAAGGATTATTAAAAAGCCTATGTTTTATGTTAATGTTCACATACATTATACATGTTAAGATTAACATGATTTTGAAAGTGCTACATGTAGAACTTCACTAAAACAATAGTCCCTACATTTGGGTTTCGTTTTTTTTACTCACCCAGTATAACCCACACTGTGAAATTTATAATGCATTACCCAATAGTCACCGAGCACCAGAGACTGCCCTACCTATTACTCACTGTAGTGCCTAGGAACACTCTATGGTTTTATTGATGCTTCAGTGAGTAAACACAATGTTATACAATGTAGCACAGAGCAAATGGGTTACATTAATTTCATAAACTAACTGTTTAGGAGTTGTTAAATCTTTTTCTCCACTTAACCCTCCGAGGAGCATAATCACTAACATTAAAATAAATATTTACATAATCAGTTACTTTTGCTTACTTTTTGGCGTGATGCCTCTTGTACACAATGAAGACCACAGCAGCAATGATGAACAGGATAAGAAGACTGCAGACCACACCAAGGGCTACCTTAGCTCTACAGAAGTTAAAGGATCCATAAGATGAATGTTTCTTAGGGACATTTGATACAACTATCTACTGTTCTACTATCTTCTATCTTCTGTTTTAAGTATATAAAACAACTGAGGGAGCAGTAGGTGTGATGTCATTTTCAAAAAGACATGGCTCAGTTTAGGGGTTTTCTGTTGAAATTGTGAACCTAAAAATTTGCCGTTGAAACCATTTGTTAGAAAATTTTGCTCACTAGATTACTGCCGTGAAGTTACTGACACAACAAATCAACGCAGAAAACAAATATAAGACAGCAACATACCAAAACATTCCGGCAACTTTTGGTGCTGTAATAGCTGTAATAATATTATGAGGTTTCTGCCTGAAATGACATCACACTTCTGCTCATGAATATAGAAATTTGCATTAGCATAAAAACAAAAAAGGCTCCAAAATACCCTTGAAAATAGCAAAACGAATTCTAAAACTAACGTTATAAATGGGACACAAAATTTGGTGTATTTTTCAAAGATTGCATTAAAATACTTTTCATTGCATGGGCCCTTTGAAAAAAAGTGGTCAATATATGTCTGTTTGGCTTATTGTCTATAGTTAATTATCTGAAACATATAATTCAGGTTCAGAAACAAACAGACAGTATTGAATACTGACGCCCAATGCAGGTCGTCGCACACCGGATCATTCAGCGGACACGCACACGCAAATCCATCGAGGTGATCATAGCAGACGTATGGGTATTCACACGGTGTGGACTGACACTCATCGTAATCAGTCTGGCAGATGTCGCCCACCCAGCCGGGCTGACAGGCACAGAAGTAGAACTCAAAACTGCTACTTCTTGCTGGGGAGGTACAATTAGGGTCTTCAGTAGGACCTGTAATAAAAGTAATAATAATAATGGTGAATTAATAAACATACGTATCCACCATTATTGGCACTGTAATCTGCTATATCATTATCACCCTTGCTCATTGGGCCGATTAAACACTAAAAACAAATCTCAGCTCCCTGGGAATGATACAGCTCGATTCTGCCATCTTGGTGCAAAGCAGCTACAAGCAATAACAATAACCATCTCTGCTCATTTACCTCCTAGGTTGGGAGAAGCAATGAGCAAAAAAGTATCTTGGCTGGACCCCAGGCTGGACTCGAACCCGTGCAGAATTACCCACAGACCATGAGTTAAGTGCTCCAGATCAGATGGAAAGAGGATTGACAAACACGTTCATTATTTTGTGCAATTAAAGCTAAACATCTTTTCAATAAACACAAAGGAGATGTGGTTGTGAGGTTATGGGTTTCCTTACTTTTAACTCGGTGAATAGTCTACTGCTTGTATTTTTTTCCCTTGAACAATGCTAGTATTTTTTTCATAACAATCCTTTCAAGCCCTTGTCGTTTACACTAGTGTCAAACTACGCACTGATTTAGGAAGCAATTAACCCACCTCTGCAGATGCCTTCATGGATGCAAGGGTTAGTCAGCACGGCAATCTGTACCTCTAGTATCTGAGACATGGCTCCAGACAGGTCCTCCGCCAAGACAAGGAAACTATCCCTGCCGTGGTAGTTAGGGTTTGGAGCATAGGTGTACATGGATGTTGTCCAACTCATGTCCTCCTAGAAGGAGATAAACATCACAGTGAAATGTGAGGGACTTATAGTGGGGTACTTTCAAGGGTTCTTGGTTCAACTCCTTAAGGAAAATATAAATAAAGCCTGTAGTCTATAATTTGTCTTTACTTACCCCGTCATGCGGTACCTCAAGTCCACAAGGGATGGTTGGCTCTTCGCTGTCAACAGAGGGCTCACTGCAGTTCTGGGTTGAGGGTACTTCTTCCGACTGGTGTGTTTCTTCCAGGGTTCCATACGATGGAGGCTGAGTTATAATGGTCAGGTTATCGTTGATGTCAGGGTCATAGGCTCCAAGCACAAGAGTCAGATCCTTGTAGGCGACGTTGGACCCGGTGTTCTGCTCAACTATGAGCTGCCGCAAAAACAAAGCAAAACCTTTGTAAATACGATCTGATAAAAGAACTGTAACAAGCTTGCGTCCATTCACAAGGGTTTACACAACTCTTGGGGAGACTGAGAGTACACATACCCTCTTCCAAAATGTAAACACTGTTTTTCTTTCAATTGGTTCCATGAGAATCTAACAAGCAACTGCAAAGTTTTTTTCATCACTGAGTTTTGTATCTTACCTTGTAGCTTGCTTCTCGCTCAAACCCAAACCCAATTGAACAAACTTTTACCAACATTGACTGCTATTTAACATGATGTTTATGCCTGAGATGGTGAGGTCGTGGTCATGATTATGCTGATGTTTTATGGATATGGATATATTTATGGTTATATGATTTGCATATACTTATGATAAAGTTATTGTTGATTGACTTACCAGAGCATTCCGCCCATTTCCAACAATGCTCCCATCCTGTGCACTGAACAAGGTCGGGTTATCATTGACAGGCTTGACCTCAATAAAAATGTTGACAGTGGTAGACAGGGGCGCTATCTCAGCAAAGGTCTGAACTTCTCTCACTGACAGAAATAATGAGAAACTAGAGTTTCGCGTTTGTTGAGTTACAAACGCAGAGTGGTCGGGCGGACAGCCTTTTCATTATTCACTGCCCAGTTAAGTTAGGAATATATGTTTATGTAGAAAAAAGGATCACGAAATTAAATCACTTCAAGTACAATCAATGTTTCAAAAAAGTATCTTTAACGGTGTGATAAATTTCAGTAAACATTCTATGTGCACAAAAAGTTATTTCTGGCTTGATGACGTCATCAGTCAAAAATGGTTAGTGAGTACTGATAAAGTTCGGAGAGGATAATTTTTCATTGTAAAGTTAAAATAACGTATGAAAATATGGGAAATATAATTGTTCGTATCAATAACATCTAACTTCCGCTTTGATGACGTATTGATAACACCTAACTTCCGGTTTGATGACGTCACAGCATTAGAGATCCAAAGGTGAACATTGTTTTGGATATCATTATTTGGACTTCGAAGATATGACAGGGATCAAATGATAGAATTAAATTAAAACTATGATCTTTTTCAAATTCTCCTTAAAGTAACTTCCGGTCTGATGACGTCATGAATTTGAAACCTTGCCAAGTTAATTGTGGTTAATCAGAGAATGTCAAGGGGCAATTTGGTAAAATTTGGACGGATGGTTTTACGATTAAAGAAGGGAAACTCTATTTTATGTGCCGATAGGGGGCGCCCTTTCGGATGATGACGTCATCACACTGTTTTTTGCGTCTTGCATTCCTCACTTAACACTTTCATAATATATATGTCTGTAGTAAAATCCTTCCGCTTTTGAGTTATATTCAGTTTTTATTGCACTTCCGGTAACACCGGAAGTAAATGTCAAGCGGTTTTGCGTCCGGGAACACGAAATGTTTCCCACGGCATAGTCTACAACCTCACGAAAAAACGAACATGATACTCTATTTAGTTCAAAAGATATAACGCAAACTATTTTGTCAAAATTTGCCCTTAAATCGCTTGTAATTTGATACCTGATGACATCATGATGACGAAACAAAATTTATAACATCTTCGTAACATGGTACAAGTTCACACAAGGTTTTGTGATCATACCGTGAACCGTTCGGAAGAAATGTTGCTTAGTTTTGATGTCAGGCTAACGTCTTCATTTTGAATTCACCTAACTTTGACCTTCCGGTAGACCCAGAAGTAAAGGTCAAACGAGTTCACGTACAAGACAAAAAATGTTTAGCGATTAATGGTCTATCTGATCACAGAATACAGACATCATTGATTGTTTAGTTCAAGAGTTATAGGTGGAAGTAATTGGTCACTTTTTCAGATAAAGTTACTTGTCAAATTACTAAATTTGACACCTGATGACGTTATCATGACGTCATAGTAATATGCACCACTTCGGATGAGGGTCGATATATATTGCAAGTTACAAGTTCATACTATATACCGTTTAAGAGAAAACCCATGGGGAAGTATTGTCCGGAAAAAAGAAAGAGAGAAAGAAAGATTAATTGTAACAGATCCAACGAGTGGTCGGGTTGTGCCCGACCACTCAACAAGTAAAAATAAGTTGACTGGCAAAATGGATAAGATTGAGGATCCTTCTTAAACCCAAAATCCCCCAGTAGTCCTGTAGTCTCCTGAGAACGATCAAAGCATACTGTCGTGTTACAGAACCAGTTCTTGAACCAAGAAAAAATTGACTACCTGGTGCTAACGTGATTTCTTTACAACTTTCCACCACGCAAACCTTCATGTCTTACGTAAGATTAAGAATGTAGCAGTATAAGAGTCAGTTTTTTTCGTTCATTTTGATACCGGCACTGATTTTGTTGTTGTCAAAGTAAAACATTTAGCGTACAGATGACAAAACAACCCTTGAGTGGAAAGGGAAAAGGTGGCTATCTTGTGCAACAGTACGGACGGACACTATATATGTGCACACAATTAAGGTAGAGTGTAAGTCAAATATCTGACTGGACTAGGTTTGTTGTATAAGAGAAAGCATCCCAGTGTGGGCCTAAAATGACAGCAAGTTAAAAAACATAGACTTTTCCACATTAATGTAAGAAACACCGACATACTGGAACAAAAACCTGCACGCACACTTCAGGGGACCATTGACAGTGGTTCTGTGACAGCATTCATCAGACACACTATATACATGTATGTTGGCATAGGACTATTTCCATGGGTATTGCTTTTTGGTTGACAAACTCATGTGTCTGGAACGTACCATCTACTGTCAAATAATATCCAATATTATTCACTTGCAAAGGGATCCCAATTAGTCAGATACCAGCCTCCAACCACCCCCACCTTTTTGGTACCAGAGCATGAATGGTCTGCTGGCAAATTTGCTGTCAACATCTCCCACCCCTATCAATTTGGTCTGGCAACACCCCCCAAAACTTCCCTATTCACACCAAACACCCTACACAGTCTGGTATTGAATATTTACTGAAGTCTCACCAGTGATTTGCAGGGTGGCGGTCCCCTGACAATCCAGACATGGTGTGAAGCTCAGTACTCCATCCTTGGTGATATTAGCTTCTCCTCTCAGGTCTCCAATCTGGTCAACCTCAAAAGCAAGGATGTCATCCTCGGGGTCGCTTACTAGAAGTGTGTAGACCAAAGTACCTGCGGAACAAACAGGTATATGGAAACCAATTGTAATGTAGTTCTGGCAATGAGGCTAAAGTTCACTTCAAATAAAGGAGTGTTCACGCATATAATTAACCAGCAAAAAAATGTATTATTATTTAAAGATCAGGTAGATCATTTGCCATTTGTTCGTTTTGTTTGGGTTGAAGCAATAAAAGGGTCCAAATCTATCGGTGCTAACTAACCTGATGAAGTTTTAGCTCAGTGAATGCTGTATATTGCAAGAAGTTGGCAAGTCATGTTTTGAATTGCGCCCGAAATCAGCATCCAGGACACAATCTCATTCAGCCATCTGCAGCTACGCGATGGGACGCAAAAACCGACGAATAATAACGGCCGCGGGCGCGTTGTGTCAACGCTTGCACGCACCCGTTCACAGACTTGCCGAATTACAAACCAACCTGTAACGGATGTTTCCAAAGATGCCTCACTTGACACATCTTTGGAAACTATTGTTTTCTTCAAAATGACAGCATGCCAGAAAGAATAATTTCACAGGGAGTTTACTGCCATTAATTACTATCTGTAAAACAAGTACGCTTCTCAACAATAATTTTGTCAGTTACTTTTTGGAAAGCTGCAAATGATCTACTATTCTACTCTACCTTTAAAGGCTACGCATATAGACAAACCTTGGTCCTCATTCATGTAGAAGTATTCAGGCAGATCTGAGATTTCCGGCGGGTTATTTGGGATGGCAGTAGTGACCTGAGCCAGTGCAAAATGGGTCTCACGGCTGAAGAAGGGTGGGTCTGATGCCTGGCGTCGCTTGCGTGTCGCCTCTGTGGGTGATGAGACTGATGGAGACCTCGTAGAACAAACCTAGGAAGAACACACATTGCTTTGTCACATAAAAAGTCCAAATAGTAAATGAATTTATGGTCTGGTGGAACCATGAACAGATTATCTTATTTGGTGTTTCTACATCTGCTATCATAAACACAAACAAAACATACTGGATCGTTTACACTTCTTGCATTTGTTCCGATAATAACACCTCTCAAAATCCAAGGAAAAAATGTTCAGAAATGAACCTGTTGAAGTTTCAGCTGAGTGGAAATATGAGTTTTTGAGAAAATGGTAATAAACTGTGCACCACCTATTGATCACAGAACACGATTTTGTCCATAGCATTCTTCTAAAAATCTGTCAATTGACTGGTCTTTGAAAATCACCTACATTTCTAGATTTCTGCTAAATGACATCAAGCCACATGGAATAATTTCACAGGGTGTTTGTAGTACCTGAACACGATCTTTAATCCAAGTGAACTTTAAAAAAAATAATATTCCGGTAGGTTACTTTTGGGATAAACACGAATGATTCTATGTGCCTTTAACCAGTTTGCGCCAGAGGTCGTGTATACATGCAAAAGTTGTGTGATATTTGGAACGGATGACAGCTAAACACGCAGGGAGTGAGGTCGGAAATATTTGTCAGCGACCCACTCGCAGCAAGCGAGGCTGGAAATATGAGTGTACTGTCTAAGCAGACCTGCCAACCTTTGGGATCGAAAAACTGTATTCTGAATCTCCAAAAGTTGTATTTTTCTTTAAAAACTGTACTTTCCAAATACGAACAAATAAATGTGGCTGCAATGCTCCATTTTAAATAATCTTAATTCAAGTTATAAAAACAAATTACCAGAGGTCTCCCTGCGAGTGGTAAACTCAATCAATTTGCATGAATAAGGATATTGATCATATACCTTATTCATAAACAAACTGCTTTAAAAACTATTCAATGCTAGTCTACTTAAACATAAACTAAAGACTAGACTTCCTCATGTTTGAAATAAATAAACCTATAACGCAGGTGAAACATTCATATGACTTCCTAGTATAATCTAAACTTATTCATGTTTTATCACGTCGCCGCTAAGTGCCAGTTTGATTCTTGAATCATAATTCACGTGCGTGCATGCACTGAATGTTAAAAATAAGTTTTGTTTTAAACTTGGCCTGCCCGAAAAAAATTTTTTCTTGCATTTGCTGGCTGATTTATTTGGTTCGGTTTGGGCTACCTGCTTTAACTGTTGCTGATTTTTTAATTCGTTTCAGAACGTAGTATCAAACTATTCAAAAATATTTGACATAACGGGAACACCACGTGCACGCACATAGTGACTATCATACAAGAACGTCAAAGTGTATTCTGTGTATCGTGCGTGCACTGAGACAAAAAAAGTCTGTTGACTGCACGTGAGATCTGCCGTACGTACTCCTACTAGTATGTGTGTACGAATACAGACATTTATTTTTGCGGCGGGGTGCCACTGCTTGAAGTATCGGCACTCCGGGAATGGACTGGTTCTAGTTTGTGATACTGTGTACATAATGTACATCGAACAGTGGGAACAGCGAAACCAGATTCAGTTCGTGCATGCAGCACATCGTTGCTTGGCTGCTTGCAATTTACGTTGTTTCAGCCAATTTTATCTGGCAGAAATCTACACTCACAACCGCTTTGAACTAGGATTTTTTCAGGCGTTTCAAATTGGTCATAACCCGTATTTTAGTATTTTTAACAAATTCCCATACAAAATAAGGCAGAATCGTACTAATTGGCAGGTCTACCTTAGGGTGATGGCTTCAACCTGCCAGGCTTGAGGTCGAATGAAAAGTAATCCCGCGCTTCGTTCTGTTCTTGTCAAAATAATCCCGGCATGAATTGGTTAAAGGAATTACCTCAACATTGATTTGTGCTCCATCATCAGTGTAAGTTATCTTATCCACTTCACTGCATGTCTTGGCTGCATCTCGCCATTCAGCGTTATCTACACAAACAAAATATTACAGCTATGCCATTCAGCGTTATCTACGCAAAAAGTATTACAGCTGTGACATGTTTTTGTTCACACATTTGCACCCTTAACGGAGGTAAGTAGAATAGTTGGGACATGTCAAGAAGAGCACAGGCTGATCAAATTGAGAATCCACACTGCTCTCCCAAGGAAACAAATTTGGAATGCTTTGGATAAACTTTTACTTGATATGTGCACATCATATGTTCACTCAAGAATAGCCTGTTTCAGTGGTGGAACCATTGTTTTATTTGTATTAAAAATGTATTTCAAAATGAAAGTTATATTCCAATTTTGTAGACATGATACCCCAAAAGGAATCACTTATTTGTTGTATACTTGTATACAGTAGTTTCTTACCAACATCCCAGTAGATTAGTCTAGCCTTTGTGTCTGTCCAGTTGCCCAGTGAGCTGAGAGTAAGACTGATGACCAATGGTCCATGCAGCTCTGTCTGCCCAAGACTGGTGATGTAGAATGTTGGTTCATAGACAAAGCGTACCCTATAGAATGCAGCAGAAAAACAATAAGTCATTTATTTGCAACAGTGCAATGTGCGCAAATCTCTGTTGTGAATATGTGTGGTAATAAAAGAACTGGTTTACATTTTACCGCGTGAAACAGTGTGCTATGTCTGTCTTCAGGAAACTGCAGAACTATAGAGTGTCCCAAAATGCCCGCATCAATTTTTTGTGAGGCTCTATAGTATTGCTGCGGAAACACGTACCGCCATTATTTTTATATAATTTTAAAGCTTGGAATCTTCACTTTATCCCTGCTAAGTATTGGTTTGATTTTTAAAATGGGTTGGGTTTAAAATTAGTCGTGTTCAAATAAATAATTCAACCGTTTGCAAGGGAAAAAGAATCTGATGTGGAAATGCTTCATCATGTTCATCATGTGACGATCTTGTTGCCTCGTACTTTCTGTGTTTCCTTTTCTTGTCCATCCACGTGGACTACACGTTAAATAAATTCACAATGTTTTTCTTCATTTCAATTTTAATGTGTATGTAATATAAATCCACTGTTTTTTGTGTGTGTTATTTCCACAGCATGTTGACTTGAGTTTGCATCTGATGTACCGCATCATCCATTATTCTCCTTGAAATCAGTTGAATTTGATTTTGACATGCTTTTATTCGAAACACAAGTAATTTTCAAACTCTTTTAAATATCAAACCAATACTCGCCAGGGGTAAAGTTAAGATTCCAAACTTTAAAATGGTTGAAAAATAATGGCAATACGTGTTTCCGCGCTGATGCTAGAGCCTCGCAAAAAACGTTTCGGGTAGTTATCGGACATGCTGTACTAGAGATGCAGAGTTTACATGAGAACATGGATGGTCACTGGAGCAGGACTTTCATGGTCCAGAGTATACTACTTGAGCTCAGGCAAATTAAGTATAAACAAAATAATATGTATACATACATTTATAAATATCTCAGATCAATATTCAATTTCATTTGCCCAAGTAGTTCAGATTTGTTCAAACCAGAATGCAGAGCAGTTCAACATATTAATTTGAATCATAGATGTTTGAATGTACTGATTCCACAAAGTTAGTAAACAAGTACCCTCAATAGTCCAAGACAGATACTAGATACTTTAATGCATGAATCCAAATCCATATCATTGCGTGTATTCCATGGGAATCCACACTAAAATGGCTGGTTCGATTTTAAGCAAAATGAATGCGATTTTGTGATGTCCAAGCAAGGTTTTCACAGTGTTGCAAATCCATAAAAACATTTCCTTTCACTGCAATTTGGCTTGACATCAAGTTCACTTCACATCCACATTCTTGCAAAATCTGAGCTGGCTCTTATAAGCATGAGTGAATCATGTGCAAGCATGCACTGTGACCTCTGCTTATGGCTCTTAGCAAGTAGTTACACAGTATCAGACTATTCATAAATGTACTGATTTCCACAAAATCAGTTAACAAGTACCATACTGTTCCTGCAAAGTGCCATACTAACTTGTATTTTTTAATGAATTCTAAAACATTCAGGACATACAAAATTTATTGTTTGTCAAGTAATTTATTTTATTCAAAACTGACTTTGGGGAATCAGGTAGGGCAGGATTCTAAAAGGCACCAAAATGGGGTTCATTGTGTTTTTGAAAGAAACTCTTCAAATGGCAGTCAGACCAACCTGTGCCTAAGCAGTCTTGATGTGTACTGGATGGTGTTCAGGGGATTAGTGATGTAGGGTGTATACTCGAGCGGAGCGTCTGATGTGAATTCCTGGTTGGTTCTATTGACATCCAGGAGGCCTAGGATGAGTGAACCACCCTGGGGTAGACCTGCAATACAAATCAAGTTTGGAGTTCAGTCTTCAATTAATCAGCAGTCCATTCATTTAAGGATTCTGTGCACAATTACCTGCTCAATAGTTAAATAGACAGACTGATAGGGGACACCACAGGGATGCACTGGATGTGTCTTGATCCACTGGGTCTCTCAAACATGTTCACAAAGCATTCATGCAAGTCCATAAGGTAATGTCTGTATAACACACTGTCTGAAAAACAGCCTGCAAAAAGCAGGTGTTCTAGCACACATGGGCTGGTTTATTTCGTCGCTGACGCGCCACAAACTTACACCTTGTTTGACCCCCCACCCGAATCCGCGCCTGAATAGCCCTTCTGCATACACAATACAAGGCAGACAATGTTTTGTGTGCCCTAAAGAGCTAAACGTGTGAGAGTAGTCCTGTACGTTTCCCACGGCGCTGGATCACATAATCTGGATTAAAACAAACAGGTCCGAAGTACAAACATCAACAAGGAAAAACAAAGTGGTCACCGTGACATTGTCTACTTCTTTGGCTAATACTAGATTCTGTATTGCATTGTGCATTTGGGGTCAGGTCATAGTTTTGCTTCACAGGCTGAGGTATTCCTGCTACTGGTAAGCAGTGTAATCCTGTACAACCTGTTTGCGGTCAGTTGGTCTGGTGCCTAAAGTGTCTCAAGGATGCTCAGTTTATGCAGTTGTACAAGAACAAACGGGACAAATCCGACTGTAACAACTATCGCGGGATCTCCTTGCTGAACGTGTTCGGGAATGCTGTGGCTAGGCTAGTGCTCAAGAGGCTTCAAGTTCTGGGTGAGCTAATCTACATGGAGAGTCAGTGCGGTTTTAGATCAAGAAGGTCATTGATTGACAAGGTGTTTACCCTTCGACAGCTGCAAGAGAAATACAGGGAGAAGCTTGTGAACCTCTACACCGCATTTGTGGACCTCACAAAAGCCTTCGACATGGTAAGCCGAGCCAGGTTGTACAGAGTGCCGGAGAAAATTGGCAGCCCACCAACGTTGCTCAAGATTGTCTAGTCATTTCATGACGGGATGGAAGCCTGCGTCTCTTTCGATGGTGACATGTCGGACAGTTTCTCTGTCAGGTGCTAAGTAAAGCAGGGCTGTGTGATGGCGCCATATGTCTCTTCAACATGTCTCTACAATATCTACACCATGCTTTGGATGGCAACATTCTAAGAGTCTACTTGCACAGACGCTTTTAAGGCGGGCTTTTCAATGTGCAGCGTTTCCGAGCCAAAACTAAGGTGTCTCGCTCCACTGTCACGCACCTCTTGTTTGTTGACAATGCCACGCTCATTGCTCATGCAGCAGCCGATCTTCAGACCCTGCTGGATCGTTTCACTTCCTACTGTGCCATTTTCGGACTCATGATCAGTGAGTCAAAGATAGTCCTTATGTGTCAGGAAGTGGAGAGCCAGGCAACACCTCAGGTGTTCTGAGCAAACGGGAAGATGCTAGCAGTGGTGGATGAGTTCTGCTATCTCGGGTCCTTCATTTCAAGTATGGCCAGCATGGAAGCGGACCTTAACAGATGCATTGGACAAGCTGCGGACTGCTTTGGACAACTCACGAGGTACGTGTGGGCAAACAAGAAGCTTAGGCTGAAGACAAAGATCGCAGTCTACAATGCGTGTGTTCTGTCTACACTGCTGTATGTGTCCGAGGCCTGGTCGGCTTTTGCTTCGCAGATCACCAGGCTCAAAAGCTTTCCACCTGTGCAACCTGAGGAGGATCCTGGGTGTCAAGTGGTCGGATTGAGTGTCAAATGCGGAGGTTCTACAATGCACTCAATGTGCGAGCGAGCACACCATCCTCACAGTGCGTGCCGGCTCAGATGGTTCAGACATGTCTGTGCGATGCCACAGGACCTTCTTCCCAACAGAACCCTCTTCTTGAGCCCGAGCTCAAAGAAGACCACATTTCCAAGACTGCGTGCAGGACGACCTGCAACACTGGCAGATAGAGATGGAGAAGCTAACTACTGAGAGAGGAGCATGGCGGAAAGCGGTCCACGAAGGGGCAGCTGTGGCAAAGAAGAAGTGACGCAAGGAGGGATGGACACGCCGGAAACAAGAGAACCAAGGTGCGGTGGCACAATCCTCATGTATGGTACGCGGCCAACAAGCATTGCATATAACATGATTTGTACCTACCTCCCTTTGTAGCCACAGTGAAATCAAAGTGGTTGCCTATATCCCTCTTTCTCCTCCTCTGACCTGTCGATGATTTCAGGACGAGGTCTGTACCATTGGGTGACGTCATCATCATATCACTGTCCTCTAGATAGATCAGAGAGCAATACCAAACAAAATTGTAAATTGCAGCCTTTACCAGCAGTACATGTGAAGACTTTATTTCTAAAATGCAATTTACGCCACTTTATTATCTCTTCGAATTCTGCTCTCTCCTGGCAGTCCACAATATCGGAAGACAATAAAATGCAAAATCAAGTTTAGAAAAAGTTGTTATACTGCTTTTAGTCTTTAAACTTTGATAAACGGCCAGATTTTGCTCTCTTTTTGTCAAATGGATATATCACGTTTTTGAAATAAACCCTTCATAAACTGACATTCAAAGTTGCCAGTATAATGACCAATTAAACAAGTGAACTTTGTCTGGCTGCAGTCTGGAAGTCTATTAGTTTTAGAGTCATGCTGGTTCATCACAGTGCTCTATAGCTTCTCATCCTAGAGGATATACTGACCCAGTATAGTGCTTGTTCCTGCTGGTGTTGTCACGCAGAGTTTGGCCGCATTGCACACCTTCAGCCAAGAATGGAGACTCCTGCGCATTAAAAAGAGAATAAATGTGAATGCAATCAACAGGGATTATTTCAAAGAAGGCAATTATTAATGTTGGCCATGGTAGTGATGGTTCAGCAGAGGATATATGTCTACAAAATACCCACTCCACGAATGGTAAGGTAAAAATCAAATAACTTGACACACTGCCTGTATACACTTACTTGCCAGGTTCCATTTTGAACTTTGGTGGGATGTCAATTATCTGGGTGGTGTCCTTGGGTATCTGGAAGTCATCCAGCTTGTATCTCTCCTCCCGGTGCCCGGCTCGTATGATAATCAATCCGTTCTCGATGGCCACGGAGCCGGAGGAGTTGCCTCCAACCACCATGCAGGGAATGATGTCATCTAGGAGGTTGGCGGAGCTACTCACGCAGTACTCTGGGGGTGGAAGGGGCATGGATGGTCACAGTTAATTAAATGATATGATCTCTATGAACTGTAGATGGTGTTGGGTGACTATCATGAGAGCTCCAGTGTGAGGGACACAGTGAGTGCATGTACAGATTCAGGGCGAGACTAATTTTCATCACTAGTAAATTTTCATCTGGGGCGGATTGCAATAACTGCTCTTAAAGCTGTCTATACGCATAATAAGACGATCTTAAAGCTCTGGCTGTCAGTTGGTCTACACCATTGCAATGACATGGTCTAAGTATTAAGACAATCATTAGGCTGGGTCGGGCTGGCTTAAAGCGGCTGTAGTAGGGATACAACTAATGTGCATTTCAAATGTCCAAAACCAGGATTGCCTTCACATGGTGGCAATGACATTCAAGTGTTCATTACATCTGTCTGTCTTTCTCATTGGTGATGGGAAACGTATGCACTGATTGCCTACAACATGATTAGAGGAGCAACAGTTCAACTTACTGGTCCTGCGATGATTTGTGTCAAAGTGGGCAATGAAGTAATATCGTGGTTGTCAAACTCGGTCCAAGAAAAAGTAAAAAGAATCACTCTCTTCCCCAAACAAATCAATGTGACTAAATCATTTGACAGAGCAACACATTTTGCAAAAGTCGTACCATAGCGAGCCACAGATTTATCCTTGGATTTAGACCAGGAGGTCCCAGTCTTGGTTGGGTCGGTGCTCTTCTCCACATCGGGTGGGTACACTTCCTCCTTAAACTTCTCGCTGAACATGGAGGTGGTGTTGACGTCATCTGCAGCAGGCTGTTCCAGCAGAACAGTTACACCTGAGAAAGCAGCCAATGTTCAAGTCACATATTGTGCATGGTGTTATGATACCATTGCTCATCAGATCTATGTCATGTCGTTTATTTGTTTGTCTGTACGTCAGTCTATCTCTACCTACCATCACATTGTACTATGGTTTCTAAGCCTGCTCCTTTGATAGCCTTCAGAGTCACATAGTAAGTAGTGATGTGATGCAGTAATCCTGTAACATCACTGTAACACTGTCTATGTGTTTGTCTGTACGTCAGTCAACCTCTACCTACCATGCATCACATGTTACTATGGTTTCTAAGCCTGCTCCTTTGATAGCCTTCAGAGTCACATAGTAAGTAGTGATGTGATGCAGTAATCCTGTAACATCACTGTAACATTGTCTGTGTGTTTGTCTGTATGTCAGTCTATCTCTACCTACCATCACATTCCACTATGGCTTCCAAGCTTGCTCCATTGATAGCTTTGAGAGTCGCATAGTACGTAGTGTTGTGATGTAGTAATCCAGTCAGATCAATGCTAGTAGCTGTCTGGTTTAGCCCAACGTTGACAAAGTCCTGCAGGTCTGTGGTCCCTCTGGAGGTTCCTATGGCCCAGTAATGCTCCTGAAAGTCAAAGTTTTCCAGTGCCGGTTGAAACATCATTCATTTCCTAATCTTCGTAACTGTATACCATTTGTTTTGGGCTAAGACTCACAGATCTCAAAGGAAAAACTATTGAGCATCTTGTGTTGCAGTGTCCAGTCATACTAACAAACACACATACCGGTACATGCTGTTGTCCTTCCTAGTCTCTTTATGGTCTCTTGATGCATTCTCTCACTTTTGACTTGTTAAATATCAAAGTTCCATTTTGGTTTACATCATTAGTACTACATCCCTTTGTTGCCATATGGCAATACCCTTCGTGAGCCACCCTTTGGTCTCCATACTCATGATAAAACTTTTTTTCAGAACGCTGCATTTCGAACTGTTAAATATATCTGTTGAGCTGAATTTTGTATGTGTCACGTCCCATAAACATTAAACCTGAATCTGCAGGACGATTTCTTACAAAGATCAAAATTTGGAGAAATCTCAAATTTTCTGAAATCATGAACAAACCTTTATTGGACCTTCTGCAACTCCACAGATCATATCAAGGGGCACCACAGACAGGCCAATGTTTTTTTACTACATTCACCGTAATGTAAAGTTGTAGACTGCTCTTTGTCTTTAACACTTAAATAATTGAATTTTTAATGAGTTAGGAAATTGTGCATATGCATGGGCATGCAGACCTCCAAGTCAATTATTAATTGTGACAAAGTGTCACGCAACTTAACAAGGAGAATTTTTTTTCTACCTTTACGCCACTCTCCATGTCCAGGAAGCTCCACAAGACTTGAATGATGGAGGCCGAGGACTGGTATGATGTGGGCTCAAACTCATTGAAGTTGGAGTCGGTGTAGAAAAATATGTCCAGCTCTGCTGGGGTGTCATCGATGTAGAAACCATTGGAGGAGGCTATCACTGATTTGCCGTTGCCTAAGTAGGATTGGACTGTCAAACATATCAGAACAAAATCTTTCACCACATATGCTAAAAAGTTCTGGCCCGAAATGTGCAAAAGATCAATGTGTGATAGAATTCTACACACACTGCCCACAATTAACCCAAACATGCAATGCGGGCTTAGGTCATGTGGCTCATGACCTCTGTATTAAGAAATCCAGTAATTGGAGGAAAACTTTGACAAACAAATGACAACTGGGTTTGTAACCAATCAAAATAAACTTTACATGAATCAAAAGGAAATTTTATTCTCTTTACAAAACCACTCCCCCACTGTACTGCACCTCGACGTTCGGTTGTTGAGATATGTTGATTAAACAACTGGTAAGACATCTCTCAAAAGGAGTCATTTTCATAATGAAAAGTTGATATAGGCAAACGGACATAAGCTCAAATACGCGCATCACTGCATACACACACTATTACAGAACACACGTTACACAACAGGCGCGCACATTTATATACAATGTACATAATACACGCGCGCGCGTGTGCCTATGTGGCTAACCATGGGCTGACCATGGACTAACTAATCAAAACACTGACTGGATAGATTTTTCAAGCGAAAATGGTCGTCGGAATTTATTGTCCAGTTAGCATGCTTCTTATATCAGCGTTAAGGGAATTTTATTAACTTTATGAATGTTGTCACCCCAAGGTTGCTGAACTTTTCGTTTTGACGCTGTGGTAAAAAACACTAGGACATGCGTGCTAAAAAACTAGTTTGCGCTTCGTGATGTGTAGTATTGAATAGGAGCGCAAAGCGTGGATGCGTTTATTTAAACTAAAATGGTCGTTATTGGCCGAGCACTGTCATTGCCAAATTTCATCCCTATAGAGAGCTGAAGATGTCTTCTTTCATATTCTGATCACCCCAGATTTGTACGTTGCCTAGTTTTAAAGATATGCCTGTTTTGGTGTCTCAACAACGCACGCGCACATATACAAAGCGTGTACACGCAGTGTTGCGATGAGCAAATGTCCAAAACTTTTCATTATGTGCTCCTCTCCATATACCCTACATTTTTAAGGGAAAAAAGTGATCATACTTGTTTTTACTTTTCCAAGCAAAACATACATAGACTTTAATCCAGAAGAATGAATTTTCTGATCTGCAAAACTTGTGCAACGTTTCTGAAAATACAGGGTTTTAATGGAAAAAATGGGCTTCCTTTTGGTCTGTTTTCCTTATTAGAGCTTGTGTAGAAACCTCTGGTCCAGCAGCTGATGTGTGCTACTTTTCATTCAAAGGCACCAGACTAGATATAGCTGAAGTGACACAAACACCTTTAGTTGATAGAGAAAGCCAGCACAAAAAGATGTAAATAGTTTTTGTGTAAAGAATGTAATGTTTCTGTCTCTGGATAGTGGATACTAAAATTTAATAATGCTTATATTACAAACAGAAGCAAATAGTTTGATGTTGAATTTGCAATTTTCATAATGGATGTGCAACACACGGGTTATTTTACTTCTCACATCTAGGTTCGTATGTCATCTCTTAATAATGCAAGATTTTTTTTCCATTTGGATTTAACATCGTCGAAGATCAAACACACCATATCTTCTGAAACTGATTTTTGTCAGTGAATGCTTTGACTTTATATCAGACAATGAACTTAATACTGAAAGGAGAAAATCAAACATGAGATTTAATGTATAGGAAACTGGGTCCTCGCGACAAAACACAGAAAGAATTTTTTGTTAACTTCAACAACCGAATAAAAACACAATCAAATTTACACCCAGTTTAAGCACTCCCTCAGAATATCTAATACAAGCAATTTCTCAGCAAACCGGAAGACTGCAATCAATACTATTTCCTTATAACTAAATAGGGTCTTTTGCTTTTCACATATTATTAAAGGTACAGTCCATCATTTGCAGCTATATCCAAAAAGTAACTGACCAAATTACTGTTTAAAGCATACTTGGTTTAAAGATAGTAATTGGACTAAACTCCCTATAAATTTATTCGTTCTGGCAAGCTGTCGTTTTGAAGAAAACAATGAAAGAAGGCCATTTCCAACGATGCGTGTAAAGACGCACTCTTGGAAATCTCGGTTAGCAGTTCGTTTTTTTAATTTGGCGAAGCGCGTGCAACCATTGACACAATCTAAACACAGTTGCTATAATTCATCGGCTAAGTGCACGACATTGCGTAGCTGCAATCGGCTGAATGAAAACGTGTCGTGGACGCTGAATTCGGGCGCAATTCAAAACATGACTCGGCAACTTTTGATTTGAAATCCAGATCCTAGAATCTTGTTTTTGTCAGAATATACAGCATTCACTGAGCTAATACTTCATCATCAGGTTCGTTGTTAAGCACCCATGTTTACATTTAAGCACTTTTGTTGCTTCAAACGAACATAATGCACAGATTACAAATAATGGATGCTACCTTTTATGAGCTCACCTGTCAAGAAGAATGGAAACTCTTGTCCCTCTTCCCTAGGAGCAGGTGTAGTTGCATTGGTGTTGTTATCAGAGCTGGTCCAATTCAGGAGTTCCAGCCTGGGCAGAGTGAGGTTGGTGAGTGTGAATGTGATGGGTGCAGCGTCCATGGAACATGAGGGATCACACTGGTAGCGATCACACGGATTGATGCAGGGGACACATGGCTCTGCAACCTGTACAACATAGAGGCAGAAACAGTGACTCTGCTTTATAGCTATTCAAAGTCTGGGTATGGCTGGCAAGATTCATCTTCTGGTTGTGATTTTTCAAACACAATGCAGAAATAAGGAAGGTGAACATAGTTGTAATCTAGTCAGTCATATGTCAGCCACAAGTCATCCTGTCTCATGCACGGTGACACGCTATTCAAATGAACTGTGACAGAGACATTCATTTGTCACTGTCATCTCTGAATTGTAAGTTGTGACCTGGCTTAAAATTCTCAATTATAAAGGCTGGTTTATACTTCACACAAATGTGATGAATGCAAAGCGAAAATGACATCAGGAAACATTCGGTACAGAGATACCGGATTTGAAGTGTGTTATACTTTCTTGAATTCACACTCCGAATACTTGCCATGATGTCACAAATTTGCTTTCACTTTCACGTCAAGTACGAACCAGCCTTAACTCTAATAAAAGGCATCACTGACGATCATGACCCCCCCCTTTGAAAAGAAATCTTTTGAAATCAGATAAACCTGCCCAAACTTTATGAACTGACATAAATTTTGCTTCGTAGTGGTTAGCTAATCCACAGTTCATTACCATGCAGCCTTACCTCCAAGAGCGTCAATCGCTTCTCGAAAGTTGGGGGACATACCTCGATCAGAACTAATGTGAGCGCGGAGCCCTAACGGCGTGGGGTCTAAAATATTTTGGATTCTAGACGCTCTTTGGTGCAATCTGGGGCAATTTCTGACCACTTTTACAGAGTGAGGATGTTTTGATAGTTTAAACCTCATTTTCGAGTTTGGAGTCATTGAATCAGCTAATCTGAGTGACAGAGTCAAATGTAGGCCAACAATTTTTATTCGGGGATGATAAAAGTGGGGGAGGGGCGGGGGGGGGGGGGGGGGGGGGGCAAATGATATGATAATAACCCCATCCCCCACTGATCGACGCCCATGCTCACCTCTTCAAATGCAACAATATCTGTGGCCCCTGCTTCAGAGCCGATACCAGCAAAGTAGCGTGAGACAGGACTGGTTCCAGCCCTGAATGGTGCCCCGTACCGACACAGCTTGCTCTGATCAGGCGGCATCCTATACATCACAAAAAAGGACAGAGTATTCCAATGAATGGCACGGATACACATGCTATAGTACTGTTAACCAGCAGAAGCAGAAAACCCAATGAAACTTGTAGTTAGAACATTGAAGAGAACATTAGACAGACCTCATATTTCTGAGTGTTGCCGAGACAGATGGAGGATTGAAGGGGTCCAGTAGCTCAGCGACGTAGCTGTCTCGATTGAAGACATGAAGGATGAGCTTAGTGGATGAGGACAGGACAGGTATGCCAGTCACTGAGGACAGCAGCTTACCACCAATGTAAACTTCAAACGACCACTCATCCTGTGACGAGGAAAAGGTGGAATGATAAAGGAAAGAGTCTCCTTTTTTTAGAAACTCCTCAACTGAGCTCAGAATCACTGTTCAAAATCAATGCTAGCTCACAAAAAATAAAAGCAGTAACAGTTGTGATCAAAGGATAATAATATCATTAACTTTTACTATTTATCTACCTCCTCAGCATCGAAGGGCATAACCTTGAAGTTGATGGCATAATGACGTTCCTCCACGGAGGGGTCAAAGTCTAGATCTACGACACTGGACGACATCGGCCACTCATCCTTGAAGTAACGGCACCACAAGACTGCCTGCGATACGTTGCCGTCTGGCAAAAGAAATTCATGACAATATTTTGTGATAATATCAAACTTAATACAAAATAATGATCAGCTGGAGACTTCTTGGATGGATGTGACAGGAATGCTTTGGCCTCGCATCCATCCATCTGTTTACAGTCCGTCTATCCCCAACCTCGAGGGTTGGACTTCATGATGATCATGTCTACTTGGCCGGATTGCCTTCTTCCAATCTACACGGTTCAATGCCAGATTGGCATTGATTTGTAGACATTGCAGGTCTTTGTTGATGTTGTCAATCCATCTTTTCTTTGGACGGCCACTTTAGATAGTTGCCAGCGATCTGGTAGTCGAGAATCTTCCTTAAACCAGTTGTCCTCAGTCGTACACTAAAGGTGACCAAAGCAGGCAACAACCACCTCATCAACTCATGAATACAAATCCATAGACTGCTGGGGCAGTTTAGGGCAATCTAGTGAGTAATAGGCAATTTGGTTTCAAGCGTGGTAGTGACTAAAGGGTTATCACAGAATGCTTGTGTACACTGTTCATGGGTTACAGATGTTACAGTCTCAAACTGAACTCAGAACAAAGTGGTAGGAAAACAGTTTTTCAAGGGTTCAACATGATTATTGTGCTCAAGTCTGGACAGCAATAATCCACAGTCACAGGCCAATCAACTTACTTGGATAGAGTTGCAAGCCGCATGCTCTCTGCTGAATCCATCTCCCCTTGTCCTCGTCAGAGACACTGTCTCCATCTTCGTCTGGTTCCTCAATAGACCAGGGTTTATAAGCCTCTGTGGTGAGCAGTGGCTTGGTGGCTTCGGTTGTGGTAACCTCTTTGACAGTTGGAACGGCATAGGTTGCGTTATAGTCCTCAGTGACACCCAAGAAGTCTGCACAATCGCACAACGGGCAGGCAGACTGCGGAAAGGAATGTAGGCGATAAGGCCAAAAAAAAATAAGTCGGTCTCTGGTCAGCGCGCGCGTCGATTTTAATCATGTGCGTCAATCTTTTTTTTTCCCAAAATGTTCTGCGGTAGCTCCAACAGCGCCCTCTATTGCCGCACCTCCTCATTTTTTTTTTTATCAAAGAGCACCATCGAATGGGAAATTGCACCAAGGCAAATGATCGAGAGCACCAAGTCAAATTATGGAGGACACCAATGTACATGAGGACACCAAACCCCCCCTCCCCCCCCCAAAAAAAAAATAGCACCCCTCCTTGTCTGTACAATCCAAGCTTGAAGAAAAAAAAGGAAAAAAAAAATTAAAAATAAAAAAGCCGCGTCCCCGCGTCAATTTCGGAACTTTGGTCTGACCAGAGACCGAATATTTATTTTTTGGCCTAAGAAGAAACCATAATTTCATTTTCAGTGCAAGTTGTTTTGGGTTGTTATGCGGCTTTGCAAAGAGGTGAAACTGCGCTTTATAGATGGATGTGATTGCGGATTGTCCAAGCCTTTATTACGAGCTGACGATCAAAGCTCTTCTGCCTACTTTAAATATCAATGCAAGTGAATAAGACAAGGCCCCATTGTGATTGAAATACAAGCAGAATACGGTGAGCGAAGTCGGCTCCACAGAGTTTTAGCTGCCCACTGCTGCCACAACGGTTACGGGGCTCATGAGTTTGTTTTTAAATCACATATTAGATAAAATCTGAATCAAGTTATATATTTTCAGTTTTCAAAGTGATATCTCACTGAAATCCACACAGACCACAAAGAGACTGTTGACTTATTACAATATTCCAAATCAAATGCAGCATATTGTTCTCTTCATTAAATCAACTGTAGATGACAAGCGATATACAAAAATAACAAAACTCACCAAGGTCTCTGACATATCAATTTTGTACTAACCTGGTTGAGAGGCTTGATATAGCAGCACTGACATATCCCTTCTTGCCAGTTCTCCCGTCCACCAAAGTCATATTCCCCGATGACTCCATCCGGGCCATCCCAGAACAGAATGCTGGTCACACTGTGCAGGTCAGGCGAGGCAGCTTTCAAGTCAAACTAGAAATCCAAATGACAAAATAACACGTTGAAATCCAAAAGACACTATTCTTATTAAACAATTTTGTTTTTCAATATGGAGGTAAATATAGCTACCTTGTATAAACTCCCCCCCCCCCCCACAGTAGTGTGGTTGGGGTCTACGAGCGAATACTTGCCTGTAGAGCGAATACTACATATGCATTGTTCCCTATGCCGGCAGGCAATTTGCTAAGAGTTTTACACAATAGCGCCCTCACGTGTCCTACCCACGACGCCCTGTGACATGTGCACTACGTTAGCGCCCTCTTTTTCTCAAGCGTTACTTGCGTAAGCACTCAAGGAATCGAGTATAGTGGGGAAGGAGGGAGGGGTGCTCTACAGGTAAGTATTCGCTCGTAGACCCCAACCACACTACTGTGGGGGGGGGGGGGAGTCTACATCACTCTACTTACCTGTAGAGCGAATACTACATATGCATAGACTCGCACCGAGTAAGGCGGTGTGTATACGCGAATTACCGTATGTCTACAGGGGTGTAGGACATGAGGCGTGTCCAAAGGCAAACAACACCAACCAAAAAACCTACACCCCAGACGCTCTAGGTTTCACCTCGTAAGGGGAACCCAAAGAGCTCGTGCGCAAAAAGTCAGGGGGGTGTAACCATTATGGGGATGAACCCATGATAGGTACACCTAATTAAACTTAATGCCCATACAAATATATATGTATATTTATATATTTATATGCTCACCCGTTAGTGCTTCCGTGAGGCTCGACTGGCCGCCAGCAGCACTTCTCTTCCAGCCTTGCCATCTGCCTGGAGGACATCCTTCAGGTAGCATTCGGAGAACGTATTAGGGTTCTTCCAGCAGGCTGCCTTGACGATGTCACCTAGGGGGACACCCTTAAAAAAGGCCCACGAGGTGGACACTCCCCTGACCTCATGCGCTCGAATGGGTCCCTGGGTCGCTGGCCAGCCGCCCGGTACGGAACGGATAGCTGTCACTATCCAGCGAGTGATTGTATCGCGGGACGCCGGCCCATGGGGCGGGGTCGTAATGATGAACAATTTGTTGTGTCCCGTACGAAGTGACTTCGTACGGTTGACATACCACTTAAGTGCTCGAACTGGGCACCAAAGTTTGTCGTTTGTCTCGTTCGAAAAAGACTCGATGTCCGGGACAAAGATGTCCGGGGGCGTAAAGGTCTGCGACTGGTTCTTTGCGAGAAAACCGGCCGTAGGGATCAGGCGGACACCCCCCGGTTCCCACCGGATGTGTCCTGTCTGCATCGATAACGAGTGTAGTTCGCTACGTCGTCGGGACGTAGCGACAGCCAATAGAAAAGCTACTTTGATGGAGAGTTGTAACAAAGTTGAGCAATTCATTGGTTCAAAGGGAGCCTTCGCCAGTGTAGATAATACACTGAAGAGGTCCCAAGATGGGATTAATGTGCGTACTGGGGGACGAGTATTAAACATCCCCTTGATCAGTTGGCTAATTGCAGGGTTGCCGGAAACGGAGGAACCGTCCGAAAATCCCTGATGGATCACGGCAACGGCCGATCGATAATTTTTGACCGTGGCCGTCGTGAGCCCACTGTTAAAAAGGTATAGGAGAAAATCCCCCACTTCCCCTACAGAAGTATTGGGGGGATGAATGGATTGCCGTCTACACCATTTAAAGAAATGGCGTAGTCGGCTATCGTACACCTTTCTGGTTGAGGCTCTACGGGACTAAGCTGCAATTGTTGCAGCTCGTCGCGAAAGGCCTGCTGAGCAGAGGGATCGCGTGACAATACCCAGCACGTCAGGTGAAGATCCCCCGGAGCCTGGTGACTGATTCCCGAGCTGGGCTGATAAAGGAGATCGGCCCTCCTCGGTAGAATTACCGGGCGGTGAACCAAGAGTCGGACGAGCCGGGGAAACCACGGCTGGCGGGGCCAGAACGGGGATATGAGGAGAATACGGCAATCCTCCTGCTCAATCTTGGTCAGCACTCGAGAAACGAGGGAGATGGGTGGGAAGGCGTAGGCCAGCCGCACCGACAGTGCATCGGTCCGCCACGCGTTGGGATCTGGGCCCCTCGCGCAGTAGATCGGTAGCTGATTGTTCATTCGCGACGCAAATAGGTCCACATGCGGCCGGTCGATTAGTCTGAAGATCGACTGAGCCACCTGTGGGAGCAGTGACCACTCTGTCGGGGCGATCCAGCCTCTGGAGAGAGCGTCGGCTGTGACGTTCTCTTCCCCCGGGATGTGTACTGCCGACAGTGCTATCCCGTGATGTATGCACCTGAGGGTGAGATCCCACGTTAGTGTACCCAGATGGCCTGACTGAGTGCCACCCTGGTGATTGATGTATGCCACCACTGTGGCGTTGTCGCATCGTACCAGGACTGCTTGCCCTCTGACGTCCGACTGGAAATGTTTTAGTGCGTTGGTGACTGCCAGCATTTCCAGGATGTTGATGTGGGATGATTGATGTGCGGGGCCCCACACGCCCGCGACCTGTCGCGGGTGGAGGGTAGCCCCCCAGCCGTACCCTGACGCGTCGGTTGTGATAAGTACCGACAGGCGGGGCGGGCGGAAAACGCAGCCCTGCGATATATTGGCCTCGACTAGCCACCAACGAAGGTGGGGGACTAGCCAAGACGTAGTGGGCACCGGATGGTCGATCGGGTGCCAGCGGGGTCTGTAGAAAGACAGCAGGTGAAGTTGAATTGGCCTCATCCTCAGCCTGCAAAAATCCACTAAGTCCACCAGACTGGCCATAAGGCCCAACAGCCTGAGCCAGGCTCGGGCCGGAGCCACTACCGTCGGGAGGAAGAGGGACACGCACTGCCGAAGGTTCAGCAGGCGGTCCTCTGATGGACGGGCCAGTCCCCTGCGAAGATCGAGGGATGCACCTAGAAAGGTGGGAACCTGAGAGGGGACTGGGTGGGATTTCTTGGTGTTGATGAGAAATCCCAGGTCGGAAGCAAGGTGCACATTAGTTGGAGCGCCGCTTCCGTCTCCCCTCGAGAACAACCCACTACTAGCCAATCGTCGAGGTACATGAATATCATGATCCCTCGTCGCCGCAGTGCCGCCCCGATCGTCTTCACGATCCGGGTGAACACCCGCAGAGAAGTGGATAGCCCGAATGGGAGCACCACAAATTCGTACAGTATATCTTTGTATACGAAACCTAGGAATTTGCGGTGCTTCGGCCTGATCGATACGTGAAAATACGCGTCTTTCATGTCTATACTGGCCGCCCACGCGGGCGTGATGATCGATTCGAGAATGGTCCGTAACGTTTCCATGCGGAAACGTTTCGGACGTATGAACGTGTTGAGGGGTTTTACGTTCAATATTGGACGCCATACGCCGGTCTCCTTCTTGGGGGCCAAGAAGAAGGTTGACATGAAAACTGCCCTGGTCCCCCCTTGGGGAACAACACGAACTGCTCTCTTTAGAAGGAGGGCGTCAATCTCCTCCTCGAGGGAGCGGCGTTTTGCTGTGTCTGGCGGTACGGGCATTGTCCGAATAAGCATGTCCGATGGGGGGGGGGGGGGGGGGGGGTCCTCGTAAACTCAAGCGCGTAACCGCTGCTGATCGTTTCGAGGACCCACCGGTCGGAAGTCACCTGCACCCAGGACCCCACGAACTCCTGAAGGCGGCCTCCCACAGGTCCAGCGGCGGGAGGCCGTTCGGAGACGCATAACTCATTTGCACCATGCCCCGGTGTACCGGTATGTGGTTGTGAATAACGCGGGCCCACCATCTTATCGGCGCGCCCACGAAATCCACCACGGGCCGCCCTGACTGGGGGGCGGCGTCGGGGAATGACAAAAGAAGGTTGTTTCTTTGTCTTGTCCGCAGTTTTCAACTCGGCCGGTTTCTTGAGATTAATTATCTCAGTGGCCTTGAGGCGCTTTGCTTCGGCCTCCATGGCCTCCTGGAACTTACCAGAAAATAAGTCCGGGCCTGAAAGCGGAAGTTCGTCGAGATGCTTACGTGCTCCCGGTGACGGGAGGAAAAGCGCATCTAGCACATTGGCGCGGCGTGACGATGTTGCTAAGGTCGACACTCTAGCAAACTGGTCGAGAGTGGAGCACAGGCCGCGATCGAGGCAATGGAGAGCAGCCACCATCATGTCGGCTGGTATCACCGAATCTTCTTCATATCCCAGTGCCAGGTACTCTGATAGGAGAAGAAGAAAGGACGTCGCACGCATACCCATGCGTGCTGCCGAGTCCATTCTACGGGTGACATCCTCCAGTTTTCCACGGGTCTTGTCCGTAAAAGGAACTTTGGATGAAGCTGTCCCTCGGTCAGCAGCGAGTTTGTCAATGGCTGAGTCCGGCAGGACTGGAGTTGAGAAATATTTCTCAAAATCCCCTGGGGGAAAATGATAATACAAGTCTACGCGCTTAGCGTAGGCACTCCATGTCTTTGCATGCATTATCCCATCGATGTGGTCAACGCACACGCGGTCCAGGGGCATTGTGGGAAACGCCCGGACCGGTTCTGTCGTCGGCCCCGATCTCTTCTTGAATGACTGACGCTCAGGAGGAGGAGGAGGTTCGGTCCCAGCAGGAAGATTCAGAACTCTGATCATATCCCGTTGGACCAAGCGGATTTTTTTTATTTTTTTTTATTTTTAAATTTTTTTTGCGGGTCAGCTCGCTCTCGTCCGCCGAGTTGTCAGAGTACGGGGGCGAGTTGTCACCGGGGAATGGGAACCAGGCCCCGGGGGCGAAGCAGCGCCGTCACGGTGTCCCGGTATCGAGCCCCGCTTGGACTCTAGTGACACCGATGGGTGTAAACTAATACCGGGCGGTGACGCCGGTGCACGGCTCTCCGTGCACGGCATTGTCCGCTGGTCTGTAGTCACCCCACCACGGCCGTGATGACTGGCGGGTGGGGGCTGTAATTCTGGAGGGGACTCTGGCGCACGGCTAACCGTGTGCGGTATGTCCCTTTGGCCCGGAGTCATCCAGCTGTGACCGCAGTCTCCCTGTCGGCCCGACAATGAGGCCGCGAGGGAGTGAAAAGCCTCCAAAAAATCATCACGTGAAATCGGGTCGCCACCCTTGTGGCATTTCCCACGGTGTGATCGACCCGATGACGGCGAGAACGGCGGTACTTTTTCAATTTTTTCTTTTTTTGAAGAATGACTCCGAGTAGTTGCCGAGGATTGCGGGGACACGGGGATGCCCGAAGAACGAATAAAATCCGATGTAGAGGCATGGCCCTCCAAACGTAGCGTTAACGGTTAAAGGGATTCGGCTCTACGCTATCAATAGCCCGGGCGGCCGACAGCGCCCCCACGCCGGTAACATAGGCGGGTGCTGTACGGTCGATTAGCCGGCCATATAACAGCCCATCCCCAGGCATCGTGGTAATCACGGGGCTGGGTGGGCCTGGGTGCACTGAGCCATGGAGGAGTACTTCCTCCGGCTGCGTGTGCCACGTAGACGGGCCAGGGACAGGCACGGTGCGCCCCGTAGCGGGGCCACCTTTTGCTGTACGTCCCTTTTTGGGTACTGCCCCGGCGTCAGACAATTTCCTTGTCTTGCCGGTGCATTTCCCCTTCAGTTGGGCGGACCTGTGAATATTGACCGAAGACGGTGGGGTTGTACGGCCCCCCGCTTGGTCAATGGGTCCGTCAGCTCCGACAGCCAGCAGTGGCTGAAGGGGCCGACTAGGGGACTGCTGCCGCGGTGACGTACCATCACCGGTGCAGTCCCCCGAGAACTCGGGCTTGTCTGGTGGGATGTACGTCCCTCCATTATCGACACACCCAGTCCTCCCCAACTTCCTAGATTTACTCATTTCTTACTTCACTTTCACTCAAATACTTCACTAGAACAACTCTACAATAAACACTTTCTCTTTATTTCTTCTAAATAGCTTTCTCCAAGCAAAAGAGGTACCAATAAAATAGTGAAATTCAGGTCGATTGAAATTCCACGTTAAACCTCGCCTGCGGCTAAGAGAAAAAGAGGACGCTAAGGTAGTGCGCATGTCACAGGGCGTCGTGGGTAGGACACGTGAGGGCGCTATTGTGTAAAACTCTTAGCAAATTGCCTGCCGGCATAGGAAACAATGCATATGTAGTATTCGCTCTACAGGTAAGTAGAGTGATGTAGACTTTTATTTTTGGGTTATCCCTTCACCAACATAATTATCAACCCCCCTCCCCCTAAATACCAATTGTTCAAAAACCCAAGTTTGAAATCCATTTGAAAATTTTGCGAACTATTCATGGATTTCCCTGAAAAGTACTTTATGATCTCAACTTTCTGGATAAAAATCACTGAATAGACATCACTACATGATTTTCATTGAAAATGACTAACCAGAGAGATATTATTGGACAGGTTTTTTGGGGGTTGAAATATCTCTGAGAAATCAAGAGACAGTAATTGGCAGATAGAAGTAACTGGTTAGACATGACTGAATACAAACCTCTAAAGGTAAATCAACGGATGAATTAAAGTCACTCCAGAGAACGTACTGGACAAAAAATGGTAAGCAAAAAACAAATCACCTTAGTGTAACATTCGATAGTTGCGAGCTTTCCTGCCAAACATGAGACTAAGCGGTTGCAGTTATCAGTTGAGAGTTACGCGGGCAGGCCCTACACGTTCGTGCAACACAGAGGTAATTTACGCGCAGTTTGTGAGGTAATGTATGCAACGCAGTGCTCATGAGGTAATTCATATGCAGTGCAGTGTATATGGACTAAGCAGTCATTTTTCTGGACTGGACACGTGGCCGTTCTAGACCAATGACATTACAGCATTGAAGACACGATTTAACAATGATATGTATTTTATTTTGTTACACTTGATCTAGTGAGTAGAGGACTGACCTCATATTCTGAGCTCCTGACAATCTGTGCATTGGTGACGTATGCTCCAGACAGCATACGAGGCCCTTGAGTGTCTCGCTCCATCTTCACTGTCAAACTCTCCTCAGATGCAAAGATCTGGGTTATCAAATCACCAAAAAAAGGGGGAAAATGTGAATTAAGCACAGAACCATCCACCAAAATGGCCAGGAAAATGCCGCAAAAGTAAACTCTCAAATCATCTTTTGGTAATTAGAAATTCCTTTACTGTTGTCCTGAATTTTGCACAATTTCTCCATCATTAAAAAACATGGGCTTGGCCTCCACAGTCACAGGGGACGCTGCCCCAACACTACAGTGAAGTCACAACATGGACCATCAGCTCTAGAAACAGAAGGATGCCTACCTACCTACCTAAACAACAATAATGTTGCAATACTAAACTACACCAACAGTTATTTATCAGCTGTTAGCATGAAATATTTGGTATGTCTTTTGCAGTGCCTTTTGTTTGCAAAAGATGGTGAAAAGATTTCCAAGACGATTTTGTCAGCCTATCTGTTGTGACTGGAGGGGGAGTGCGGCCTTGTAGTTAGGGTTCGTGACACACGATCAGAGGGTCAGGGGTTCAAATGCAGCTGCTGGCCATATAACGTTGTGTCCTTGGGCCAGCCACTTCACTTCCACTCACCTTTCTCCAGGCAGGAGTATACAGGGGTACCAGCATTAGCTGGGGAGTAACCTGCAATGGACTAGCATACCATCCAGGGTGAATAGAAATGTTCTCGGTCGTTTGATTCCACTAAAATTGGATATAAACGTAGGCCTGATGGGTCATATTGGCATGATTAGTTAACAACCATTGGATTTTGTGTGTCTAAATTGTTTTTAAATCCTGATAATTTTCAGTATGCAGTTTGTTCATTTCATTTCAGAAATGTGTAATGCCTCCACTTAGTAGTTTTCATGTAACAATTGTTTTGTTTTCTAAAGTGCTTAGTCATGTGGAAATAAATGTTTCTGAAATGAAATGAAATGAAATGTGACACACTTGACTTGACTTTACCTGTTGTGACTGGTACTCCAGTTCCCAGTTCTCCCTGTTCATGCTCCAGAGTCCCTTGAAGTCCATCGCTGACCACTGTGGATCAGTGAAGGGAATGTCTCTCAGCGGACAGGGTGGGCCCACTGGGTTGGGCAAGTGTAGGATTGTGCCTGTCAAAGTCAAGTCAAAATGTGAATTATAGATTTTAAGTTATGGATTAATTTTATATTAGTCCCAACCTCTCTTTTACTTAAATAACCCCATTTATATTTCAATAGCCCCTTCAATATTTCCATTTACCAGCAACTTGGGTTCTGTCTCCGCTGTCAGTGAGGTCCATCTTGAAGTCCATTCCATCAACCACCAGTCCTGCAGTCGGCTCAGACAAGTCAACAAAGATGGGTCCCACTTGGGTCTGGATACTATCTCCTGCCTGGTTGACAGCTAACAACTGGACAAAGTAAGGGTGGTTCATCTGGAAAAGAAAAGCAGATTTAGAAGTTGAATTAAAAGGAGTAAAAATAGTGATTTACATTCAATATGTTGCTTTAACTCAGTATAAAATATATCCTATATACTTTTTTTACAGAAAACATAACAATTTTAATAACAGATATGCAAAAATATGTTGCCCAAGATCCAAATTAAAAACACATGCATTAAATCCCAGTACAGAACTGTTCAGTAGTGTAGCGAGAAATGTTTCATGGGGTGGGTATTATACAAATATTGAGTGGCTAAGAGTGGAATGGGAGGAATATCATCATCAGGTAAAATCTAGAATTTTCTGTTTCACGAGGTGAAATAATTTTATGGCATTGCTGAAATTTTCTTCCTAGGAGACTCAACAATACAAATGTCACTCCACAAAACAATCAGCATGTCTAGGAGGTGAGGTACCTTTAAGGTTTACGCATTTTTCCAAATAAAAGTTAAGACAATTTCTCTGCTAATGTTTCAGCAGCATAATGAAATCAGCCTCTGTTCTTTGTGAAACCTACTGGTTGGCAAGGACATTGGACATTAACCCTTGCACTCTGACAGCCTGTTGACTTTACAAGCAAAATGTGCAAATATTGAAGTGTTTTGGATAGTGTAGCAAAGCAAGGGATATGGTCACTAGTATTGTTCATGCTTCACTATTTCTCAAATTTCTTACCTGTAGGTTCAAGTCCACATATGTAAAATCTCCAATATCCGGGCCGAGTACCAACCAGTCCTGGCCAGGTACCGGCATCGTGTTGTTGTCGTCTTCGACATCACATGACGCAGCTTGCACGAGACGTATGTTGAATGATTTGATTCCACTCTCATCATCCCTGAAATCCTCCCATACCAATGGGATTGACTCGATGCTGTCCGTGTATGTCACAGGCTGCAGGGAGTAAAAAGAAATGGAGGAGTTACAATGCTCTGATGAGTGTACAATGTGAGTAGAAGACTGGTCCACCACACAGCCATACCAATGGGATTGACTCGATGCTGTCCGTGTATGTCACAGGCTGCAGGGAGTGAAAGAAATGGAGGAGTTACAATGCTCTGATGAGTTTACAATGTGAGTGGAAGACTGGACCAGCACAGAGCCATACCAATGGGATTGACTCAATGAATAAACTTAACATTGTTCCAGCAAGCACTTACCATGCCATAGAACGGTCCGGCACGCAGTCGACCCTCAACGGGTGGAGTGATATCCACAGAGAAGTGACTGGTAGAGGAGTTACACTGACCTGCTTCATTCATCCCTGAAAGTAAGGAAATGGGTAATGAAACGACAGACAGAGCGTCACAAATAGGTTACTACGTGGGCACATATCTGCAGTATTTGGCACAAATTACAACTAGAAAGAAGAAATTCTTCAAAATTATCATCCTCAAGTGGACGTATGTTATAATCATTGATTTGTAAATAATTTTGTTTTTAGGCAACCATATTTTTGAATATCCAGCAAATTTTAAAACTTCTAATACATTTTTATCTTGCACGTCATATTTCAAGTGTGTTCAACAGTGGAATTTGCCGGTTTAGATTGCTTTTGCAATAGGACTGTTTGTCACTCACCCACAACAGTGACATAGTAGGATCCTTCCTGCGTCAAATTCAGACCCTTGACATCCACAAAGGTGTCTTTGCCCACAAAATACATGGGCTTCTCACTGAAGGTAGCCTGGGATTGCGCCGTCCCCAACAGCATATCCAGGCAGTCCATGTCTTCAGGTGGGATGGAGGCAGGGGAGGGTTTGCCCAGGCCGACGTAATAGAGCAGGATGGGGAAGGTGGACTCAAATTTGCCCCACTGGAGCTCCACCTCAGACAGGGAATTCACAAAGTCTGGGATTTCAACCTCAGTCACTATAGGTGGCAAAACAACAACAACAAAATATGACATTGAGTTGATAATGCCAATGCAGACAGAATAAATTCCTAACCAAAGAATACAAAGTTTTACGCATTGTATAAATCAGTGGAAATTTCTGAAAACTTATAAACATCAGTTTCCTTGGGAAGCAGCCTTCGACCCAATACAGGGTGGTTCGAAAAAAAAAAGGACACCCACTTTTGACAGCAATTTTAACCTACTTGATGAACTTATTTTAAATATTTTTTTCACATAAAAGTGGTAAGTATAGGCCTTTAACCATGAATGGTGAATAAAGCTTAGTAAAAGTCGCAAAAATAGTGATATTATGCTAATTTGAATACAAGTCAGTTTTGCCCACGGATTATTCTATGTAAATTTGACGTTTTTGTAGTTCATAAATATTAAAAAAACTTCCAACCAAAAATATATTTTGCCCAGGTAACTTTTATTGAAGCTGTCCAATTATTCATGTCAGTGTTAAGATTATCTACTCAATGAGCTGTCGGCTTAAGTTCATTGTTGCATAACATTACATAACATAACAATCAAATGGCATGCCCTTTCAAATGTTAAGATGGGCTTCTTGTTAGCGCGTTTTTTTCAAATGATAATGTTCAAGCATGCATTGGTGCATTCTGCGTTGAGAGTACATGTAAACCTCTGTGGACACACAGGTTTCGCATATGAAATGTTCAAATTACCATAACTCAACAACAAAATGTGCAAATGCAACGATTTTTGCGTCACATTTGCTTACAGGTCAGTACTTTAACAGCTACTAATCAATAGTTAAAAATAAATTTTAAAAATAGGTGAAAATTGGTGTCAAATGTGGGTGTCCTTTTTTTAACCACCCTGTATGTACAATCTCAACAGCTAATTAATGGGGTCATTGGAAACACAGCAACAGAGTTGATATTTACCAATGACTTTGCTGTCCACACCAACGTTGATCCCAGTTGATGTCACCTCTGCCGTGGAGAAACTAGCGCTGTGTCCCCTGACCGTCACGTAGTACGTAGAGTCTAGGGCTTTGAGGTCAAGATTTCTGAAGGTGACCGTTGTGTTCTGACCGACGTAGGTGAAGGGCACTGTGTTGTCCCTGGTCTTGGGGTAGCGACGGTCGGTACCAACAGCTGCCTCATAGTAATCCACAGTTTGCTGGGTGGTCTGGTCATTGGTAACTTCATCATTGCCTAATGTTGGGAACAGCGGAAAGATGTTAGTATGATTCAGCAATGATAAGCACAAAACAATGGTCAGGTATGAGTCCCCATCATTTTGAATTATATTTGGTTGAGCTATAATGTTGAATATTTTTGTTGAATATTTTGTTCAGGCTAAATAAAGTCACTATGATGACACATTAAGAAGTGGAATTAGGTATTGGGTTACAAGATTCAACTTCAGCCATACAATTTATTTAGAATTATGTGACTAAGGCATAAAGCACCGTCGACCAGGTTTTGAAAGTATTTCAAGCATGGCTTTTCGAATGATCACCCAAGCATGGCTTTTTGAATGATCACCTATGGCATATGCCACTTTACACGCTGGCACTAATGTAAAATAATTTCCAAACTTACACACAAAGCAAATGGGATTGTTGCTGGCCTGGTGTTTTTCTCTGTCAGTAAAACACTCAGGTTGAGGGGGATTGGTCAAATTTTTTTTATAACTTTGGAACATGTGAAAGAATACTTTTCAACAATAATGGAGAAATTGAAAACTTAGCAAAACTGTACCCCAAAATGGAGCATCCCGATTTTTAGAAGGGTTTATTAAGGGAATGATTTCACTCTTTGAAAGACAAGCCTGGTCAACAAACCTGTATGCTCCACGGATTCCTTGGGTTGTGTCCCCTCTCCAAAGCCCTTCCAGCTTGCCGATATGCTATCAGTCTCCTTCTGGTAAGTCAGATCAAAGCCCACTAGGAGGCCATCATAGACCTGGCCAGGTATCAAGGGATCACGCTTGACTGTGATTCCATCAGATCGGACCGTGACGGCCAGGCCCAGGGCGTTGGTAGCCCGCACGACGGAGTAGTAGGTCTCATCATCTACCATTTTGACGTCTGTATTGGAATCTGATGTCAGCTCTGTTTTAATGAAAGAAAGTCAAAGAGTGCCAGTAGTTAACTAATTGAGTTAACTCGTAGAGTTATGAGATTGACAAGTTGCACAGGGTTAGCAATCATCATAGGTATGCCAACTAAGAGCATCTCTTAGATCAAAAAGAAGTGGCAATCTAAACATATATATCTAAACATATACATGACAATATTTTATCCATAACAAATGTCATAAAATGTATGCAGAGATTAAGATTTTGCCTGTATATTTTTTTGTAGACTATAGTATGGTTTATAACAGTCAGAAAAAATGAGAATGCAGAAAAATGTTGGAGGAATGTGGCCTAGTGGTTAGGGTTGGTGACTCATGATCAGAGGGTCAGGGGTTCAACTCCATCTACAGACCATACGTTGTGTCCTTGGGCAAGCCACTTCACCCCCACTTACCTCTTCCTCTACCCAGGGGTATAAATGCCACTAAAACCGAAGATAAACACAGGCCAGATGGGTTTATTGGCTGTGTGTGCATTCAGTGCTCTTTTGACAAACGGGGTTAAACAAATGTCTGAGCACCTCAACTTGTTTAATATACATGTAAGAGTGGTACTGCCTATTCTTATTGCATTTGACAGATTTAATAGTCTTTACTTTGAGCAAAAATCAAAAGAAAATTTTTCCTGGAAGTGATTGAATATGAATATACTTTTGTATTACCTCCAACATCAGTCAGTGGCTGAATTTCTTGCTCATCGATTCTATAGATGGCCCACTCGTACTTCTTCATTGGACACGGATCCCCGCTGAAATCCCAGGATGCGCTCATCTCATGCAGCGAGGTCTGGAAGTCTGAGTCTTCCAAGTCTACATCAGTGATTCCATCTTTGACTTGGAATGGTCTGAGAGGTTGAAGTCCAGCACTGAAGCGGCTCACATAGATGCCATTGGACACGGCAGTGCTAGTCAGGCCGGCTTCGTTGTAGCCTCTTACTGTAGCGTAGACCCTACGGATGCTACTCAGATCAATGTTGGTAATAAGCTCTGACGTCTGGTCCCTGGACACCTCGTAGAAAGGTTTGATCTGAGACCCTCCTGGTGTGGTGCCCAGGGCAACCTCATACTTGGTGATCTGGGTGTCTTCATCGGTGAACGGCTGCCACAGGATCTGCAGCTGGGTAATCGATTCCAGACACTCTCCGTCCAAGCTCAAGCATTCCTCATCGTTTGTACAGTCCCATTCTGGCAGGTCGATAGGATCACTGAAATTGTATCTGTACACACCAGACAGCTCCACTACAAGGCCATATGATGGAGGTGTATCGTCGATCTCAATAGGACCAGAGAATGCCATTGTGCTTTGGTTGACAGCATTGAAGGCCTCCACCGTGACATAGTAGACTTTGTTGTGAATCAGATTCAGATCTGCAAAGAACAAAGTTGCATTTCTGCAATTACCTTCTGGTCACTGAAGTTTGAAGAGTTTATTTCTAAATTACGATATATGTCATTTTGTTCCCTTATGGATCCTGCTCTCTCCTGGCTGCCAAAAAGCAATTTCTATGGTTATTATTTACTTAAGGAAAACTAAAGAATACAATAAAGCGATTTAAAGTAGATTTAGTTCTGATAAGAACAGCTTAGTTCTGAGAAGAATTTGTCTTGCTTATTATCTACTTTCGCTAAAGTAGGTTGGAAGGCAGTGGGACTTCTCGCAATTATCTTCACGGAGGCTGAGTGAGATAAGTTTGGTCTCAACGTTTCAACTAGCCTACTCCCTAGTCATCGTCAGGAGCCTGCTCTAGTCATCGTCAGGAGATGACTAGAGCAGGCTAGAGCAGGGAATAGTTGGCAAAGTTTGTGTTGTTCACGTGAACACACCCGAGGTGCTCACAAGTTTATACACATTCGAAAGTAAAATTTTGTGTTTTACAGAATTGTGCCATCATTCATTGGAGAGGAGACCACACATCGCCATTTCCTTTTCATGCATGGAGTCAATTACTGACAACAGTACTAGGATTTTAGTTTGAAGTGTGCATGCATGGCTAGTATAAAATGTTTGCTGAAGAGCTAAAAATCCATTTACTTTATTTCTCACAGATATTCTTAACCTAACTACTTTATTGACTCCATGCATACAGGGGCATCAATCGCTTCCAAAAGTGGGGGGGGGGGGGGAGACATACCTTGATCATAACTAATGCGAGCGCGAAGCCCTTACGGGGTTGGAGTCATTCGAGGGTTGGAGTTGGAGTCATTCAAGGTTGGAGTCATTGAATCAGCTATTCTGAGCTTTAGGCGGGCCCCGAAAAAAATGATTCTAAATGCTCTGTGGTGCGATCTGAGGCAATTTCTAACCTCTTTAACCAATATTTTCTTAACAAAAGATAATAATTAAAACATTATTTTTGTGATTGAAGTAATTCAATCAGCTTTTCTATTCCAAGATAAAGGCGTGGGGTTCGGGGCCCATTTAAGGGCCCTGAAAAGTTTGGATTCTAGATGCTCTGAGGTGCTATCTGAGGCAATTTCTGACCACTTTAACCAATATTTTCTTAACAAAAGATAATAATTTAAACATTATTTTCGTGATTGAAGTCATTGAATCAGCTTTTATATTCCGAGATAAAGGCGTGGGATTCGGGGCCCATTTAAGGGCCCTGAAAATTTAGGATTCTAGATGCTCTGTGGTGCGATCTGAGGCAATTTCTGACCACTTTAACCAATATTTTCTTCAAAAGATACATTGTATATAATAGGGCCCTTGTAAATGTGACACACGAGTTCAAAAATCTGGGGGGACAATTTGATATTGTGTCCCCCATCCTTCAAAAAGGGGGGGGGGGGGGGGAGACATGTCCCTCTTCTCCCCCCCCCCCAGGATTGTGACGCCCATGCATGCACATACCCCCTGTGCAGTTACAAATGGAGAGTTGGGAAGACCACTGGGAGGGACTGTTGCACATATTGCCAATGTCACCTGATGTTCCGTCCCCCAACACACACAAATTATAAATACAACCAAAGAATCCATTGTTTATGTGCAGAGTATGTGTAGCCAGTACAAGCACATCCTGCCAAGCTGCCTGTCTGTTGAATACTGCAAGCACTATTAATGATGATGACATCATAAAACTAAAATTCTATTCTGAATGCAGACTAAAGCCGCATCGAAATTACATGGTCAATGGCCAGCACTAATGCACACACCTATGGAAGCAACTGAAGCCACTATCCATAGTGTAACATTCCCAACCATAGCCGAGTACTTTAGATGCAGCAGAAAAAAATCTAGTTAGTTGAAAACCAACCTTTGATGCTGTAGTGAGAAAGATGCCCGGGCAGGTCACCGGATAGGAACACTTCGTCAAGACCCTGTGCTGTGCCAACAGACATGCGGTAGTGGCCAATGCCTGACTCAGCATCCAGGAAATCAGACCAGCTACACAACAGGGCACTGTTGGCATGGATGAAAGCAGGGCACTGGACCTAGGAAGAAAACCAACACAAGTATGCTGACAAACATGAGTCTGTGGTTAGCTCCACCTCTTGATCAGAGTCTCTTGTATACTGGTAGTCTCCTTATAAGCAGATGAAAGAGGAAATTTACTCTTATCATCATGCTTCCCCCTAGTTTCAGTGTAGGAAAGGATGAAGATATTGCTATAAATGAAAAAGGTCACTTCTGCTTACAGGCCAGTTATCAAAGGAAATAATAAAATGACCGTCATTTGGCAATGATGTTCTGCAACAAAGGATATACATACCTGACCAACACTAGGCGGCGTGTTGTCAGCAGTCATACTAGTGGTATAAACAGTCCGCTTCAGCCCAACGCTGTTGATTGCGCGTACAGTGAGAATATTGGGCAGCCCTGGAGACAAGAAAACAAGGTGGTTACTCACTGGCCAAATTAGAGGAGCTGTCGATCTTCAGGATTCTTCACAGGTCAATCACAAGTCCTTGTAACAGCCTCAAGTCAAGTCACAAGCTATTTTATTGTGACAAAGGCAGTCCTTTGTCATTGATCATTGTCGTTCTGATGGTAGATTTGTGATGTGACTTACGGACTGATAACTGGAAAAAATGTGTTCATACACCCCATACTCAACTGAATTGATATTGGTTTGTGCACATATGGACAAATATTAGTTGTGCCTACTTTGGTGGGCAGGTGGCCTAGTGGTTAGGGTTCGTGGCTCATGATCAGAGGGTCAGGGGTTCCAATCCAGCTGCTGGTCGTATGTTGTGTCCTTAGGCAAGCCACTTTACCCTACTCCCCTCTCTCCACCCAGGAGTATAAATGGGTACCGGCATTAGCTGGGGAGAAACCTGTGATGGACTAGTATCCCGTCCAGGGGGAATAGGAATATTCCCAGTCGTTTCATGCTACTGAAACCGGTGCTAAACCCCAGCCTGATTGGCCACGTACATTGGCTTGTGACAGACTTTACTTTTACTCTACTACTTTGTGTAGTGCACGAAAACAAGTACTCTCCCACAATGTGTCCTTCGCAGCCAGGCCCATCACCCCACCACCATATCAAATACAAAATACTTATGTATAGCTTTTGCCGTTGGGGCGGGGGGCAAGTGCTCGCAAGGGGGGGGGGGGGCCAGCCCCAACAGGCCCCCCTCCCCCCCTTGGCGATAGGCCTGCTTGGAGCTCTTGAAAGTTGGCATAATTAAAGCTCTGTCTAAAGTTTGTGAATGGTGTCCATACCAAGGCGAACATTCCAGTTGAAGCCAGTTCAAGTGGAAATTGGTGGCTAGCATGGTTTCACGCTGGTCTGACTGGTTTCACACTGGTTTAACTGGTTCAACACCAGTTTAACTGGTTCCAAGTAAAACCAGATTATTGGTTTCAACTGGGATTTTAACCTAAATAACTCTGAAACAATTCCAATTGCCATACCCATGCAGCCAGTCAACAAAACTGGCAAGAGACCCACTACATGTACACATCCCACACAGCCAGTTGGGTGGTCGGACTGACCAAATGCCAGATATACAAACAGGGAAAAATAAAGTTTAGTATTCAACAAGAATCCTCACTCTGTCACACCATACCTATATCTGTAGGAGTTATCAGCGCTAATGGAACGTAGGATTTGTTGGTTGGTGTGACTGGATACACATCGCTTCCTCCTGGGTACTGGCCCATGGAGAAATAGGTAGCAGTAATATCACTCTCTCCGTCTGTGGCATCCCATGTGCCATCGATGGAGTCTGTGTTGGGTTGATACAGGACTCTACCGCCTTCTAGGCTCTGTAAATTAAACAGAATATTATTCAATTTGTCAGTTATGTCAATGTGTAGATATTAATATGAACTGAGGTCCGCACTTGAATACTAATTTTTTAACCAGACAATAAGAGTAGATTGCAAATTAACCCTTAAGAGGCAAACTTTATTTGCTAAATATATATGAAAATTAGAATTTGTAAGTCTTCACTTTGTTTAGGTGTAAAGCAACAAACTTTTTAACTTTTTGCTATTCAATTGTTAGAAGAGAAGAAAGTAATTATTAGAAATGGTAATGCCTCATCATAAATGCTCAGAAAACAAAAGTGAGACATCAATTATATTTTATATACCTTATTGACCTACTAAAGGTGAGTAGCCCAGATTAAGTACAACAGATACATACATTTCAACATGTGCATCACCTATTGGCATAATCATCCCAAAATCACAGCTTAGTGTTATTGTCTAGGTCGCACCAGGAGCGTACAGTGAAAGACAGGCAATTATCTACTCACCAGGTCCACGCTTGCATCGTACTGGCCCAGGTCAGTGATCATAATCTCTGGTGGAGTGATGTCCACTGTGAAGCCACTGGATGTGGATTCTAAGACATTGTCTGCATTGGTGATGGCTCGTAGTGTGCTGTAGTAAGTCACTCCGTGCTGGAGGGGCAGAGGGGACTGGGCCTTCCCCTTGGCAGCCAGTCCTAGAGAAACGAAAAATTAGAAAACAAGAAAATGTTAGTTAAAATTAAGTTTATGAAAGATGCAAAGCGCAGGAGTGTCATGGCCTAGCGGTTAAGAGCACCGGACTCATGCTCTGGTGTTTCAGAGGCAACAGTGGCGTGGGTTCGAGCCCGGGCCTGGACACTTGTGCCCTTAAGCAAGGTACTTAACCATTATTGCTTCTTCCTTCGGATGGGACGTTAAGCCAGAGGTACCGTGTGTTGTATAAGGCCTAACGCACGTAAAAGAACCCAGTAACACTTTTTGCTAAGAGAAGGGGTTTGCCCCGGTGTTTCTGGCCTCCTAGTTATACTCTCTTGTGGAAGTCCTTAGGAGAAGATCCAACTAAGTAGCAAGTACCAAGTACAGAATTATGTGACTAGCCAAAATAAGTTTGCAGTGAAAATAAAATAATATGTTGCTTCGGGCTGGTTCTTAGCTTACTTTTCTTGCATATTATCTTTTAAAGCTGTAGCACAGCAAGAAATATGTTTCATGGGGGGTGTTCTAAAATGTCAGTATGTTGGACAGCAGTGTTGATGGTTTTAACCATGTCTGCATACAGCACGCCACGTGCAAACAGGTCCAGTACGTTGATCTTTATGTGTGGCTTCACACCCCCTTAATACCCCCAGAATGGACACTGCATGGGGCATACTCATTTATAGACATTGGAGGGAAAAGAAATATGAAATGACCCTTGTGTCCAAGTTTCATGGAATTCTGGCGAATACTTTGACAATGAGAGTAATTTGAAAAACTGTAACATACAGACATACGGACAACGGTCATACGTGTCTCCCAGCGGATAGACAGTTCCGGGGTAGGAACATTGTTGTCCTTTTGTCTCTATTTCTAAAGATTTCACTTGTGGGCCACCCTTTTTTCCTAAAGATTTCACTTGAGGGGTACCTCTCTCTTTGTTCAAGTACCCCACAAGTGGTCCATGGTAAGTACACATAGAATTTAGGACTGGTAAGTGTCTCCGGAAACATTCGTTTAGGCAACACAAATATGTTGTCGAAAGTTATCCCTGCATTGCTATTAAATGTCGTTAGATGTTCAGCAAAGTCTTACCTGGTTCCCCTTCATCACCGCCAGGCACTATGCCATCTGAGGTCAAAGGTTGTATATCCTCACCCCCAGGGGTTGTACCCACTGCCCATTCATAGTGAGATATGCCATGCAACTCACTCTGTATTGGAAGACAGTTATAAGAGTCAGCAAACTGTTCAATTATTCTCTAAGGTTAGTGAATTTCCGACATCAGACAAGAATTTGGGGAGCAAATTTTGCAACGTTGATTTCAACCTGGTGAATTTCACTGCGAGTGGTCCTTGGCATTAAATTCCCTTTTCAAATGCATTTGCGCGAAGTTTAACTCACATTTATGCAGGCAGAGTTGAACAAAAAACCAGTTTTGCATCGTGAACAGGTTGCGCAACAAATCCTTGGTTTACAGTTTGAAAGTTTATGATTAAAACTACGAAGTCCACTCTACCTCAAAGTCATCAAACCAGACAGTGACGGTAGTTCTCTCTTGCTGTGCATCGATATCTTGTAGCATGGTTGGACCATCAGTAACGTAACCTGTGAAAAAGCAATGAGGAATGGAAATCAAGTTTATAGAGAATCCAATGAAAATATCCTAACTGTGTAAAATAGAGTCCTTCGTCTCCATTGCTTGATGTGCTCGTATGGCACATTTGGAAAGGCTCAGCTGACTACAGATAGGATTGGAATCAGTGTTTTTCACTCTCAAGATTTTGAGTTAGGGAATAAATAATTTAAATCTTAGAAACCATTTTAGCCTAGGGTTGATCGAATTACAGTCCTTTTGACTCAATCCAGGCACGCTATTAATTTCATCTCAAAGGTCTCCTTAAAAGGCGAGAGCATTGGGCTGCTGTTGTTCAGATAATCCGTCATGGTGCATTTGCTTTGTACAATAGTTTGTACAATCAAGGGCGGATCCAGAGAGGTTACTGCCGGGCGAGGGGGAGGGAGGCTGTGCCAGGGGGTGGAAGGGCTCTCACAAGTGAAAAATGACCTTATTTGAGAACATTTTGGTCACTGCCGGAGGGCGCGGTGCCCCCTCCACACCCCTCTGGATCCGCCATGACAGTTGCTGCACTGTTCAACACTTGCTGCAAAGTTTTGTGACGTCAAATACCCTTTGCATTTGAAACTGGCCTTTACTTCAAAAGAACCCACCTGTCTGATCTTCCTCCACCACTCTGATTGGTGAGGAGCAGATGACAACACTGAATGCCCCTGCACCGTTCTGACTTATGACACACACACGTCATAGTGTATTACTTCATAAGAACCCACCTGTCTGATCTTCCTCCACCACTCTGATTGGTGAGGAGCAGATGACATCACTGAATGCCCCTGCACCATTCTGACTCTTGACACACACGTAGTAGACAGGCCGACAATCCACGGTGAACGCCTCATCACTACATGTTGATGGGTCGGTCAGTTGGAGATTCAGGTCTGATATGATACCATCGCTCTTGGGGCCCAGGGAGGAGAAATGTTGGATGTCTTCAGAATCTAAAGAAATGATTTATGAAAGCAGCAAATTCAATTTTTTTGGAGGGTCATTTATGCCCAACCTCCAATTTTCTTTTTTTGTGCTGAAAGTTTACATCTTGACATTGATGAGCTATAGAGACTATCGGATATTGTAGCTGAAGCTGTTTTCTGACTCGGCAAATATGAAAGTTTAAAAGGCAAACCCAATACTTTGTCCTCAGACTTAACTGAAATTACTTTATGAACATCATCATATCTTAAAAATTCATTAAAGAGCCATTTTCCCTTGAATTTACCGTGAACTAAATTTTCACGGATTTTTCAACATATTAAGGGGGATCAGGAGTCCGTGAAAACACCCTTAGGAAAGTCCTTTGTTTACCCATGGATATACACCCAGTGTACCGTTATGTATAACCAATGATAATACTCAGTGGCCAAGGTCATTAAAAAAACGTGAAGATACTCTTACAGGATTAGGCCTCCAGGAAAATATAGGATTGGGTTTTCAATCCCCACCTGATTTCGTGAGTTTTCCCCAGAATATTTTTTCTGGGGTTTTCCTCCCACCTCTTCAGCTGAAATTTATTCTCACTGTCTCCTCTCTGCAGGTTTCTTCAGGCTTGCGAGCTACAGTTGCTAGGGTGCTTTTGAGGAATCCTTGGTTTCATTACCAGAAATAAATAAAAATAATAAAAACTGTTTTTGTTTAAAGACATTAGTTTGTATGTTTTACTGACATGGAGCAGTTCCCACTGACACCCAGTAGCTTTTGATGCCACTCTGTCCATCTACAGCCAGCCAGGAGGCCTGGATGGTGCTGCGACTGTTCTGATACAAATATCCATTGACGACTTCTTCAACCTCCCCGTCCAGATTGCCTCCGCGGACATATCTCATCTACAACAGAAATCATGATCCCTTTGGGGTTATGGGAGGGTTTTTGTTTGTGCACAAGTCTATGGGAATGTCTCCGTAAGGTACCAATTTTGGTAATAACAATCTCTCTTTCTATCATTCACAGCTTGATTGAATATATCCATACATTACAAACTGTACGGATGAACCCCAGGAATAGTAATGGATGAAAATAGAACAAGGATGCTACATTAAAAGATCCATGTGATGAATTTTTCTTAGTAACACATTTTGTGCAACTTTCTACTCCTCTTAAATATATGAAACTATTTGACATCCCTTTTTGGGTTAAATTTACTGAAAAGTGCACTTCTTTACACATGTACACAGTCAATGCTTTTCTGAACAACTGAGGTTGCTGTTGCTGTGATGTCGTTTCGGGAAGACACAGTTTTCTTTTCAAATTGTGAACCCAAACTTTGCTCATTGACTAGGCTTGCTTCTTGGCTTACTGCCATGTACTTAATACAACAAATAATCACTAAAGAAAATATAATTTACAACAGCAAAATATCCAAAATTCTAGCAACGTTTTGTGCTGAAATAGCTGTAACATTGAGGTTTTTGCCTGAAATGACATCACACTTTTGCTTATGAATATGAAGATTTGCATTAGCACAGACACCAAAACGGCACCAAATACCTTGAAAATGACAAAATGAAAAAAGGCTAAATGGGACACAACGGTGCATTAGGATTGCATTAAAAATAACATTGCCTGGGCCCTTTAACTCACCAATGGAGGAGTAGGATCTACCCTGATACCACTGGTCTCGTGAGAGGCTACCAGTTTAGCCTGGTTCTTTGCCTTAACATGTGTGATGTAGATAGACCCGCTGCGCAATGCCAGACCGGTCTGTGTGTGGGACTTGGCGTTGGCGTCCGGTATTAATTCAAAGCTGTTGGGGTTTGAGTCTGAAACAAAGGAGAAAAAATTTGTGTATAAGCATTCACAAAACAGACCATGTCTAAGATTTACAACTTCTCTTTGAAACATTATCTCACAATTTAACACTAATTTTCCTAATCTCACCTGCGGGAAAGATCTTGATTTTTTTCCCTTGTCGCATCTCGTATATAGCCAACTCAAAGGATTCAATGCCAGACTCATCGTCAAAGTAGTCCCAATGTACAGAGAGATTGTTGAAATTTGCCTGCATGTAAAAAACAAGACATCAGAAATGAATTCTCTCACTGTACACTTTCTTATTAGACAATGATGCAATAGTTCAAATTCAACACCAGCCTCTGTCTGAGTTAATGTGCTTAAAACTGACGGGGCAAAACTGATAGAATCCAACCATATTTTATGATGTTGAACATCATTAGGAGGTTCATGGACAGAGTTCAGAATCTTAGTTAATACTGGAGGGGTCAGGTCTAACTCACCAGGAAGTCAGCATCAGGTGCTTCCAGGTGTGGGGATCTGATCTACCAAGAGCCCATTAGTGAGCTGGGAGTTTCAGTGCCACTGAGGGTGTGACCAACATGATGCTTTTTAACTCACCTTTAGAGTAAGCGTCTTAACCCACCACCAGCCGATCTCCAAAAGTTAGCAGGGGTCAGGTCTACCAAGAACCAGTTCGTCCCAGTATTAATGTCATTTTGCAGCTGAATCTGATCATGTTAACCCACCTGGATGTCAGCATCTTAGCCCAACACCAGCCCATCTCCAAAGCTTTGTAGCATTGGGAGAGTCAAGTCTACCAACAACCCACTGCTATAGGGTTATCAATATCACTCATCAGTGCTTGATGATAATAATGCGTATTTATAAAGCGCACGTATCCACCAGTATTGGTGCTCAAGGCGCTACATCATTATTACCCTGCTCATTTGGGCCAATGAAACATTCCAAATACCATCTCACTTGGGAGTATACAACTTGATGCTGCCATTTTGGCGCAAAGCAGCTAAAATCAACCACAATAACCATACCTGCCCTCACAGGTACCCATTTACTCCTGGGTGGAGAGAAGCCATGAGTGACAAAGTACCTTGCCCAAGGGCACACGCACCATAGCAGCATGCGGGACTCAAACCCACAATCTGCAGAATTACCTGCAGAAAACAAATTCAATGCTCCAGACCACAAGGCCACGGCACTCCACAATGATCTACATGAAGATGTTAACTCACCTGACCACCACCAGCCCACCTCCTGGAGTTCACAGCATCGGCAGAGTCAGATCTACCAAGAACTTATTAGCAGTCCTTGGTGATACTAAGGTTCTCAGCCCAAGGTTCTCAGCATTGGAGGAGTCAGGTCTTCCAAGAACCCATTATTGGGAGTATCAATTTCACTCAATTCCTGACGATGATGTTAACTCACCTTGAAGTCAGCATCTTGACCCACCACCAGCCCATCTCCAAGAGTTCTCAGCATCGGAGGAGTCAGCTCCCCCAAGAACCCATTAGGAGTATCAATTAATGCTCCTACTTACAAGATGATTATAACTCACCTGGAAATCAGTATATTGACCCACCACCAGCCCATCTCCAAGAATTCTCAGCATCGGAGGAGTCAGGTCCACCAAGACCCCATTAGGAGTATCAATGCTCCTACTTACAAGATGATGTTAACTCACCTGTAGGTCAGCATCTTGACCCACCACCAGCCCATCTCCGAAGGTTCTCAGCATGGGAGGAGTCAGGTCTACCACAAACCCATTATTAGGAGTATCAACACTCCTACTTACAAGATGATGTAAACTTACCTGGAAGTCAGCATCTTCACCCACCATCAGTCCATCTCCAAGAGTTCTCAGCATCGGAGGGGTCAGGTCTACCAAGAACCCATCCGTTGGAGCATCAATGTGATTCAGTGCCTGGTTGATGGTGCGCAGGTTGACATAGACCTGGTCCTTGTGACGGAGATGGAAGTGATGCCACTCAATGGAGGCTGTCTCACTGCCTACTGCCTCTGCCTCATGGATGACCTCAAAGTCATTGGTGTCATTAGAGCTAACCATTGGATTCAAAAAAGATTATTCATACCTAAAAAAATTGATGACTACTGCAATATCTTTTCTAATAACCATATTAAATCAAATGAACAAACATTTACACTTCCATTAATTTGGATTACTTGAGTCAATCAGCTCTAAATCTCTATCAGATCAAAAGCAATCAGATACATGTAGAGACTAATGCAAGCATATCACGAAAGTATAAAGTCAAAGTTTCAACCAATACAACTTCACCTGCCATCGTGCTTGCGATAGATTGTAACCTGGTAGTCATCGATACCAGAGTCAGGATCAGAAAATCCTTGCCACTGAGCCTCCACTGTGGCTGGCTTTGAGGAGAATTCTAAATCAGTAGGTCCAGGCAGCAGGCCGTCATAGACACTGCCTTGTAGTGGTGGAGTCAGATCCACAGTCACTGAGGAGATAGAAGATATCAAAAAATCAATATATGATCCAGATAACAAAAAAAGGGGGGAAGTCTAGATCTGTAGGTCCTGGCAGCAGGCCGTCACAGACACTGCCCTGTAGCATTGGAGTCAGATCCACAGTCACTGAGGAGACAGAATATATCAAAATATCAATATATGATCCAGATAACGATAATTGAGGCGAATTCTAAATCAGTAGGTCCAGGCAGCAGGCCGTCATAGACACTGCCTTGTAGTGGTGAAGTCAGATCTACAGTCACTGAAGAGATAAAAGATATCACAATAACAATGATCCAGGTTACAATATTTGAGGAGAATTCTAAATCAGTAGGTCCAGGCAGCAGGCCGTCATAGACACTGCCTTGTAGCGGTGAAGCCAGATCTACAGTCACTGAAGAGATAGAAGATATCAAAAAATCAATATATGATCCAGATAACAAAAATTGAGGAGAAGTCTAAATCTGTATTCTGAAGGTCCTGGCAGCAGGCCGTCGTAAACATGCACTGTCTTGTAGTGGTGGAGTCAGATCCACAGTCACTGAGGAGATAGAAGATATAACAATAACAATGATCCAGGTAACAATATTTTAGGAGAAGTCTAGATATGTAGGTCCTGGCAGCAGGCTGTGATAGACACTGCCTTGTAGCATTGGAGTCAGATCCACAGTCACATGAAGAGATAGAAGATATCACAATATCAATATAGCAGTAGTTTCTCAAGTCTTTTTCTCACTTTCGTTTTAAACCAGATTAGTTCTGTCACTGTTGCAGTGTTAACTTTGTAACATGAACTCATTGCATTAACTGGCATTGCTACTAAGGAAATTTTGGCTTTGGCCATTATCAGCGACCAGTCTCCTGTTATATCATCTTTAAACACATCATTTTATTTTTTGATTAATGTCTTTTTTGTGTGGAGTTGACCATCTTTGTATGTTAAATTCTAAATGCACAATATAATGTTACAGTTATTTTTTGCTGAATTTGTGGTGACCACCCCCGCGCGAAATTTGACCTGTCAACATTTCGTCATACTTTCACGTGTGGCTGGTACCTGTACATACTATGTGTTCCACCAATAGACTTTTCGTTGGTTTATGAGCACGTTCCCTTTTTCTAACGTTGTATCGTCGACCTTACGTATTTTAGAAGTGCCAAGTTTGCCAGTTTTCATCATCGTCGTTCTTCATCAATTTCAAGTTTTCCAGTAGTTATTTAGTACTCGTTGTCTTAGTCCGTCCGTCAGTAACTATGTGAATGTTTGTACATACACACTTGTGGAACTATCGCCCGTTCTATCTTGCGGTAGTCGAGACAACGTTGGCCAGCCGCCGTGCGGAAGAACAGTGCAGGAAACACGCATCGAAACAAGTTGGGATGAGTTGACACTAAATTCATCAATGCCAAGAGTTCTTCTCTTTTATGTGATCATTGCTTTATTTGTGTTAAAAAAGTCTGAGATGAAATCTCTTGCACCAGTACAATGATTTATTGGTCATTCTATAAGGTAAGGTACCAAAGTGAGACATTTCTCCTGTCCCTGTTAACTTGGTACTTTGCATTTTGCCATCCAACTTTCATTAAGAATGACTTCAAATGATTGTTTTATTTGGTAGGTAGTTTGCTATTTATAATCACTCTTTGAGAAAAACTTTGTTAAGAGTGTGTCCACAATTGTAAAATCGTAGATGTCAGATGTAACAGGGACAGGAAAAAAGTTGACCCCAAATATACGAGCCTTACGAGGAGTTGAGACAATGACCCCTTTGAGGAGTTGTATATTCCAACCATGAATATCTATTCATGGAGAACTAAAACACATTTTATGGACTGATGCTTTAGTCAGCCTTCTCTTTCTAATAAGCTAATATTTTTGATCAGATGTGCCCAGCGTGAAGATGAAATCGTGATCACCATGGCAATTCCGGTAAATATATATCAGATACGTGTTCAATAGGCACACAGCAAGGGCTTGCTCACAAGTCCAATTAGAAAATTCCATTGGGGCAGAATAAATTTGCAGCATCGTCATCAAGCGCAATAATGCAATCCAGGATTGAGGACACTACCCTTCATTTCACCACCTGACACCGATCTGGTAACATCTGAAAAAGATGTTGCCTAAACGTCTCCTTGTTGGCTTGATAAGCCTTTGTCTTATGATCAGATGCACTGGTGGCAATGAGAGGTGTGCGGCCTCCATTAGATCTACAGTCACTGAAGAGATAGAAGATATCAAAAAATCAATATATGATCCAGATAACAAAAATTGAGGAGAAGTCTAAATCTGTATTCTATAGTTCCTGGCGGCAGGCCGTCGTAGACATGCACTGTCTTGTAGTGGTGGAGTCAGATCCACAGTCACTGAGGAGATAGAAGATATCACAATAACAATGATCCAGGTAACAATATTTGAGGAGAAGTCTAGATCTGAAGGTCCTGGCAGCAGGCTGTGATAGACACTGCCTTGTAGCATTGGAGTCAGATCCACAGTCATATGAAGAGATAGAAGATATCACAATATCAATATGTGATCCAGATAACAACAATTGAGATGTCTAGATCTGTAGGTCCTGGCAGCAGGCCGTCATAGACACCGCCTAGTAGCGGTGAAGTCAGATCTACAGTCACTGAGGAGACAGAAGATATCAAAATATCAATATATGATCCAGATAACAATAATTGAGGAGAAGTCTAGATCCGTAGGTCCTGGCAGTAGTTTCTCAAGTCTTTTTCTCACTTTCGTTTTAAACCAGATTAGTTCTGTCACTGTTGCAGTGTTAACTTTGTAACATGAACTCAATGCATTAACTGGCATTGCTACTAAGGGAATTTTGGCTTTGGCCATTATCAGGGTCCAGTATCCTGTTATATCATCTTTAAATACATCATTTTATTTTTTGATTAATGTCTTTTTTGTGTGGAGTTGATCATCTTTGTATGTTAAATTCTAAATGCACAATATAATGTTACAGTTATTTTTTTGCTGAATTTGTGGTGATCACCCCCGCGCGAAATTTGACCTGTCAACATTTCATCATACTTTCACGTGTGGCTGTACCTTTACATACTATGTGTTCCACCATAGACTTTTCGTTGGTTTATGAGCACGTTCCCTTTTTCTAACGTTGTATCGTCGAGCTTACGTATTTTAGAAGTGCCAAGTTTGCCAGTTTTCATCATCGTCGTTCTTCATCAATTTCAAGTTTTCCAGTAGTTATTTAGTACTCATCGTCTTAGTCCATCTGTCAGTAACTTTGTGAATGTTTGTACATACACACTTGTGGAACTATCGCCCGTTCTATCTTGCGGTAGTCGAGACAACGTTGGCCAGCCGCCGTGCGGAAGAACAGTGCAGGAAACATGCATCGAAACAAGTTGGGGTGAGTTGACACTAAATTCATCAATGCCAAGAGTTCTTCTCTTTATGTGATCATTGCTTTATTTGTGTTAACAAAGTCTGAGATGAAATCTCTTGCACTAGTACAATGATTAATTGGTCATTCTATAAGGTAAGATACCAAAGTGAGACATTTCTCCTGTCCCTGTTAACTTGGTACTTTGCATTTTGCCATCCAACTTTCATTAAGAATGACTTCAAATGATTGTTTTATTTGGTAGGTAGTTTGCTATTTATAATCACTCTTTGAGAAAAACTTCGTTAAGAGTGTGTCCACAATTGTAAAATTGTAGATGTCAGATGTAACAGGGACAGGAACAAAGTAGCCCCAAATATATTACCCTTACGAGGAGTTGAGACAATGACCCTTGTCATGCTTGTGAGGAGTTGTATATTCCAACCATGAATATCCATTCATGGAGAACTAAAACACATTTTATGGACTGATGCTTTAGTCAGCCTTCTCTTTCTAATAAGCTAATATTTTTTATCAGATGTGCCCAGCGTGAAGATGAAATCGTGATCACCATGGCAATTCCGGTAAATATATATCAGATACATGTTCAATAAGCACACAGCAAGGGCTTGCTCACAAGTCCAATTAGAAAATTCCATTGGGGCAGAATAAATTTGCAGCATCGTCATCAGGCGCACTACTGCAATCCAGGATTGAGGACACTACCCTTCATTTCACCACCTGACACCGATCTGGTAACATCTGAAAAAGATGTTGCCTAAACGTCTCCTTGTTGGCTTGATAAGCCTTTGTCTTATGATCAGATGCACTGGTGGCAATGAGAGGTGTGCGGCCTCCATTAGAGGGGCGTGTCCTCCTGCTTGGAGCCAGTGGGGTGACAAATGCTATCGAAAACTCAGCGACAAACTACAATGGGCTAAGGCAAAACAGGAGTGCATCAAGATGGGAGGTGTCTTGGTCATGCCACAGTCTCAGGAGGAAACTGAGTTCCTTCAGACCAAGCTGAACCCCTCATTTTGGATTGACTGCAGCGACCAAAAAAGTGAAGGTTAGTAAAAGTGAGATCATTTGAAAAAGTAAATCAAGTTATTTTTTTGGAAACAATTTGATCATGAGAAATCTTGCATGTTGCAATCAGTGAGCTCATGTGACCCATTGTTAAAGTTTGAAAGTGACAACGTTCGTAGAAATAAAACAAAAAGGAAGGAACTGATCATTAATCATTCCGAATTATCCTTTTCCATGCCACACCAACTAAGATTACAACTTAACAGACTTTTAAACAGTCAACTTAGTTGTTGAAAAGCCTTTTAACGACAGAAAACAATCTGAACATTCTGTGTGTCTGTTTAATAGGTTCATGGGTGTGTCAGGACGGCACTACTGATGTGAAGTACAGAAACTGGGGGGATGGTGAACCTAGTAATGGCAACAACCAGGACTGCGCGTTGCTACAAAAATCTGGTCAATGGAATGACCAGCAATGTGCAAGAATCCATTCTGTAATCTGCAAACAACCTGCTCCATTGATACACTTTTAAGCAAACGTAGGACCATTGGTAATATATATTTACAACCCAGAAATGAACCTACCCATTTAATGAGAAAACCTTTGCTGAAAGTAAGGAAAGGACTATTACCAAATACCAAATACCCAAATTGTTCCGCTTGACTAGTACTGTTTCAAAGAAAACAACTATTGAAGGTGGTTTAAAAATGTTGGCATTTGGGCACACTTTTATAAATGTTTACGATATTCGTTAGATAAATGCAAAGATCACCCATCAACTGTGACCTTGACGTCACCTACACTATTAACTGGCTCAAATAATGAGAATCATGTCCTGAGTACTGATTTGGGGATTGGGTGCAATTCAACATATGATACATGGTAACTTTGGAGTGGGAAGTGCTATCATTTCGCTCTTTTCACACTCAGCCATTGGGCATGCAGAGCCTCGATCTGGCAACTTTACACAATAAAAATAGCCGGTTCAGTGATCTGAGCCCCGACACGGGAATCACTGAACCGGCTGTATTTATTGTGTAAAGTTCCCAGATGGAGGCTCTGCATGCCCATGGCGGAAGTGTGAAAAGAGCGAATGGAATCAACTTACAAGACCCAACATTTCTCTGTTTTCTAAAAACGTATGGCATCAACTGAGCTGAAATTTGAACAAGTCAGTTGTAATGCGCCCTACTTAAGACTTTGAGCATTTTGTTGCTTCAAATGGAACAAATGCACAAAAAGCAAATGATGTAGCGTTACACAATACTGCAAGACGAACTGATCAATGGCCAGAAAATGAGATACAATATGACTAAAAAGGTACATGGCTACAAATAAGACATACAGACACAGTAGCAGTACTACAGAGTGGTAAAAACAACTTTACACTGTTTCATAAGGTGCAATTTTCTCGGAATTGGGGAGGCATGTTAAAATTGATATTCCTCAACTACAGCATGCTCATGGTACGTGGTGAAAATGACGGTGAAAATAAAGCCTAAATTAAGAAATAATGATGGTTTAAAGAAAAAAAAGGTCAAAAACCAGTTTGTCCAACCATACAGTAAGTCTATTCAACACAATATCATTTCGTGCACAAAGAGCATGCATGACTGCCATGTACAGGGTCAGAAAAAACGAAACCTAAATGTTGGAACCAATGTTTTAGTGAAGTTCTGCATGTAGCACTTTCAATATCTAGGATATGAAAGCCAAATTCATAAGCTTTCTTTTAATACCACAGCTGCACTTTTAAATGACAACAAACGACTGTTAATCAAATTTAAACCCCCCAAAAATCAAAAATACATAATACAGAATGGTATTGTAGTGTTTTAGATCCTCACGATTGTGTTCAATTTGTACTCCACACTATTAATGTATTACTCATTGCTTTTCCATGCACATAGACATCACCCACACATACAAGTGTGTATTTGCCTGCAACCGGGGACACCCTATTGTCCTTTTTTTGTTTGAACATTTTAGGAAGACCTCCCATGTGTTTTGTATACACAAATTTAAACTGGGGACCTCTCAGAAATTGGGGACCCTATTGTCCTCTAAAGAGTACCGAAGTGTGATGTCATTTAGAACCAGTAAGTGTAGTGCAAACGAATTGGAGTACGCGCGCGTGTTGGTTCTCGAGCTGAATCACGCCCTAATGTCTTTCACATACATTTTGTGCACGTAATGAATTCACTTCGGTACTCCTTTGTTCAATGTCCCCTATTGAATGCAGAAACAAACTCAATGTCAGTGCTACCAGTGTGTATTGTTTTCTCATACAGAGCATATGACTTCAATTATTGCCCACAGGTTGTTAACCTAAAGGTTCTCAGTACATGTATAGCTGAAGTTACTAAATCATTGTGCCGAGTTGTTATCACTCATTTATAGTCATCTACATTTCTGTGAATCAAGGAAACCAAGACATGACAAAAGGGCCTGTCACACTGTCTGGGATCATATGCACTCTCACTGCGTCCTTGAAAAATGGCTGGGGCGCAACAACAACTACTAGATAGCAGTGAGAACTACATAGGTCGCCTGATTGGCGCCGGAATTTTTGAACATGCTCAAAACAATCGCAACACCTCTGCGCTTTGGCCAGGGCACCACAATGATGCAACTCGGGCGCTGTGCGAGCGTGAATCATGTGACATTGAAGTGGCATTGAGGCAAGGCAGTCGATGTAGTCTCAATGAGAAAGTAACACAACTGCGATGAACTTGTCAAATACATTTGAAACTGGAATGCGGATTGACCGATTAGTCGTGGTATTTATACAGTGCAAGTGACGTCACGTGAGCGTATTTTGGTCAGATAGAGAGCGTGACGCAAGCTACTAGGATGTATCAACAGCGAGCAGAGTGTAGTGTGAGCACAGTGACAGTGCAGCGGCATCAACTAGATCAAGTAATTGGGCTTGACAGGGGCGCATAGAGAGCGAGTTGAGAGCATCGTAAGCGCGGGAGTGAGCGCAGAATGAGCGCAGAATGAGCCATTTTCTGGCCACTTAATAAAGAAATTTTCTTGTGTCCTTGCTGCGATTGTTAAATTTATTAAATATGTTTTGTCGCCTATGAGAGTGCATATAATGTGACAGGCCCTTAATGAGCAGTTATTTGGTTCAATTCAGTTCATTCATGCAATCATGTAGTCGGTCAGTATTCAGTAATCCCTCAGCAGTTTTTAGTATTTGTTCCATGTTCTCTATTCGTAAGTTCGCTTTTTAAGCACTTCAGTCTCGGTTTATATTTTAAAAATTGTTGTCGAATAAAGTCATGGTTAAGTCCTCAACTAAAGAAGTGTGTATTGACTACATATTACTCAACAAATTGGTAACCAAGTGAGCACAACAAATCGGTGACACAGTGAACTTACTAGACAATTAAACTTGATCATAATTGAATTGCTACAACATCGATGAACCATGGCTATACTCCCAACACCACTGTCAACCCGTCCTTCACTGCGGTTAGTTTAAAATTGCTACCTTTCTGCCAAATGACCCACTCATTTGGTTCATGCAAATTTTTATATGAGGCCCAATTTTTAACTTGTGGTGTGGCTTCATAGAGGAGACGCAAAATGTATATGTAATCTTTTCCCTTCAAACCCTCCATCACACAAGAGATGCTGTACATTCTTATCCACCTCCCTTCCATCCAGCCCTTCACAACATTGAAGGAGGAGCTAATCAGGAGGACGTCCGAATCAGAGAAGAAACGCTTACAAAGACTCCAGACAACTGAGGAGTTGGGCCACAGGAAACCATCCCAACTTCACAGAATAATAAGCAACTCATGTTGGCTTCCGATGATGTCGACATTTAACAGTTGGCCACACTGGCAGAGAGAATTGTAGAAGTTGCCCCTATGTCCACCCTGGTTCCCATGGTAACAGCTGTGGAGAATTAACCAACACAGGCTACTCGATTCCAACAACTGAATGATCAAATAGCCATACTAGTGAGTTGTAGTTCTGAAGATAGCACACTGTTGAAATGCATGTTCATCAATGTTGCGTCAGTGCCACAAGGCATAACAATAAGCGAGACTTTGAAAACTGAGCCATTGGAAACGAATTGCACCTAAAGTTCTGTAGATATACAATGTAGGTTTTTGAAAATGTATCTTTAATGTGACGTCACACGGTATATTATGACATCATCATGACGTCACTTCAATTTTCATCCATTACACATCCTGGTCCAGGTAAATACCAAGTTACAACCAAATTGGACATTCAGTTCTGTAGATAAAGACATTTGAAAAAAGAACCTTTAATAATGAAGATGTCAAATATCATGTGCTGAATTTTAATCTATAACAATATCTCGGTTTAGGTACATACCAGGTTATAACCAAATCGGAATGACAGTTCTGTATTATAAAATATAGACCTTCAAAATATGCACCATTAATGTGATGTCATGTAACACGTGATGATGTCATGATGACATCAATGTTCAGTACACATCTGCAGGTGCTGGTCTATGAGTGCGCCCAGCATAAAGGCAATCGGATTGATGTGTACATGTCGGTGCTCTTAGTGCAATGCACGATGAAAACGTGTACAAGGAGTCTAGGGGAAAACAGATCTAAACAAAATCTTAACGTAAATGAAGGCTGTTTCGGCAACTTGCCGAAACAGCCAATTAATGGTAGAGTAAGATTACTTGTTTATGATAATATAATAATGATAATGGATTTGGCAATCAATTGAAACCAGTAATGACCTCTACGATTTTCATGGTGACTATTAGGAAATTAACCACAACGACTACTATGCTTGTTTAATACTAAGTCATGGAAGGCAGAAGTTCCAACAGATCATCCTGAGACGCACACAAAGTTAATACAATGTCAATAAATACCTCCATCCGAAGAAGCAGACACGTTGAGTTTATCATATCCACCATGGAAGGCTACCAGCGTTGAGTAGTACGTCTCCCCGTGCTGTAGGGTCACATAGCCAGAGCAGGCGCTGTGCTCGTGGCGAGAAACTTGAATAAAGTCCACCATGTTACTCAGGCCAGGCTGGGTCCCTACCGCCCACAGGTAGGAGAAGATCCCAGACTCGGGGTCATACCAATTGTGCCAGTTGGCACAAATCTGGGCAACAAAGCAAGGAAAAGAATGAAACTTTGAAAGAACTTACCAAATAAACAACCCCATCAAGTTGAAAGCTATATTCAAATTATACAAGTTTACCATTCAGTTTAATACATTCAGTTTTATTAATTTCTTGGTGGTAATTTAAACTTATGCTGACCCTGTTGTCAGGAAACTTCTCTTTTATAGAATCAAATACCGGTATTGTACGGCAGCAGCACTTCTAAATGAAACTTTTTAAAAATCTTTTTTTTTTTTTTTTGAATTCTAAAATTGTGTATAAACACCACATATTGACTATCATCTTTTGAAAGCTCTACACCCAACCTTTATGATCAGGATTTAAAACTTTCACTTTTCAGGTGATGTTTAAAGATGTCAGATGTCTGTGCTTGCAATATGGCCACAGTGGTCACTGAATGATTTACAGCAAGATCAATCGGTTGTGCCTAATTCCTTACAGGTACAGAGCCAAAATGCTAGACCACCACATGAGGCTTATTACTCTTTGCACAAAATGAGCCAATATAAAAATGGTCAGTGAGACAGCAAGCAGCCATATCACCTCCAATCTCACAGTGCATTGTTTAATCCTATCTAATATTGGCAATGAATTCCATAGTCGAGGCGTTAATGATTTCACTTCTCAACACACTTAAACAGCCCATGTATTATTAGCTGATATAAAATATACAATTTTGAGGACACTTTTAGAGCTCACCTCATTCCTGTCCTTGGTAAAGACCAGATCTCGTCCAGCATAGGGTCCATCAAACAGGTCACCAGCGATGGGTGGACTGTCATCAACCAGAATGGGCTCATCCGCGTGATCGATAGTTCTTAGGTCGACTGTGAAAAGGAAGAATATGGGAAACAGTTAATACTTCTGCACACATTGGGTATCTCTTCAATCGGAGGGATGGATAATTTGTGTTTAGAATAGGTTATTTTTTTGCTGACAATTGGGGTTTTTGATGCCCATCATTCTCCAAAATACCACTCTAGGTTTTTCATATACCGTCTTCCAAAAGTCCAATCTTTATTTACCGTTGTTGACTGCTCTGACTTTAACCCAGCAGGGTATGCCGTTGGGTATCTTGAAGTCCATGAAGAGCTGTTCAGCCAAGACGTGAGCCTCCCAATCACGCAGTGACTTATCCCTAGGAGTCCTGCCTGCTGCTAGGTGATACTCAAACAGATGAGAGTCCGGATCGCTGGGCATTTTATCAAAATACAATTATGTGTGAAAACTTCTGAATGAGTATATGTGTATGTGTGCAACTATACAAGAATTCTACTTTCTTTTTAGGCATAAAGAGGGCAATCTGTAGTTAAAAACATTTTGACTTTTAAAACTTTCGTGGCCATGCCACAATAGTGCACACCTTATGCTTTCTCCTGACATTACAACTTCTGACATCAGTGGACAGAGTTGTAATTGAGTCAATCACAAGTCAATTCACCAGTCAATTCCCAATTCAGGTCAGAAATAACAAGAGATGAACCACAGTTCATTTAAATAGCTTGTGAGTTGACTAGGGACCGGATGACTTGTGATGGACTTTAATATGTTGACTTGTGATTGACTTTTGACTGACTTGTGATTGACTTGTGATTGACTTGTGATTGACTTGTGATTGACTTGTGATTGACTTGTGATTGACTTGTGACTGACTTGTGATTGACTCTTGATGACTTGTGACTGACTTGTGATTGACCCTTGATGACTTGTGATTGACTTGTGTTGACTTGTGATTGACTCTTGATGACTTGTGATTGACTTGTGATGACTTGTGATTGACTTGTGACTGACTTGTGATTGACTCTTGATGACTTGTGATTGACTTGTGATTGACTCTTGATGACTTGAAGTGACTTGTGATGAATTGTGACTGACTTGTGATTGACTCTATTACAACTCTGTCAGGGATTTTCTTATACAGAATGTGAAAACCTTCATAAGTGTTTGAGCAACTCAGTGCTGCCTGGAAACTTGTGAGAAAACAAGCCTCCTCACGTGGGACGTGAACCCTGCACCTCATACTCAGTCATTCAGATGTGATTGAGATACTTGCACTAGTATCCTGGAGGTCAAGGGTTTGAGTCCCAACCGAAGAAGGTTGTCATTTTTTCAGATGAAAAAGCTCACAGGCTCTAGCTCTCCTGAAAATGAGTGCTTGATACAAATTTCATATGAGGCTTTTACAGCATATGTTCTATGAAGACAAATAATTTTAATTTGAAAATGTTTTGAGTAAAAGCTTTTTTTAATCTTGTTAAAAACAAATACACAAACTTTTGCCCCCAAAAATCTGACTGCTTACGTTGCGTTGACCTGCAATCCAATTCTACCAATGGAGGAGTCATAGGTGATGCCATCGATGCTGTAAATGATGGGCGGAGAATTGTCAACAATCAGAGGAGTGGTGTGACACACAGTGAGAGCCATAGGACCGCCAAACTCTACCTTGTTGAGAGCACGCACCGTGATGAAGTATGCATCATCTAATGACAAAATGGAAAAAATATTAGATTGTGCATTGACAGTTCCAATGAAAGTTTGCATTAGCCCTTCCCATCTTGTCAATCTTAATTTTTTGCATATAACTGAAGAAATCCTAAATTTCCTAAAATATAGGCACACAATAAAGCAAAATTTCAGTTCAGGAAACTGAATTCTCTGTACGCTTTAAGTCGATAACATAGTATCCACACACACACACACACACACACAAATGCAGGAAAAAACACTGCATCTAGTCACCCTTTATATATGGATCTGCTACAGATTAATGCTTTTTTAGACAGAATTGGGCCAACAATTAATCAAATTATTGAAGCCTTTTTACATATTGTGGCATGATTAATCCTAACAAATTAGCAAATGTGTAAAACCTTGATCATTAAATGAAGTATTACCTAGTAGATTGACATTCACAACCAGACCCCGGTGGGTCCATTCTGACTCATCAAACAGATGAGTGTGGGGATCAATATAGACCATTCAATGGACGCCCTTGGGAAGATAGTTTCACTACCACTAGAGAAGTCAATAGTTGTATACAATCATGGTCAATTAAACAATGTATATACGTTGATAATCAATGAAGATTTACCTGACAGATTAACATTGACAACCAGACCCTGGTGGGTCCACTATGACTCATCAAACAGATGAGCATGGGGATCCATATAGAACACTCAATGGAACACAATGGGAAAGTAATTTGACTATACCACAAATAATTGCATACTACCATCATGGTCAATCCTTGATGAAGATTAACCCGGCAGATTGACATTGACATCCAGACCCTGGTGGGTCCACTCTGACTCATCAGAGGATCAATAAAGAACACTAGCTAGAACCTCTTGGGGAAAATAGTTTCAATTTTCTTCTCAAAGCAGTCAATAGTTGCATACTATCATGGTCAAAGCAATTAATAGTTGTATAGTACCATGGTAAATTAAGCAATGCATAAAACTTTGATCATTGATGGAGATTTACCTGGCAGGTTGACATTCACAACTAGTCCTTCATGGATCCACACTGACTCATCAAACAGATGAGCACGAGGATCAATTTGGACCCCCTTTGGAAAAGTTTCGCTATACCACTCAAAGCGGTCAATAGTTGAACACTATATCACGGTCAATTGCAAAATGCATAATACTTTGATTGTTGATGACGATTTACCTGGCAGGTTGACATTGACAACTAGTCCCTCGTGGGTCCACTCTGACTCATCAAACAGATGAGCGTGGGGATCAATGTGAATGCTGACATCATCCTCACAGACAGCATAACCAATGGACCAGGTGTAGCCGTAAATACCGGTCTCGTTGTCATGGAAACCATCCCAGTTGGCTGAAAAAAAAAAAAGGAAAATGTGGCATAATAACTTTGAATACTTTCTAACATCACGGGACAACTCGAATTAAGTAAGTTGTTTCAAGCTAATGTGCCCCATCTTGTTCACCGGGCAAAAAGAAGACGCGTTGCTAGACGTGGGCACATTTTGGAATGAACGCATGCTGACGTGGAAGCACAAAAGTGTTCCATTGATGATGTATACACAGCAACGTGTGTAAAATTGCCCCGCGGGCAAGATGACGCATATCACTGTAAAACGCCTTATTAAAGTGAGGATTTAGAAACAGGCTGATATGTTTCTCTGTATTATTACAGTTGTTTGGTTTTGAGAAGACCGGGTTAAAGGCATGTAGGAACATGGGTACTTACCTGGAATTGTACCTTTTAAAACTAATGACAAAAACTACCTTCAAAGTGAAGATGGGACTGGTCCCAATACCCTGTGAACTTATCCATCAGAAATGGTTTTGATCCAAAGAAAACAATAATTGTAGGTGGTTTTAAAAAGTGTGCCCATAGCCACACTTTTTTATGTGCATTACCAATGACATCTAGTCAAGAGTCCCAAATTTGTTTGCATATTTAAATTTTGTTTTCTCCAACTGTAAAGTGGCTACTGAACTGAAAGTTCAACAGGTTATGTATAAATAAGCCTTTACCCAATTTTGTTGTTTCAAGCGAAAAAGTGCACAAAGAGCTAATGATCCTATTAACATAAGAAACGATGTGCTGCACTCATCTTCAAAAGAATGCAGTACTATCAGAGATGTGGCACAATCACCAAACTCTTGATCCTCCATCATGCCGACCTTATTACAAGTCTCGTTACAACTAAAGAATGCAAGCACACATGGAAGGTGTTGAATATATGCAGTAGTGTTGCACTGAATGTACAAGTGAAGCACACCTGTATAAACTCAGATCTGTAAGGTCCTCCCCCTTTTTCCTACCAGGCCCCGGCCATCCCTTACCTGCCATGAAGGTATTGCTTCGGGTATACAGCATATCCACTAGTTCCTCATGGCCGTTGAATACTGTCATAGAACCAGAACCATCAGTGATATACCTGTAGATAAGCATTGAGATAAAATAAACGTTGTGGATGCAATTAGAGAAAAACACAAAACAGTTCTCTTCAGAGAAGGTTTTTTCCATTGAACTGTTAACCAATAATAATAGAAAGGCCATGCACATATGGTGCATACACTCTTGTTTTACTATACTCTCAAGGACAATGCTTTGTGTTTTCCTTTGTCCCCGTAATATAACACTCTCCCATATAAGCACACAAACTTACTACAGAGGACCGTTTTGACCCAACTCCCGAGGACTGAAAGGATTTGTTGTTCTCCCTTGTGTGTCAGTCCTCAGGGGTTTTGTAGAACATATACAACTATACAGTACCTGTCCAAATATTCTAAAATCCACACGGCAATCAAGGGTCCTTTACATAGAAGGAATGTTAACTCACAAGTTTGGCTGTAACTAGTACAACTATATTTTTATGGAATAATTTTCAGTTGAGGACCATGAATTCCATCTTCTTGAATTACTGAATCTCATTAACCCATTAGCACCTGGTCAATACACTGTAATTATAAAATCAAAAAGTGGCATTTTCAGGCGCTACATGTCACTATGAACATTGGGATTCCTTAAATTTTCATGAAAGTCCACTTCTCTAATGAGAGTTAATGACAAAAGAATTCAGCACGCTCTAGAACAACATCTTTTACCGTGAGTGCGACTGTTCCTTCATGCAAATTTCAGCGACAGGAGAATTTATTAGGGAGAGTGTAACAATTACAGTATACAATTGTTGACATTTTGAAATTAGTTCCATTTCTGCTTTTACATGCAGTATGATGACTGACCCTGTACAGTGCCACTTTTTATATTTTGTGACTGGATATTAGCATATACAGGGTGAGTCAGGAAAAGCAGAACCCAAACCCCCCAAAATAAATTTCACATTTATAAAATATGTAGAACCAATCATAATAATGACTGGAAAGTCAATTTAATAAGCTACTGTTAGAAGAAAAAAATACTGAAAATGCTCAATCCAAAGAATATCACAATTTGAACACAATGACTCTAAAAACCTCTTTCGTCCCAAAATGCATTGCAAGAATCGTCGTCACAATTGGCTTCAAACATCACCAGCGATGAAACCTCAGTTTAAAAGTTTAAAATATTCAACAAAGCCCTTTTAAAGGCCTGTCTTTGATAAAAAAGTGGATTTTATAGATCATATTGTTTGCCTAACTAGGTTTGTTAGTAAAGATATTGTGTACTACAGTTGTTGACAGTTGTTGAAACAAGTATTCTGTGTTATTTGCTTTGTTCTTCCAAGCAGTCAGAATACACAATAAACTGTTTTTTTTTTATGGAACAGGTCATTGTGTTTAAATGGTGATATTCTTTGAACAGATTGAGCAATTTCAGTATCTTTTTTCATCTTAAAGTAGCTTTTGAAATTGGCTTTCCAGTCATATATGTTTGGTGCTACATATTTTTTTAAATATGAAATACATTTTTTTTGGTTTTGGGTCCTGCTTTTTTTAAAACTCACCCTGTATAGGTTGTTATTGTGTAACTGCAGATTATTTATATTCTAATGGCAGTGGTTTTACCGATGGTTATCTAGCGGTGTGTCTTCAATGCATCGTCTCTCCCATTCTTCTGGTGTGAACTCCACGCACGCTTCACGCACCACCTCATCCCTGGTCCCATTCATGATCAGCCCTGGCTCCGGTGTTGTGAAGTCCGCTACGATGCCAACGGACGAAATTATGTTCTCATACGCCACGTAGTTCAGCAGCTCTATGTTGAAGTAGTAGAGGTTGGTGTGGTCTAGTCGGAGGGACTCGTGGTTGAACTCTACAGCGTGACCCACACCGAGGCGCTCATAATGGGTGAAGAGTCCCGACTGAAATGCAACGTCAAGATTAAATGCATGCAAGTTCGGGGGCTGTGCAGGATTTGTTTGTGATTCATTTATTATTAGTAAATGATTGCACCTTCTTGAAACTGATGGCATGGATTTACCAGATTTAAAGTTTACAGTACAATCCACAACTTAAAACACTTTTTAAAAAATAATTTATTACATTTTCACTGCAAGAGAGCACAGTTGTTCCTACAGCCTGTACAGTATGGGCGTAGTCCAGTCCATCACAAGGCCCTGCAAGTCCATCAAAAGTCATCTAATCAAATGAGCTTCGACAAAGGCATTCCTTTGTTATTGGTCACTGTTTCTTGTGACTGGAGCTGTTATCAACGGCGGATCAGAAAAAACTCAACCCCCTTTTTTTTTTTAAGTGACAAAAACGAACCCATTTTTTTTTTTTAAGTGAGATTGCAAAATAGGCAGCCACTGCATACACCACCATCTTTTGTTTAAAAAAATGTGTTAAAGTGGTCAGAAATTGCTTCAGATCGCACCACAGAGCATCTACTGTAGAATCCAAAAAACTAAGCGGGCCCCAAACCCCATGACGAAATTTTTTGATTCAACTTGTTTTGAGGAACAAATTTGTTTTTGTCCCCCCCCCCAAAAAAAGTGTTCTGGATCCCCCATTGGTTGTGATTTACTTGTGACTGGACTTGTGATGGACTCAACTAAACTCCTGCTGTACAGCTTGGTTCATAGGTGCTGCAAAAACAGAAGCTCAAGTGAATTTATAACTCCACAGCAACTGTTCACAATGCCAATTCACAAATGAAAGCTGATATATTTTAACCTCAGCAACTTTTGATGAAGAATGGTTTGTGATGTAAAATTCATTTGGCATTCATATTCGCTTTAGCATGAGGTATAAACTGGCAATTACTTGCATTACACTCGCAAGTTCATGCAGTCATGTTTTACTATACTCCTGAGAACAATGCTTTGTGTTTCCCTTTGCCCCTGTAATATAACACTCTCCCATAGACTAAGCACATAACCATACGATCGAGGACCGTTTTCGACAAAAGACGCAACATCCGAGGACTGAAATCTGTTGTTCTCCCTCACGGTCCTCGGGGGTTATGTAGTACATGTACATTTAAACACTTGATATCATGTAAACACTTAACAACTTTTCATCTGCAAAGGAAAGGAATGCCTTTGCAAATGTGAATGCCAAACGAAAGTGGACTTCTAGGCCATTTAGGGAGTCAGGTTGGCGTAGCGGTACTTTCCTCGCCTTCGGGTTCGAATCCCGCCTGGGCCAATATGTGGATTGGGTTTTCAGTCCCTGCCTGATTCCGTGGGTTTTCCCCAGAATATTCTTTTGGGCTTTTCCTCCCACCTCTAAAATTGTAACTTCTTCTCATTGTCTTCTCTCCATTTATCCATCCTGTTATTGGCGCTTGCGCTGTTGGATGTGGCTGAAATAAAATAAAATAAATTCTGTTGACCGAGATGAAACCATTCTACCGACCTCATGAACTTCGACCCCATGACCCTCAATCTCCTCCAGCAGTTCACAGGTGAAGTCCCGATAGTCGTAGTTGATACTCAGACATTTGCTTTCTGGGAGGGCCAGGCAGTCCCTCGCACAGAAGTTGGGGTTGCGATGGATGATAGTCGACGTTGGCTTGGAGATGAGGCGGCCTTTTTTGGCAGCGGTGAAGTAGTCAAGGTCATTGTCTGTCAATAAGAACAGTGAAAAGAATGTTTGCTAACTTCCTTTTGGAAATATTGTTGTATTGAACAGCAAGACTCCAGAAATTATTCCATAGGCTGTGCAGCAGCGTATCCAGCTTTTGATGTCAGGGAGGGGGCAACCGCACATCCGCGCCAAAATGTAGACATGTTTTTTTCTCTGGACACTTGTCCTCCATAAAATGAGAAAAAAAAACGGGGGTGGGGGGGGGGGAGGGGGCTGGTACCCATCTTCCAAATGGGGGTGCTCTTCAAAACTGACCTTTCTTATGCATGCTACAAATAATATGGACATTATCACGGTGCATTGTAATGGTTGTTGAGCGGGTGTTCTGTGGTGGGATTGATGTAAGAAGAAGTCTATAAACATTTATTTCAATCATTGCTGACAAAAAAATAATTGTCAAAAAAATCTGCCGCCCCCCCGGATACGCCACTGAGGCTGTGTAAGTGTACTGTTTCATGAGCTTCAGTGATGAGAAAGAAATCCTTAACAGAATTTTGGTAACACATTAATTTATTTTATGTTGTGTAAGTCCTTTTCTTATCTGTTAAACTTTTAGTACTAATCATTCCTAAATGCTGTAATGTTATTATATAAATTTATTGATGGGCTTATCATTCAATTTTAATTTGTTTGGACCTTAGTTTTTAAATTTTATCACTTAAATGATCAAATTGTTTATAAGCAGGAATATCGATTCAACTGGCTCTGTTTTGATGTCTGATAGTCGAGCAGTCCCTCTGCATGGCAATATTTGTGCATAAAGCCCATACACACGGCTGGGATACACGATACCTAACGGCTAGAATAAACCAATTAGAGCACGGGATTTCTAGCCCATTGGCAAGCAAGAAAAGTTTGCAGCATTCCATTCAGGATGAGGTGATTTTCAGCCAATGAGAAATGGGCGGCAATGCACATTTGGCGGCAAACCAAGCCGTGTTGCGCATTTTTGGCGGCAAACCGAGCATGCAGTCACTTTTGTCTCAGCCTCCAACGGACAAACACTGGAATAATTGAATGCGTCTCCAAAATTATGCTTGTATTATTATTGTAACAATTTAGGTTTTTCCCATTTTGTTTAGTCTTGGAGACCATCGCAAGTTAAATTCGTATGTATTCCAGCGCTGATGACGCCTGACACCTGACGCTCACGCGAAGACACTGTGGCTAATTGCTTTGGCACATTCAGGAAGTCATATGTCGGGTGCGAACCGCTACAGTACAGTATGCATGTGCACAGGCTGTGTGTCCCGTCCACTGAACTCTCACAAGTAGTAAATATTCACCCTCTTTTGTTGGCACACGGAGCCCATACTTACCCAATGTTCCAATTTCATCCTTCTCTGTGAGATCAATGGTATTCCACGGTACAATCTGATCGCCCCAGATTTCGGGGCCGAACCCGACCCCTTCCTTCTGCATCAAGAGGACAGAATCGTCGTACACCACAGCCGCGGCACGGAGTATGTACGGGTGACTGGTGGAGGTGAAGTCTGGCGTGATGCGACCCGTCGGCAGAGTGATGTCAAAGGTCGGCAGGCTGCAGGTAGCCGTGGCGGTGCCTCCCCCGTTGTTCATGGCATGAACGGTGAAGTGGAGAGGATGGCCTCCTAGCAGAATCTATAAACAATAAGAACAAGAACAGTAAACTTGGTAAAACTGGTTGGCAAACTCTGACTCGTAGATATCATCTTAACTTAATAGGAACGCCTTCTTTCTTGTAGACAGCAACCAATACAGATCATTTTGCACATTACCAAGTGTCGAAAGCTAAAATGGAATTTGTTTTTAATAATCTCATGTTTACCTTAAACCCTTCTGAATCTTGTTTGCATGCATGTTGCTTTTTTTGGCCTAAACTATCAGGATCCTTATTACTATTGACATTTAAATTAATTTTTCCACAGTGATCCTAAACAACTCAAACATGCCATGGGTGTGTCTTCCCTATGTCCCCTTCCTGTTAAATTGTGTGCATTGACCAATTAGATCTTGACTTTTGTTCAGGTGACAACAGTAGCTCGGTCAAACTTAATCACAAGCATTGTGGGATATGTATACAAACCGAAGATTGGCATGCAGGGCCAATGGCCAAATCCACAACGGATTTTATACAGTGTAACAACCCATACGAGACAACTTTCAGTTTCAATAGGCCTAAGACGTAATGACGCCACACTTTGTCTACATGTGCGCTTTCCTATGTAGTAGACAGATATTATGGACAGAGCCAATAATGTCACTTATGTGAGGACAGAATTACTGTCAAGCAGTGAAGGCAATGCTTACTTGTGAGATGATGGCTGAGGGTCCTCCAAACTCTGTCCTAGTGAGAACATCGCTGCCTCCTGGTGCTGTGCCGACCTGGTAGAAGAACGTGACTATGCTCTTGTCATCAGCTGCGACCATCTCTAGCTGGAAGGCTGGCTCTGTGTAGTCTAGCCCAGGAACCTGCTCCACGCCGCAGTTGTTCCCTCCTGCACTTCTGGCTGCAACATCCTTTTGATAAAAAAAGTTAAAAAGCCATTTTAGGATATCAAAAGATTTAGAAACATAATTGTACACTTCCGTGTTAGACAACAAAATAATTACATGTACCATAACAATATGGCACAAAATCGCTACACAATTGATCTTTATCTGTTGTATATGCTCACTGTTTCCAGCAGTTGCATATTCAAACCAATATATTAAATTGGCTTGCCATAAAGCTAGAAGGTAGAATATATCAATTGCAGCTATACAACAAGTAATTATTGTTGAAAGCTTACTTGATTCAAAGATAGTAATGGCATTAAACTCCCTGTGAAATTATTCTTTCTGGCATGCTGTAATTTTGAAGAAAACATTGAAAAAGAAAATTTTCAAAGATACGTCTAAAGAAGATTTGTGGAAATTTCCGTTTTCAATTCGGCAAAGCCATGAATGGGTGTGCGCAAGCGTTAACACGATGCACACGCAGTTGCTGTTAATCATTGGTTCAGAGCGTGACATCACGTAGCTGCAATCTACTGAATGGGAACGTGTCCCGGACGCTGATTTCGGGCGCAATTCAAAACATGACTCTGCAACTTTTGAATTAAAATAGAGATCCTTCATCAGGCTTGTTGTTAAGCACACTTCTTTAGATTTTGAGCACTTTTATTGCTTGAAACGGGGAAAAATGCACAAATGACAAATTATATTCTCTACCTTTAAGAGTTAAAGGGGCACTGCGTCCTGAAATCCCTGAAAATGTTATGTGTCGGATTGTTTGCTTAGCCTATTTCAAACATCGGTTGAAAGGAAACCAACCTAATGTCTCACCGTTCCTGAGAAAAGACGAAAAAAAACCCTGATTGTTTACATCGGACACCACAGAGTATGATTCGTGTTTCCTGTCGTTTCCATACAATATGTACGATACACATTGATTGTGTCTAGTTATTACACACGTCCACAGCTGTGTGCTCACGGACAGCAGTGACCAATCACTAATGCACAATACGTGATTTCTTACACGTCCGCAAAGGCAAACCCTTTTGGCTGGAATCAAAACTAGCACGAACAGCCCAACTTTTTGGGGTCGCAAAAGTGGAGCCCGAAAGACATTCTCGCACGAATAACAAGAATATGCAGCCTTGATTAACCCTGTTGTTTGCCGTAACATGCACAAGAAGTTTGTGTATGTTCTACTTGGGCTTGTATTTAGAGTACACTTTCAAAATTCAATCCATCTAATTTAATTATGTTCATCAAACATGCATATGAAATCAAAAAGTCTGCGCCCAGGATGGCTTCAAAGCGTCTCCGCGTAATTAGCACTCTAGTAATTTAATATAGCTCTATGGCCATGACAGACAATGAGAATGATTTGTCATGTCCCGGCAGCATTTCCACTGTGAATTCTGCACCACTATGGCAAATTATGCTGGAAGTATAGGGATTAGATTGTGATCAATTGAAAAAGAAAAATCCTGAAAACAGACGAAATGTCAGAAAAATGCATATCTTTCTATACAGCTACTGTCTTGTTCTCAAATTCAAAAGGTCAGATTTCAGACAAAAGTTTGAAAAGTCTCAAACCAGGTTGGAGGTAAAATGTGACCTGCTAAGGCTAAATGAGGAATGTCCCCCAAAACTTTGTTATGAGTTTTCGGCGCCTGAGGTTGCCTATGTGTTAAAAATCATGTCAAAATTAGATTTTGGAAATTTAAATTTTTGAGTAACCAGGATTTCTAAGATTCACACTTTTCATTTGGATTTTGATGCTGTCTGAACTGGCCTTAGCATTGGCAATTATAGGCCCTTGCTTATCCAGAAAAGGGTAGCATGTGCTTGAAATAATTTTTTTTTTTGGTGTTCAGAAGAATTCAGGCTTGCCTTAGGCACTTGTTATATCTACTTCACAGTATTTACCCCTTGATGAATACATAAAACCAAAGTGCTGGGGCGGTTTGGGGCGGTATAAGGAGTCACAGGCAAGGCACTTTGGGGCAGTACAGAGACTGGTGGGTTAATGAGATTGCCTCCAAATTGTGAAACATTTAAGCACTTCTGTTGGATCAGCAGATTACCAAATTTGATTATTATAAGACTTTAGTCACACTGTTAGTCTGTTACCTGAGAGGAATATTCTGAGATCTCTGGTGGTGATGGGTCAGGATCCTTGGTCTCAATGTGGAATATGGTGCCACCAATCGGTCGAGTTTGGTAGCGCCACAAGTCCCTCTTATAAAGCGTTTTCTTTCCAAAAACGTAGTTGACGGTCACTTTGCCTCTGAGGACAAGGGTAAGTGGGATCATTTCTACTTCCAATTTTAACCTACAATGAAAACAGAAAATAAAGAAATTCTAGAGATTCAAATAGAGAAAAGTATAAAAGAGCAGGTTTAGATATAGGTCACGTTCAAATGACGTCATTTACTACAGACCATCCACGAGCATCGGCTTTTTAAGCGTCAACTGGCATAACGCCCATCAGCTGCGTCGTATTTTGTGTATGGAACATTTTCAACACTGCGCAATGCATGCTAGATTACGTAAAAACACAGTTGCACTTCTCCTACAGAAATGGCCGTCATTGAAAGAGCCCCATTAAATGGAATAATAGTGTGGGAGGACTGGGAGAGCATTTTTGAGCTGTCTGGTTTAAAACCTAGCAGGGGCCTGGTCACCGATAAGGCGAGGGTCATTATGAGCAATGGGCCGATTTCTCGAAAGTCGAAACTCGTCTTATCTTGCGACTCATCTTAGGACTCAGGATGGGTCCCCCCCCCCCCCCGCTCAAAGATCAATATTATAGCTAAGACGCTTCCTAAGACTGATTTTTTACTAAATCCATTTTAGGCCAAAAAAAAAAGTCTCCGGTTTCTGGTATGCGCGCGCGTCGCCGTAGCCATGCGCGTCGGCAAAATGAGAAAGTTTTTTTTTCAATACAAGATGATGTCTCTAAACTGCCAAACTCACTGGTTTGACTGGAATCCTGCTGCTGCACAATTTTAACGTGTTTTTAGATGGGGTTATGATCGAGAATAAGCTTTATGTGGGCTCTCTGGACTCCCATATATTTGCACTAAGTTTAGTCGGGCACCATTTGCAGTCATCAGCCGACATTTGAAGCCAAAAAAAAAAAAAAAACAGGTAAAAAAAAAATTAAAAAGCTGCGTCGCCGCACCACTTTTGGGGCAAGCTCCATACCAGAAACCGGAGACTTTTGTTTTGGCCTTAAGCAAGACGCATCAATTTGGTGTTTGTTTCACGATTGTTTTTACCGCTTGACGAAACAGTCGTTAAAAAGAAAAGTGCAAATCAACGTATGCATAGAACACAAACTCCTGTCACAGAAATTACTCTGTTCAATTAAATTCACATGCCAGGTATTTCTACATATACCAAAGATGTGATAGAGGCATTCTTACTCATGGAGTCATGTGATAGAGTCATTCTTGTAAAATTAAATTTTGTAAGCTATCTACCCACCTATAAGAAAACCTTTTCAGCTCTGTTTCTGCAGCAGTTTTCTTCCTCGAAACTATAACTCTAGACTAAAATTTGTCTTTAACAAGAACAAATTGCAATGATTTCTAGACGATATACACATTAACCCAAGAATTAATGTGATAAGATGACCCTCAAACAATCTTAAGTTAAGACGAGTTCAGCCGCATTGCTAAAGAAGTTAGGGCATGTTCAATGCATCAAAAGTTTGGTGACATTAATCCTAGGACAAGTCGCGAGTTAAGACGAGTTACCCTTCTTAAGGCCTTTCTTACCATTTCATGAAATCGGCCCCACTGCGGCCCCTACCTGGTTTTAAACCAGTCGTTAAAACTGCTTCATCGCACTAATAATCCCATTCACAAATACCTTTATGGTCAAAAATGCAGAAACTTCCAAAATTCTGACAATGTTTTGTTTGTAAACGTTAGGCTAGATTGGTATCCATGCAGTTTTTGAGCCTTGGCTGCTTCTGATTTGAAAAAAAAAAACAAAAAAAAAAACATCCACAGACATAAAACTTCCAAGGTCTTACCCAACATCCAATGGAAACTTTGAGAAGAATATCTCAGCTGTTGTGGGGAAGGTAGTTCTGAGCATCTCTGCAGTGAGTTCCATCTCTCCACACATCGGCCCGAGACATATACGAACGCCGGCTGTTGCATATGCTCCAGCTGATAGTATCACCCCACCCTGTGAAGCATGAGACTTTCTATGATCTTCAGTAACACTACTACTTTTAATACTACAAAGGCAACTGGAGTCATTTAACTATAACTCCCTGACCGTCTTTTGTCTTCAAGTAAACTTGAATCCTCGATCCTGATTGGTCAATTCATGGCATAAAGCTGTGCTACATATAACCATGTAGCATGGCCTCGGTCCATACTGCACTCTGTGTATTGCGCTTTTCTAATATTGCATACACCATGCACATAGGGTAACAGCTTAAAAGTTTGTGTACAGCGTGCGTGTTTCATCCTTATTGTGTGTAAACTTTGCTTAAAGATAAATTTGTTATCGCGCTCACGCTCGTGGAACACGGAAAATGTAGTGCGTCTGTGACCCACATACCTTCGGCCTCGTGGTATGTGGGACAAGGACGCACTACATTATTCCGTGTTCCACTCGCGCTCGCGGGATAACTTATATTACTTAGTACTGGACCAAGTCTGCCAAAATCTATCACTGACCCTGCTTCACATAATGCTTCAGGACCAAATCCAGTGAAATCCACCACAAGACCACCATTACTATCGGTGGATTTTGATGGACTTGGGTGCAGATTGCTTGAATGTAAAAGTCCCCCCGAAGGGGAGACAGGTTATTATGGAGTTGGGAAGGTTACGGTTCAGGTAAGAATTACAGGAATGCCAAGTGTGTGACCATGACAGAACCATTATTTGCATAGCATCACAGAGGAATTATAGTCAAAGTCCACTTTACCAATAGCTACAACACTCACACTTATTTACTTTGTTTTTTGTTTACAATGCATAAGACAGTCTGTACATAATGTTTATTTTATTTATGACTGAACAGTGAAGAGCAGATTAGCTACGATATAGTTATATAAGGAGTATGAGGTTGAAAGGTAACCTCTGCACCATGTTTTTTGCTCTGAATCATAATGACATTCAAGGTGGCTGTTTTGCAAAACAGAACAGGTTTACATTCACTTCAAATGACAAAGGAATCAGAAAATCAGTGGGGGAATTTTATCGGTCACAACATATGATGATGGTAAGTAGCACATGATCAAATGTGTATTTCACTGATAAGTCATGAGTTGAAACCTAGCTGTTCAAGTGTAAAAGCAGTATTTGAAAAAAGTGTGTATTTTACCGTGGCATGCATTGAAACAAAGTAGACAGACATTGGTATCTCCATTTCACAGAAACCACCAGCTTCAACATCTGAAACAAAAAGCAAACAATATTGTTGTCTCTCAAAATAATGCACTTAATTCACAGTGTTTCATTGAGACTCAAATCATTGCCAAAGCTTATTAGAAAGGGTTTTCAAGCAAATCAAATACATTTAGCCAATGAATGAACTACAGGGGGAGGGCTCATGGCGGTTGGGGGTTCCCCAAGTGCCCCCTAGAAGTTTAAGCCTAATTTAATATGCCACTGCAGTTAGTGTGCTGGATATGTCATCATTTTGTGTGGTACTTCTTGTGATGCAATACGCAACTCACTATCTGCTACGGATATATCGTGCGCTACCCGTCGTTCGTGTAAAACGTACAGTAAACTGTCAATGTTCATCCTCTTTTCTGATAATTGAATTTGGGTGATTTTATTGAAAAAGGATACGTTTTTTTTTAAAGTGATGCCATTTATCTGTATTTCAAAGCAGGATTAGTCGTAGATACAACGCTTTCACTGGAGGCCACCAAAGTTTTTTATTGATAACTGTTCCGATGACTGGGCATATGCATATGCTACAAGATCTGAAACAACGGAGTGGTCGATAATGGTAATTAAGTACTGCTATACACAGCTAAATATATGCGTACACGTATCCATTTGGATGTGAAATCATTTTTAACAGTCCCAACTTGGCCACCATTTCCACAATGTTTGAGTCACAAGCAAGGGTATTTTGATCACATTGACATCAATTACATAATGAGCAGCAAGCACTAAATTGTAGAAACCAACAAGGAAAATTGACCTCTTCTTCATTACATTCATGGGTCTGAGCATGATTCCGTATGATGACATATGCGACAGTTGATTACATATTCAAATAGGGCTGAGAAACGACGATAGTCAATGAGGGTGATACTTACAGAACTGTAGCCTTATAAAACCACCAAGGACGGTCGTGTATGATTTCTCGAAATACACCCCGTCTTTCAGCGGGTAAGTAATTTTGCCACTCAGCACAATGTCAAACTGCTCGAACGCATCTTCGGCAATGCCTTCAGTGACTACATCAATCAGTTCTTCTGTCTGAGAGTGGGTGGAAACAAAATGTAAGAGCTACATCAGCAAACTCAACTGATAGGATTGCCTGGAATTGAGAATCCATGGGGTGTACGCAGGTGTTTTACTACCACATGGCAGTGTTATAGTACTCGTACTTGGTACTCGTACTCGAGTACTACTCGAGAACTTTTTTGGAGTACTCGTACTCGTACTCGTACTCGAATGTCAAAGTCCAGACAAATACATTTAACAGAAAGCCGTGAGTGGGTCTATATATCGGTCTGATTGGGCCTGGGCCAACTACGCACAATAAACCAATTGCCGTATGGCTGTATTCGGAAATGCGAGTACTTGTACTCGGAAGTACTAGTACTCGTACTCGGAAGTAAAAGTACTCCTACTCGGAGACCCATTCTTGTACTCGGAGGTACAAGTACTCGTACTCGGCAACCTAAGTACTTGGCAGTACTCGGTACTCGGAAAAAAGTACTCTACTACAACACTACTACATGGCTTTTTTCTGTATGCAAAATCTATTTTCACAGCTCTTTCTAAGGGTGGCAATTTCTTGTTAATGTTGGGTTGGATTGGGTGGGTGGGTAGGGAGGGGAGTTGGAAAAACCAGATAGGGAAATTTGAAAACCCTCTTATTGAGATAGGTGGTGGATTACCATGGGTGGTAGATGACAGTGGAGATAATACAAAGCATCTACAATGTATATGCACTTGGAAAAGGATTAGGGGTGGGCCATTGCCGTTGGCACATTGGCATCCCACAAGGAGAAACATTGGGGGGTGGGAGGACCACCCCCCCAAAAACAGGTTTCTTTCACACAAATATATGCTCAAATAGAATGTCCTAAAGACTTAGTATAGCAATGGCAACCAAAATGTATCTTACTCTGCAATCTTGCTATAGTCTGGTAACTGCTTGTAAACGATATAATAACTTTGACTTGGAGTCATTGTTACACGAGAAAGCCCACCTCATTTTTAACACAAGAAACTCTTAAAGGGCAATACGGCCTGAAATTTCTGAAAACTTTTATGCTGTGGACTGTTCGCTTATTCTAATTCAAAGGTCCGGTTGAAAGGAAACTAACCTAATGTCTTACCATTCCTGAGAAAAGAAAAAGAAAAACACCTGGTTGTTTACTTTAGATGTGGTGAACATTTTGAGGCACATAATAAATTTTAACTCACAAAGGTTCTGTAAAGAGAGCGTAAGTCCTTCATCAATTGAACCACAACGATCGGGTCGATGTTCTGAAGATCCAGCATTGCTTCCAACTCCCCAATGGTCATGTTGGCTATGCGCTTTTCGAGAGCATCAAGACCTTTCACTGTTAGACATCAAACAATCAAAGGCACATTAAAAGCCAAAAATAACATTTGCTAAAAAAAACCCATAAAATTATCAAATTAATTTCAATTTAGCTAATTGTAATAAGTAAATTATAGTACTGATGAAGCATTGGGCGAAATCTTAGGAATATTGTAACACTTTCCAATGATCACCGGCTGAACAATTGTTGGAAAACAGTTTTTTTCCATATGCCGCATCCAATAATTGGTATGAGCCAGCTATTGACATTATGCGCATGTTCAGTAACACAATGTACGTGTATTTTTTTTTTTATATGCACGACAGATGCATATTGTGCATTGTAACCTAGATGGCTTACTTTCACATGAAACTTTAACAACCAAGAATTCTGTATCAAATCTCAAAATGGCCACTACCTGTGTACACAGCACTGGGTTTTGGCTCCACAGTTTTGCCATCCATCACAGCTTTAAAGGGTTGCCTACTACATAGTGCACGCTGCGCAATACGATCTTTGCCTACTACAACGACGTTCCAGTACCCAGATGTATAAGGCCAAACCTCACTGTTTTTGAAACTACGTCAAAATTGCTTCATTCAAACTTCATTTAATAAACAACTTACATGTTAATCCTCCACCGATGATAACGTTTCCTTGCCATGTAGCACTGACAGCCAGGCTAAGGTCCAACAAACTAGCTCCCCCTACAACAAAACAAGGCGCATTAGATGGTTTTGAAAATGACTGGCATGAGTCTAGTTATTTAGGTGCACGTAAGTCCTTCTATAAATGAACTGGTTTTTTTCATGCGTGTGATACCCGTTCATGCCATCTGAATTGCAATTGTTTGTTTCCCATTGACCATTTACAATGACACATGATAAGTTATGCAACCTTTGTATTAATAAGGGAATACATATGTGCTTGGCAGGTCTTAAACAAGTACGTTTAACCAGTTCACGCCAGGAATATTTTGACAAGAACGGAACGAGGCGTAACGTACCTGACTCATGTTCATCACTCACTAAACCAGTCATCATCTTCCAGTATTACCTGAAATCCCTGAGAGTGCTACGTCCCTTCTCTTTCTGCTTGGTACAGACGTTTCGTCTTCGTTACCAAAGACGAGTAGACCCATGGAGCGACGGCTTGATGTGCCTGATTCAGGAATCCCTATAACAGCAAGCACACAACTTCATTCAATTTCACCTTGAACCTTTGTTTCGTATCAATTTCAAGGTGTCGACATTAATCCACCACTTCTTGAGTATGGGTTTATAATCAGTTTTGCATCATAGTCATAATTTGCGATTCCTTTTTTTAATATATATTTACAGGTTTTGAACAGCCCGACACCCACAAATAGACATAGGCTTCCTCCTCCTCAAAATCTTCCCCTTTGTTTGCCCACTTTCGGATTCCTACCACAGACATGTACGAACCGTGCCCCCACTTCATCCTGTACTCAGTTTCACAAGTGCTCTTCTGCCATTATAGGGCTTGACAAAATTGTGTTAATTCACAAGTCACTCACAATTATGTCCTCCAGTCTTAATTCATATTACAATTAAGCACTTTAAATCAACCGGGACAATATTCCTTTCTCGTATTTTATCCCACTGTTACTTTGGACCTAACTTGTGATTGGTCTTGTGACTGACTTGTAATTTGACTTGTGACGGACTTGTGATAAGACTTGTGACAGTCCTGTGATTTGACTTGTGACAGACTTGTGATTTGACTTGTGACTGACTTGTGACTGAGTTGTGATTTGACTTGTGTCTAGCTAGTGATTAGACTTAATTGTGACTGACTGACTCGTGATTAGATTTGTGACTGACTTGGTGATTTGACATGTTGTTGACTTGTGATTTAACTCATGACTGGCTAGTGATTTGACTTGCGACTGACTAGTGATTTGACTTGTGACTGACTATAGTGATTTGACTTTTGATTAGACTTGTGACTGACTGGTGATTTGACTTGTGACTGACTAGTGGTTTGACTTGTGACTCTAGTAAGTGATTAGACTTGTGACTGACTAGTGTTTTGACTTGTCACTGACAACTGATTTGACTTGTAACTGACAAAAGTGATTTGACTTTTGATTAGACTTGTGACGGACTAGTGATTTGACTTGAGACTGACTTGTGATTTGACTGGAGACTGACTAGTGATTTGACTCGTGACTGACTACTGATTTGACTTGTGACTGACTAAAGTGATTGACTTTTGATTAGACTTGTGACTGACTAGTGATTTGACTTGTGACTGACTAATGAATTGACTTGGACTGACTAGTGATTTGACTTGTGACTGACTAGTGATTTGACTTGTGACTGATACCCCCGTCACACCGGAGGTGCGGTGCCACTGCGGAGCTTGTACGGCATAAACCGCAGTGGCACCGCCATGATCGCCGTGGTTCCGCAGTGGTTCCGTCATTGATTGCTGTAGCACCGCGGAAAACTGTAAAAACCACGGACCTTCGCGGTGGCACGGTGGAAACTTTGAACATGTTCAAAACTTCCGCAGTGCCACTGCGGGTTGGGCCAATCCGCAGTGGGATCGCCGCGGCACCGCCATGACTGCCGTGGCACCGTACAAGGACCGCAGTAGGACCTCTATCACCGCCGTGCCTTCGCAGTACAACTGCCGTGCAATTGCGAAAAAGTAGACTGGCGACCCTACGGCGATCCCGGGGCGGTTCTACTGCGGGTTATGGCATATATAGCCGCCGCGCAGACGTCATGGAGCCGCCCTGCTGCCGCAGCGCCACTGCAGTAGCACCGCCAGGCCCGCAGTGGCACCTCACTGGCCCCGCAGTGCTGCCGCCAACACCGCAGTCCTGCCGCAGTGGTAACTCAATGGGATCATCATGTCCGCAGTGACACCGCCGTGGTTCCGCCCTGGTTCCGCAGTAGCACCGTGAAGAAAAACACATGTGTGACGGGTAGGGGAAAACTGTGAAAAACTACTGCCGGTGTGACTACGGTGATGGCGGTTTTGACCAAAAACTGTAATGGCACCGCGCCTCCGGTGTGACGGGGGTATGACTAGTGATTTGACTTGTGACTGACTAGTGATTTGACTTGTGACTGACTAGTGATTTGACTTGTGACCGACTAGTGATTTCAGTTATGAATGAATTGTAATTGAAAAAAAAAGTGACTCACTGGGCTTGACCACTTTCTCTGGCTGCAGCTTTGTCATGGTGTTTTCCTCTGCTGAATATGAGGTGGAATTTTTACTAAGAATAGTCTTAAAGTATGCCCTGGCCTTGTCTATAGGGTTATCTGTCACCTCATCCATGCTGTCCATTCCCTCGGCAGATTCACTGGTACTGTGGAACAGAATCACAGACAATGGCAATAAAAATGGCATTGCATTGAACTATCAAGGAACAATTTCATATAAGGCAAATGTGCTTTGGATGCGCTACTGAAAACCAGCTGAAAATTGTGATCATAAGTTACAGGAAGCATACCAATGTCAACAACTGACATCACTACAATGTAATATACACAATGCTGCCACAACCAAAAATCTTATGTTATTGCAACACTATATATACCAGAGTTGTAACGAGTCACTGATTTTTGTGACTCGAGTCGAGTCGAGTCATTTTAAAGAAGTGACTCGAGTCGAGTCGAGTCATTAGGTCAACAAGGTCGAGTCGAGTCGAGTCGAGTCACAGAGTGTGGTCGAGTCGAGTCGAGTCGAGTCAAGTATTTAGATCGAGTCAATTCGAGTCACAAATATTTGAACACTAAATTACAATAAAAAGCAACAAACACAAGAGAGAAAGAATACAAGGCACCAGTCTATTACGGAAATCCAAAGACATAAAGTATGCTGTATGGTACCCAACCAACAGTTTCCATTGCTAGCTCACGTCACAGAAAAGAAGATGTGAAACTTCGGTTTTATAACTGGTTTGGCTTCGGGTCTAGATTTTGTTGTTCGCTGATCGCTGACAACGTTAAAACCTAATTGCATTATACAAAACTGTTTCTGATTATTTAAAGGTGGGCCCGTCCGTATCCATTTTTTTGTGTGAAATCGGGACATGAATTTAGCCAGCGTTCCACCAAGAACTTCAAAATCGCCCGAAACCAATGATGAAACCACGGATTGAGAAATGCGTTTTAAGTCTGGTTCCGGGTTTAGCATTACATGCTATAGAACCACAAGGTGGGAGTCCGCGACACGGTGTATGTTTGTTGTTTCATTATGGAGGAAGGATACAGACTGCCGCTGTATATAAACGTACATTATTCGCGAACATTAACGTGACGTGAACAAAAACTGGCAACGCGAACGGCGCAGCGTAAGTCATTGCAAATATTTTTCGCAAGTAAGTTTTGCTTTTATTTTGGGACTCGAGTCTTATTAGCCTTCCTCGAGTCGAGTCGAGTCATTCTGATGAGGGACTCGAGTCGAGTCGAGTCATTTGCTCGCAGTGACTCGAGTCGAGTCGAGTCATTTACCCGTCGGGACTCGAGTCGAGTCGAGTCGCCAAAAAATGTGACTCGAGTCGGACTCGAGTCGAGTCATTGACTCGAGTCATTACAACTCTGATATATACAGTGGTGGGATTGGAGGAAAATGAAAAATCGACGAAATAATATGCAGAGGGTTAAAGGGTCATTGAGGGCCCCAGAGCAACATAAGGTCTTTGGTATATGTAGGTATATCTTTGTATGTTATAAGCCTTAAGGCACCCCTTCCAATATCATTTGTTTCGATAAATAAACTTTCATACATAAACCTCAGGAATTCCAGATTTCAAAAGGGATACTTTATAGAAATCCCGAAATTGGTAAGATCCTGCCAAATCTCACCCCTGCTATATATAATATTTGAGTAAGCCAATGAACTTCTGCATTTCTTCGTTAATCAGGCTACAGCTTCAAAGAGTAAGTCTTTTGGGAGGCATTTGATGGTTGTCAAAACCACTAGGTAACCATTTAAAATTGCCCACTCACAGGTCGTCCACACTTCTCCTCTTCCTCCTTGTGCTGCTGCCTCCGCCTTGCTGATCAGCACAATGTGATCCTGAGAACATTGCATCTCTGAGAATGACGATGGGTTCATCACACACACCCTGCCAGCACAAGCTGATGTCTAGATCCACGTCATAGATAGTATTGTGGGGACGCTCCACGTCATACCTGCAAGGAATAAGAGTCTGTTACAGAGGAGCAAGCTTGATAAAAAAAGTCAAGTGGTTGACAATAGTATACAAATATAACATGGTTTGAAAGTGGAAAATTAGGCAAAGAGTTAGGCAAGGAGCCTACATGTATGGACTGCTTGACATGATTGACCTTACCTGATTTTCAAATCTCCTAGCTTTTTCTCAAAGGAATGAGCTGTGAAAATAAGAAAAGGATTTCATAAATAATAACAGATGAAAAATGTAACGGTTGTTCTTTGATGTACATTTTTTTTTCTCGCAAAGTTTTGTTGGAAATGTGAACATGCACAAAAAACTCATTCATACCATTGAATTTGTTTGGTGGAGCTCTCTTTTTGGTTGTCTATCTCAATGTTTTACTTAAAAATTGTATTCGTTGTGGAGATTAAGAGTATACAAATATTGAGTGGCTCAGATCAGCGTGGAATGGGAGGAATATTATCGCAAGGTAAAATCTAGACTTTTCCATTTCACGAGGCGAAGCTGAGTGAACTGGAAAAGTCCAGATTTTACCGAGCGATAATATTCCTCCCATTTCACAATTTAAAGCCACTAAATATTTGTTTTATATTACTGACACATAGATCCTTGTCATTTGATATATTTGAACTTTTTTTTTCAATACAAAACTGGAGGAAAACGTATTTCTCTCTTCCAAACCACCCCTTCACGAAAATGTTTGAACCCAACGCTGTAGCGCTGGCTCTTTGGAACAATACGCACTATGCGCAACGCTGAACGCGCACACTAGCATGCATTTGCACACAAATACAGCGTCATGATCCTAACTGTTGAATAGTATTTCCGATTCCCCATGGGTGGATAGTACTTTTTGAGCCGCGGCGTGAATGGGAGCAATAACGAATGTCACGTGATGTGAGTTCCACCAATCAAATGACTAGGATCTGTATGTCAGTTATATAACAAGTAATATAGACATGGGCTTGAAATTTGGCCAATGAAATTCATACACTTTAATATCTTACATTACTTTCATGTTTGAAAAGACTGTAAGTTGATAAATCAGTTTTGATGGCAAGGTCAATTCTAAATTCCAGCGCTTCTTACACTGCAATAGTTGTATGCTGAGCATCTCTGTGTGACTCCATTTCTCAAAGCCAAATGAGAAGGTGCGAGCGCAGGGGTCCAGCCTCATCCAGACTGAGAATGACCTCTGAACTACGCCCAGGTCAAGGTTCAAGCAGCAACCCACCCCGAGACAGGACTGGTCCAGGGAGCAGTACTGGGCGATGGAAGATGGCAGAGAGAGGGAACTGCAGCCTAATGTGAGAAAAATTGTGGTTCTTTGCATTTAAAAATATTACTGATTACATGGGGCATTCCCAACCCAGCCCTATATTCCCCTCAATCTAGAAGTCCCTTACGAGGTTTGTAGATCTGGTTTCAAACAGAGTAGTAGCTGAGTCAAGAACAAGCCAAGCACAAGTCAAATCACTCATCAAGTTACAAGCAACAGGGGATGAACATAACTGCCAAGGTTGTCTTTATAATTGCCGTAGTGCATTTGAAATATAGCAGGTTGTAATTACCCACTCTCATGTTTCATTATTGGCATGATTCACTCATTATTTAACTAGAAACATTGGTTTCTGCAGAACATACTGTTAAAAATGAGGAGAGATCATACTTGCTACACTCACAGGGAATAGGATTGTGTTGAAAGGAATTTGACCATCCGAAAGTGGACTAGCAGCCGATTTCACTAAAAAAGTGCGAAGCTTGCGCCATGCGTAGGACTTACGCAACAAATCTGTTGTGCAGCTGTGCAATAAACTTACGATCGATTTCACAAAACTTGACATAGCTGCAATGTTTTAAATAATCTAATATCTTGGATGAGGTTGATAAGGCTGTTTGTGTGTGAGTTTGTTCGTTCACAAAAACGTTGTTGAATCACTTTAGCCTGTCAGTTTTGTCCGACTTTCTCCGGAATCACGCAGCAACTCTAAAAAGTCTGCCACAAGTAAAATAGCAATTTATTTACTTCAAACACAAAGCTGTAGGTGTCTTGTATTAACCTCGGTAAGTTGTGCAACGACAGGCTCCACGATGATCACGATCCACTTGTAAAATAGGTCATCGCTACGCCACAACTTATGCCACCTAAAATGATTGTGCAAGTTACGCCATAATTTGTTGCGCAAGTCGCAGACTTACGCAGTATGAGACTTAATTTCGTGAAATGTGTCAGAACTGAAATGATGCGCAGCGTGAAATGTTGGGTAACTTACACAACCTTTTGTGGCGCAAGCAGAGTTGCGCCATTATGTAAAGTTTTGTGAAATTGGCTGCAGATTTTAATTCTGCCAGTAGAGAGTAAATTAGTTTTTAATGGGTCTTCCTTTTTATCGCCTGAAGACTCTGCGTACAAATAACTGCAGGACACTTCATTTGCACTTGTCAATAGCTTTTCTTAAGCAAGAATTACAGATTCTGCTGGCAGCTACTACAACCACAGGATTCAGAGAACAAAGTAGTTAAACAAAGTAGTAGTTTTCAATAAGTTAAATCACACACTTAAAAGATACTTGCCTGTTGTTGTCGGTGTGATCTGCTCTGGTGGACCGCTACATGGTTGAGGTAGGAGAACATCAGTGCTGACACCGAGACGGTTCACCACCAGGCCACTAGCATAGTCACCAATGCCACCAACTGAGAAGCAAACACAAGGTGACAACATCAAAACTAAGAACAATCTTTACTCCCATCAAAGAGTACAGGTACAAACCATACAGCAGTCAGCTACTTCAAAATGTTGTCCCCAACCGAGAATCAAACACATTGGGACAGAGTTAAAACTCGGGGGGAACAGGAATTCAGCTAAAACTTATTTTTTTATCATCTGTCAGATTTGTCGACTACTATCGATTGTTGGTGAAAATAGGCTTTTTCATTATAATAAATTGGGATGATGTTTGTAAATATTGTATGTAAATATGCTTTATGTCCATTCCTGGTGGTTCACATGGTTAACTTTTAATTGAAACTATATTCAAGAGTGGCCAGTTTTCCTTTTCCTTTTTTACTTTCAAATAGGTTCTTTTCACAACAACCAAAGTGTTTTGCAGGACAACAGAGGATTTTTTTTAAATTTAGTACACCCTTCACAAACCTGTGAGAGAAGAGAAAATACTATGGCCCACCCCAGGATTTATGCCCTTGTTGGTTATGCTCTTAATGCTTACTGATTTCTATGTTATAAATTGTTTTTCCTGCCAATCGCTCATAGTTAACAACTTACAGTAGAAAGAAACACCTTTCTCGAAGACCTGCTCACAGTGCCTGGCTTATTGGAATTGCCAGATTTCTTGTTTAAAATCCGGTTTTGAGTCCTGGTTGTAAACACAAGACTTACCCAAGTCTTGAGCCCACTCCAAAGTGCCGTTAGGATTACAGAATGGTATCGGTGCTGTGAAGCCCTGAAGGATGACAATGTCAGGAGCACAGACTCCAGCGATGCAGAGTTGCAGGGAGAGGGAGAGGAGGAAGTTACGGTTGTCTGTGGTCTTGTCGACGGTGAAGGTGAGCAGGACCACATCACTCAGCCTTTCCCTTGTGACTTTGCCCCACTTGTAACTGCAATAAGGCCAATTCACCATTACTATAGCTTTCTGCAAGTTGTCTTTATTACATATTTGAATGGTGCCATGTTGGTTTTTCACCATAATGCGCTTGCCATTATTTCACTTACATCATATATGATAAGGCAGTCATCAAATTCATTTTGTTCGCTCATCACTGAGGACTTTTCTCTTGTCAAAAATCAAAAATAAATTAGGATGACTTTCGACCTTTTGAATTAAGGTCATATTTTAGACAAATCTGGGAAGAGAATTGCTCTACATTACAGAACCCCCACCCCTAGTAATGACGCAAGCTGTTGTGCAAAACAGCCACTCTTTACAAAAGTTGGCACAATATAATGCATCCTCCATTACTAGGGAGCATCTTAGAGCAAGCAGCAAATATATGTACCTAAATCAGTATTTACTCTTCCCTGCTTGCATTGAAGAGTCAACTACAGAGTCACCCATACCTCAAAAGAGTGACATTGTAACTCCAGTTCTCAAATCCAACGCTCAGTTTGAAATCACAGGGGTCTACGATCAGCCAGGCCCTCAGGGTGCGACTGATGATGCCGAGGTCTACTGCTAGACAACACTCCACCCCCAGGCAGGTATCTGAATAGTGACATACACCCCCTGATGGAAGGGTGGGCAGAGAGGGAAGGTGCGGACATGCTACGGGGAAAACAAGAACAAATGGTGATACTGACATAAGAGAGGAGTTTTTTAGAATAGCTACGCTCATTTGGCAATGTTTATGTTGTTTATCGTCAATAGGCTAAATAAAGTTACACTGCTGTCACTTGAGCTGTACTCTAGCTGAAGTAAATGTGTAAAACGAAATGTAATTGATACTTTTTTCTTTGACATCTTCAGAGAAGTTTATCAGGGATGAGATTTGGGGAAAATGAAAACTCCACAAAATAATCAGTAGAGGAGTTAATGGTCACCAAAGGTCCAACAGCAGCAACATAGGGTCTATGATATATGTTTCTATTTTTCATATTAAATGCCGCGGGGATGTGGTCATTATTACGTACCACCAGTCAAAATTTCTGCTCCATGTGGCATCCAATTGACAGGTAAGTTACATTTGTATTGGTTCAAAGTCAATTCATAATATTGTAATTCTATCTAATTATGGCAATCAATTCAACACTACAAATCCCAGAAAATTTGAAAATAAGCTTCGTTCATGCATTCTGTAAAGTGAAGACACTTATTAATTAACAATTATCATCAATATACTTTGCAAAGTTTCAAACTTAGAAATGGCGCTTTTAAAGAATCTGCAAATTTTCATCACTTAAGCACAAATAATGAGAATTCTTGACAAAATTTGCAACAGAAATATGATCAGCTGTCACACCCACAGCAGACTGTCCCTACCTCCAGACTGGCCAGGCAGGATGACTGGTGGGCAAGGTGAGGCCGAGACTAGACGTGATGGTAAGCCAAGAGCCTGAGCAACAGCCTCGAATCCAGCATCCAGGCTTCCCAACTGAGAAATGGAGGTTATACCTAGCAGTGATCAAAACAAAATAGCGTATTGTCATGTAGCTGATACCTAAAAAACCCACAAGAGGGTAAATTTTGCAGCGAGTGTTTCGTGACTCCAAACTCAGTTTGCATAGTCATTCACACTATGAACTGGCCTACATTCCAGTCCCAGCAGGATATCTTTCTCAAAGACAGAATGACATGGGCATGAACAGGAACAGACAAGCAGACACAGAAGCATGGATTTAAGCAAAAGGTTTTCTTTCAATGTAAAATTACATTTAGCCGTCCTACCTGGTAAATTCTTCCAGGAGATGGTTCCGTTGGGAAAGCACATAGGAAGAGGAGATAACGCACCATCTAAGATCATTAGTTGTCCTGTGCAATGACTATCGATGCAGGCATCTATAGACAGACTGACTGATATCTGACCATCCATGAGAGCCAGTGTGTATCTGCATTATCAAAACATGCAAAAACTGCTGGTCACACAAAGAACTTTCAAGGGTTCAAATGGCAAACTCCTTCAAATTCAATGAGAGGTCATATGTAGAAGATTTGCTTGTTAATGTTGGCATGTTTATCTCAGCAATGTTAAGCGACTAGCAAATTATACTGCACGACTATTTAAAATGAAAATCAAACAAATAAAAAGTTGTGTGCATTTATCATATTATTAATCAAAACACTGAGACAGTCAATTAATATACTGCAGACCCATCCCATTATCAATACATTTTCTTAGATTTGAGATCTTCTGTATGCAAAGTTACACGTTACGCACAATAAAAAAACAGTGTTATTACCCAAGTGTTATAAAGTTTCCAATGGTAATCTCCTGACTGGTGTCAAAGTCCAGGTGTGAGAGGGATTTACTGTACTGCCAGTTGCCAAACTGTAGGGTCAGCTGGCCCAGGCATGGATCTATCTCCAAAGAGGCACTGAATGAGTGATTCAGCGGTCCAAGGTTCACATCCAGGCAGCAATGCATGCCAAAGCAAGTGTTGAGGATGCCACAGTGAGCCAGGGAGGTCAGGTTACTGGGAACCTGCATGCTGGGGCAATCTGGAATAAAATATGACATCACAAATTATAACATTCGATTCAATGGTTACGCTGTAACATTTGATTGAACGGTCCTAGGTTCACGCACTTTGTATGCTAAAGCAAGTATCGAGGATGCCACAGTGAACAGTGAGCGAGGGAGGTCAGGTTACTTGAAAGCTGCATGGTGGGACAATCTGGAATGCAGGAGCTAGATTGCACTGTAACATTTGTTTGTGTGGTTCAAGGTTCACATCCAGGCATTGTATGCCAATGAAAGTGCTCAGGATACCACAATGATGTGGCAATGCTAAAACTGACCAAAAGCGGCAAGAACATAAAGGTTCTTTTAATTTTACCCTAAGTTAGATAAATTGAGACCACTAAATATTCAGCAGTCCGAAGTTCAAATCCAGGCAGTTAGTACTTTGCATCCGACATTTGCCTCAGGTGGCTCATCTAAACTGAAAGTTCCATGCTTCGAGGATCTGGAATCTAGTAAACTCCAGCAAAGTACACTCCAGCACAATAAGATTTGCGAAGTGAAGTAGGCATTAGGAATAACTTTGTGGTAGCACCTTGCAACAGGAAATCTCTTTGTGAATTTGTGTGGATCTGTGGTTTTCGTCTGCTCCCTTCCACAAACACTGACTTGCTTCACCACTTCCAAGGCACAGAACCACACTTCCAGTTGGAATGCCTTGGTCTCCTGCCCATGGGCAGAGCATATTTCAAGCAGTTCATCTCAGAACCACACAAACTCGAAGATATTTATTTTCACGTGGTACAACCGCAAAGTTACTCTTACCGTCATGGGCTTCTTGCACAAGTACCCCCTTATCGATGGTATGAAAAGGAAATTGGAGGAGACCACTGGGAGAGCCATTCAAATGCAACGCCGTCACTGCCTGATGCTCATGCACAGACGCTATGGCTTCGTGAACATTCAGAATAAAGTTAGTTGTGCGCACTTAATGTTATACGCGCTAGTGAAGCAGTATGCGCACAAGTGGTGGGTCTCCCCACTCTAATGCTCTGGGTCACGCACGACTCCCATAGCATTATAATTACTAGTGCAGTGCCTTTTGAAAATGTGCCTGTTCGGGGCACTTGAGAACTGCTCGTGCAAACAGTGCACACGATTCAATGATGTTGTTTTCACACATAACGTGTACATATGGAGACAGAATGGTATGCAGTGCTTGGTGGTCTATTCACCCATACTGGACAATGGTATCGCCCTACAGTGAGGGTTCCTTAATCGACCGCAAAATGCATGTACGTGCCCGTCCTTTTTCCATTGTTTGCGTCATATTAGGCACGCGCGCTTTAGCTTAAACGTGACGTAAACAATTGAAAAGGACGAGAGTGCATGGTGGTCTAGGCTATATACTGCCAAGTTTGCCTAAAACAATGCTGTTTTTTTTTTTGCAGCTTTTATGAGGACCACTTCCAAACAACTTCAAATTTGACACTGCACATTCTGGGGTCCTGAGCAATACACCCACCGATTTTCAACTTCAGTAACATTAATAAGAATACTAATTTAATAACTTATCCTTGTAAAGCACCAAATACGTCACAATTGACGCTCAAGGCGCTTCACAGAAATAAAAATGAACCAGTTGAAATTGAAAAACAATCTAAAAATTATACAAGGAAAAACCTTTAAAATAACTACATGAGCATGAAATAATTTGTCAAAAAAAGGCAGGTTAAAACGGACAGAAGCAGCAAAGCAAACAGCGAAATGACCATGATAATCAGACTTAAAGTAACAGTGACCGGTTGTGGAGATAATCAAAGTACAGACAGACAGACACGGAGAGATTTCCGGAATTATAGTTAGATAAAGTTTGGTATGGCACTTTACATACCAAAACATATTTCAGTCTGAACTTACTGCCATAGGACTGGGGTGCGGGGTTGACACACGGTGCATCACTGAAGAAGTCTGGGGCGATTCCAAGCCGAGATAGAAGAGCCAGTGTTGCTCCTTGGATGACCTGTCCCGATAGAGTTTCTACGAAACCATCAGCTGGATTGAAGTATTAAATGGGATCGTAAGTTTAAGCAGGGCAGCTGTGGAAATGTGAAGGTTAGTGTATGGACTTTCTGAACAAAATCCCCTCAAAGTTGACAAGAAGAGATATGAGAGACACTTTCTGCTCTGTGCGAAAGCGAATACACTATGCGTCTGTGCGCATTAAAACAAAAATTTGTCGTGTCAGTGCAACAAGGTCGTATCTCCTAAAATGGTGTGTGATGTCATATACGTGAAACGCAAGTTTTCAATGTCAAAAGGTCGTATCTCAATTAAAATACCCCGGATGTACAAACAAAGTCAATGGACGTTGCGATACGCGAGATACGACCTTGTTGCACGGAGAATATATTCGGCTGAGATACGACTTTGTTGCAGAATCGAGTAACGACCTTGTTGCACTGACTCGAAATAGTTTTCGGTGTTTATTTGCAGTTTTTGCACAAAAGTGCCCACATTTTTTTGTTGAAGTTACATCTCACAATGGAGCTCTTGTGAGTAATCACACATAGTCATCAACTGTTCCTGCACAGAAGTGTGTTAGTTCTAGGGACTCAGCATGAAGACAACTTTGAATTGGGCTGACATAGGCTTTGCTTAGCTGGGTTGTATTGACTTGGTGTTGGAATTACAGAGTAAACACAAATTTATTATAGGATGTCATTTTGCATTGGGCAGATGTAATTTCAAATAGTAGGTTTTGCCCTTTACTGATGTATTTTTGTATACTGATGTGTTTTGCATATTTGTCCGAGAGCATGTTAGATAAGCTTACGTAGGTGGGACTCAAACCCACAACCTCCTGCTTACTAGTGAAGGCATCTTACTTCTTGATCACTGTGCTTGCCGTGGTCGACTGGCCCAGGGGTTGCTCAAGTGGTGAGACGTTTGTCTTGAGAGGTCTTGGTTTCAAGTCCCATCAAAACTTGTTAACTTTTTCTGACAAGATCTCAGACAGATCTGCAAGTATACATGTCAGTGAAGGGCAACACTGGTAGAACACCGGATCTGTGACTTTGTTGGAGCTTAGTTGGATTAATTTTGAGTTCCAGTTTTCATGTGTAAGGTTAAGGGGGTTGGGTGGATTCAACTCACCAGAGAGGGTATAGTTGCTGAAGCCTGGGTTGCAGATAGGAATGGGGATGTTATGCTCTATGTTGATGTCAGAGCACAGTCCATCGACGCAGTATTCTAGGGTCATGCTGATCTCAAACTCTTTGGTGTCGTTCAGCTTATCAATAGAATATCTGTCAAATGTACACATAAGAAGGTCTGTCATGTCAAGACTTCAATTGTTATAAATTATGAGAAAGGATAGCATAATGACATTGTGTGCAACTACATACTGAATCTCATATTGAAATGTTACAACTTTAATACCACACTTCTGAAATCATTTGTTAAATTGAACCTATTCAAGTAATGAATTGATTAAATTATTTACTACACTTTCCACTTATCAATTCCAGTATTAAAAGAGAGATCTGTTTATAATAATTTGGTAACTGAACAAGATGAAGTGTCAAAGAAACTACATGTTCGTTAATGTAGGTGCAATCAATGATACAGATATAGGTACCTCAAGTTCATTACAGAAGATATGGACTCTGTCATTTCCTCTCCTACAACAGGTAAAATAAAAGGATTATTAGAGTAGAAGTTGATATCTGTCTGTTCCATGAATTGAAAATGATGTTTACCCTGTTACATTGTACAAAACTGCCATGACCATCTACTAACATTTTTAAATGAAAGTGTCCTTCTTCAAATTCAAAAAAATTATGAGTCACATTATATATTTTGTCACTGACACCACGAAGTAACGCCAAGTCCACTTCAGTGTTACTTTGTGAAAACTGCTTTATGACAAATGTTGGTTTCACGAAGTAACACTCAAAGGTGCGCCGCGCATGCACATCGGACACTGGCACGAACGATTTTCGTTTTCACAAATTTACAACACTATTTAATACGGAAATGCTATTTGGATGAAAAGGTTTTAAAACGTTTGACAGGTATGGCTGTATTCTTGTAAGATAACAGAAAATGTTAATAAAAAGCCTTCAAACTGGTGGAATAAAGATGAGTGTTACTTTGTGAAAACGAAGATGCACCAAGTCAGCGCATAGTGAACATGAGTGTTACTTCGTGAAAACGAAAATCACTTGGTTCTTTAAAATATGCGCATAGCGCGTACTCCTGTCCACTTGGGTGTTACTTCCTGGTGTCACCGACGATTTGTTTAATACCATGTGCAAGTACATCATCCCTTCATAAAGTGTGCCCCTGTCTGATTTCAAAGCTTCTTCCTCTTTTTGCTTTTTAGTTTTTGGTCTTAATACTTTGTCCGCAATACGGTATCAACACCAATTCTAACCACTGTCAACCCTGTTTATTTCTCTCTTTTTCAGCTGGTAATAAAGCGTGTCAGTCTCGCCAGTCCAAATCGCATTTATGTGAACGTCTTTGTACCAAACACTGAAAAAGTCCAGTCGCAGACTCCCGGGTGAATTCCGATTGAACGGAAGTCGAGGTCAACAAGTTTAATTTATAATAGTCATCAATTCACAATATTTTCACAATATGTTGTAAATTATAATGCTTTCTTTCTTTTAGAAATGTGCATTTATTGCCCTGGATTGGATGGCCCCAGGCAGGACACGAAATGTACAAAATAGCATGCTACACACATTGTAGATCCTATACATGTACATGGTGCCCGGATGTGCTGTATTCTCGTCAAATCTTGCAGGTTTTTCAGTAAGGTCAACTTACATGCTCTATTCCAAGGCTGTTCAGCTGCCTGACCATTTTAAACATACTCTATATCCTCGCCCGCAATATGAAGCTCTTACCCCACTGATAGCTGAAGACGGACCCATGGAACGACCACTTCTCTAGACCCAACGAGAAGGTGAAGTCACAGGGGTCAAACTTGAACCACGCCGTGGCCGAGACATCAGCTATCTTCAGGTCCAGGTCCAGGCAGCATCGCAGCTCTGTGCACGTCTCACCAATCACAGTGCAGTTGCCTAGGATACTTGAGGAACTGGCACAGACATCTTGTGAGAAAGACAGTAAAATAAAGGTCAGGATAGTATGGGCTCCATGAGCCAACAAAAGAGGGCGACCTTTTACCTAGCAACGACGTCCCATGGGCGGGATATTTAGCTGGTTAATGCGCACCGTTCCTTTGTGTGTGAGGCACATACACCAGGGGATTTGTACTATGTACACGCAGTGGTACAGCTGCTCTTCGCGGCAAAATTGCAGTCAGGCAAGATGGCATCGGTCGGTCACCCGCAACTGTACTTTCTTTGCTGGTGAGGGGGTACTTGTGAAAGGAGCGCAGGGGCGGTTCTACAGGGGGGGGGGGGGGGGCTAAGGGGGGGGGGGGGGGGGCTAAGGGGGGCTGTAGCCCCCCCAAATTTTGTCTAGCCCCCCCAAAATAAATTTCATAAAAAAAGTTGCATTGGCCAAAAGAAGGATTGTGATGTACATGCGAACGGTCTTCCCCTAAAGAAGAAATAGCCGTGACAAGGGTGCATTAGTTAATATAGTGTGAATTATTGTAGGGTTTTATTCCCGCTCCCCATTGAAAATATGGCATGAGCCCCCCCCCCCCCCACGCCTCCCTGAAATAATTCTGGATCCACCGTGCTACCCCCCCCCCCCCCCAAAAAATATTGGTTCTAGAACCGCGCCTGACGGAGCGGATAGGGATTCACAGCAGTAATCAGTTACATGTCTACCAGTAGAATATATCAAATTTGTATTCAGATTTGATGCCAAGACTTTTTTAGGGGTATTTATAGATTAACCTTATTCAACAACATAAAAAATGAATGGAAGAAATATCGAGACTTCTTTCCTGATGCCAAACACACCTTAGAAATTGCCCAACTCGATGATAATACAAACATACCCATAAATAACATTACAATTTTTGAATTATCTATTTGTTAAGTTGTATTTCAATTCAATTGAAACACATCTATTTTAATACCAAATAAAAAATATAAGCAAAGAATACATGAACAAGTAAATGGAATTGTTGAAAAGGTGTCCATAAATAACTGAGATTATCTATTTGTTAAGTTGTATTTCAATTCAATTGAAACACATCTATTTTAATACCAAATAAAAAATATAAGCAAAGAATACATGAACAAGTAAATGGAATTGTTGAAAAGGTGTCCATAAATAACTGAGACAGTCTACCCATTTTTAACACTTTTCCGGTGTCACATGAAATTGGAACTCCTTTGAAGTCCGGTCCCTTTTACCATTTTATTGATTGAACGTTCGCAATCTTCACTTAGGCATGCGCAATACCAACGAGTACGTATTTCATGGAGTCCTAAATTCACACTACACCGGCACCGCAGCGTTCTGCACCACATCACGTAGTACATGCCACGCTCGTGCCAATCTCCATAAAAGGAGATTTTGTTAGTACTTCTCAGTCGTCTCGCTAGAGGCACATACCATAAACATATCCAGAAGGGTGTTTAAAAAAGCAGGAAATCGTTGGGAATTTATAAATTTTAACTTGTTTTGACTTTTTGACCGAAAGGTATTTATGAATTGGAATAAATATGCACTTATCGGGTATTAAACAAGTACGTCTAAGACCAGCTGGGGGCCTGGTTGCCGATAATTATTGACGTCCATGCCCAAGCCGGTTTTAAACGTATTTGTTAAAAACAGGCCAAGCACATTTTTATTCCGTTATATTAATTACAAGGGGAAACCTCAAATCAAACTTCTTCCAACTCACCTTGTCTGTGATAGGTGCATGCCTGTCCTGTTAGAAAGCTGCCCAGATTAAGATGACGCAGGGCTGCATCTATGGCAAACTGACCGATATTACCACCGAGGTAATCCAAAAAGCCTGATATGGTGCCATCTCCTGTAAGTTGAAATATAGCAAAAAATAAACTCAAAATCAGGTCATTCCAGGATTTCCATGCCACTCTAAATACCTAAAAAGGTATGATTGTTTTCTAAGTGCAAGTTGCAATTGCTGTGACTCAGTGGCGTAAGTAGAGTTAAACTTTTGGGGGGAACCTGGTGATGTGCTTTTTTTCAATGGGGGAGGGGGGGGGGGGGCCTGATGGCAAATGATACATAGCTTTGTTCCATTAAAGATGGGGGAGGGCGCCACGTAGTTACACCACTGCTGTGAACTACATATACAACATGTCCAAAATTAACAAAAATGAGAAATTTCTAAATCATAATTGTTTTCTGCAAAAAGATCTATTCCGAAATTAAAGCTGTGCCTGTAGAGGCAATAATTCAGGCATTGCAGCCAAATGACCACATTAAGAGAAAGTAATTGAACTTCCAATAAATTAAGAACAAACACTGGGACATAATGCTATTTGTTATGATGCAACATCACCAGGAAGTTTAAGACATACCAGGCAGAGTGAAAGAAGCCTCCCTGTTGCACAACGGTATTGGGAAACGACTGCCCTCCAATAAGATCAGTGTGTCACATTCTCCATCTATGCAGAGGACTAGGGACAAGTCCACCTCAAACTGCTTTTCCTCAGTGATCTTTGCCACGCGCCATCTTCAATTTACAAAAGAAAATGATAAGTGAGTCAGAATATTATATTACTGGAAGCTTTACCCCATGATTTCCAAATTGTATTCTCATGCTCACAGGGTGGTCGGGTTTTTCGATACTTAGTTATGGGATTCATAAGCATTATGGGTCATAGCCACTGTTCATACCTGACTCTCAGCACACTGTTCATACCTGACTCTCAGCACACTGTTCACAACTTCCTCCATGACATCACCCAGTGGGTAATGGAACAAGGTCACACTACGTTCCCACTTCTCAAAGCCCACAGACAGGGTGAAGTTGCAAGGGTCCAGGATGACCCAGGCATTGACGCTGCGAGTTGTTATCTTCAAGTCCATCTCCAGACAGCATTGGATGCCCAGGCAGGAGTCGCTGACAGTGCAAGAGAGGAAGTCGGGGAGCTGGGTGACGTCAACAGCTGGACAGGCTGGGGAGGAAGAGAATCAATGACACATATTAAAAGTGACAATGCAGGGCTCGGAATAGGTGACAGTGCAAGATAGGAAGTCAGGGAGCTGGGTGACATCAACTGCTGGACAGGCTAGGAAGAGGACCAAGGACACATATTAAAAGTGACAATGCAGGGCTTGGAATTGGTGACAGAGCAAGAAAGGAAGTCAGGGAGCTGAGGGACGTCAAGGGCTGGACAAGCTAGGAAGAGGACAAAGGACACATTTTAAAAGTGACAATGCAGGGCTTGGATAAGTGACAGTGCAAGAGAAGAAGTCAGGGAGCTGAGTGACATTGATGACTTCACAGGCTAGGAAGAGGACCAAGGACACATATTAAAAGTGACAATGCAGGGCTCGGAATAGGTGACAGTGCAAGATAGGAAGTCAGGGAGCTGGGTGACATCAACTGCTGGACAGGCTAGGAAGAGGACCAAGGACACATATTAAAAGTGACAATGCAGGGCTTGGAGTTGGTGACAGTGCAAGATAGGAAGTCAGGGAGCTGGGTGACGTCAACGGCTGGACAGGCTAGGAAGAGGACTAAGGACACATGTTAAAAGTGACAATGCAGGGCTTGGAATTGGTGACAGTGCAAGAGAGGAAGTCAGGGAGCTGGGAGACACCAATGACAGGACAACATTAGAAGAAAAGAAACAATGACAGTTAGTGACAGTGACAGTGCAATGCAGCGATTTGTCTTGGTGACAGTGCAAGGGAGGAAGTCAGGAAGCTTGGTGACACTAATGACAAGACAACTTGAGAGAGAAAAGAATCAGTGACAATTAATAATAGTGAGTGACAGTGGTGCAATGTAGAGATTTGAATAGATGACAGTGCAAGAAAAGAATTAATGACAGGATAACCTTTAGAAAGAAAAGAATCAATGACAACTACTGACGGTGATAGCTACAATGCAGAGAGTTTGAATTGGTGACAGAACAAAGGATGAATTCATTACACTGCCTTAAAATGGAACTGGACAGTCTTATGGCATGGAACACAATCAGTGGCCAGGACAGAAGTCATGGCCTTTATAAGGGAAGGTGATAAATTAAATGACATGAGCTTGCCATCATCATGAGAAGTGGACAAAAGAAGTGGACAGAAAAAAGGGTGTTTCAATACTGAAGAGAAATTCTGGAGGGTGGGAAACCACCTTGAGACAAGCAATGACATTGAAAATGACACAGTATGACAACAGACATTTTGGAATATAGAGAACTACTTCAAGTTTATGGCCTGACAACCTGATGAGGAGAAAACCAACAATAGTACCTCAAGGAACAAAGTTAAGCAATGTAATTGCCTTGGTCTAGATCAAACTAGAGCAAACTAACATTATTTTAACAGCAAAGGTGCTGGGTCTCATGTTCTAACAACTAACCCACACTTTCTGTAATAAAATAAATAAATATCAACTTACTACTCCTCAATGTCCCTGGCGTTCCTATGCCACACTGACCAGTGTGGAGATACTCCTGTTGAAAAAAGAAATTAAATAAACAATATTAATTGAACAATTTAATGGTCAATTTCTATTGTGTTAAAACATAGTTTCCAAAACTTAGCTCCAAAAGGCGATATATCCATCTAAAAAAAGTAAAAAATGTGCATAGTTATAAAACTTTAAAGAATAAAAACAGTATTACAGCTGTTTCTAAACTGCATTTTTTTTGCCTTATTGTTTTCTTAGGTTGTGTCAAGTATATAACAGCCATTGAAACTGACTATGGACAAGGAGAGAATGGGATTCTAAAAGGGAACAAAATGGCATATATCGCGTTTTGGAAATAAATTCTTCAAATTCAATATTATGTTTAAAGCCTTATCCCAGGGGTAAACTTTCAAACGAGTATAAAGTTACACTTGGCCTTAGTTTTGTAAGACATAATTTGTCTAGCATTCTGTCATTGCATTGGTCATGTTAAGCAAAATTCAAGATCACTTATTGCTAAATGTCTTTGAATTCACTCACACTCAAGCCAAACTTTTCCAGCACCAGATCAATGGCAGAGTTTCCGATGCGACCGCCGAGATCTCTTATAAATCCCCCCACTGTGCCATCACCAGGTAAGGTGAATGATGTGGCATTGATATTGCACAGGGGTATAGGGACCCAGACATGGTCTAGTACTGGAGTCATGGTGCAGGTGTCGTCAATGCACAACATCACGTTCAGCGTCACAGAGAAGACTTTCTGCGCTGTCAGCTTGTCAATGGAATAACTGTAGATAAAGAACAAAATTCCAAACTTTTATTAAGGGAATAAATGTGTGCTTGGGAGGTGTTAACGCTATGTTTATGACTGGTTGGAGTCTGGAATGCTGATAATTAACCGAGGCGAACCCTTTCAAAAATACCTTTTCGGTAAAAAAAATCAAAACTTTTCGGTCCAAAAGTAAAAACAAGTCAAAAATTGACAATTTCCAACGATTTTTTTCAACAAATTTTACTTTCTGGTTTTCGAAACACCCCTCTAGATATAATTATAATGGAGTGGCCAGCTAAGATGTAAACAGCTCCTTTTATGGAGATTGGTGATCGTAGCAATAGCACTGCAACCAAACTATTCATAGGATGGGATATGTGCTGGGAGATGTACATTATTATTGGGTTTTGCCACCCACAAATGTATCTTATAAAAACTTATTTGAGTGCACTTGATGCAGTGATTATTTCCAAACAAAGCCTGTGAGACAAATTCACAAGCTTACTTGGGTGGAACTCGAACCCCCGACCTCCTGCATATAGACAAGTGCAGAAGACTTACCACTTAATTCAAACTGATATCTTAATTAACAGCCAAAATGATTATATTTGTTGGATGAAATGAAAAATCACATGCTGCATGCATGTCAAGGAAAAAAAATACTTAATCATTTTTAAATTCTATGATATTTTCAAGTAAAAAGGGCATGGCACGAATAATAAGAATGATGATTGCCAAAGTTCAGAGCTTCGTATGCAAGACTTTTTGAAAGGAAGCACACCTTAATTTCATGGCATTTCCCAGTTCTGTTGTTTCCATTTTCCCCCATGTGTAGCTGAAGAGAGTGATGTTCAGTTCCCAGTTCTCAAAGGCCACATACAGTTGGAAGTTGCAAGGGTCGACTTGAATCCTTGCACTCAGCATGAGTTCAGTGATGACAAAGTCAAGGTGGATGCAGCATTGGATGCCAAGACAGTGATCGTCGATGGTGCATTGGACAACATTCTCCAGGAAAGGTAAGGAGATCGTAGGGCAGTCTGATTGAAAGAAGAAAGAACAGCAATGCCTAAGAATGACAATGATTATCTTAAAAAGTTCTATTAAATGGACCCCTTAAAGTAGTATATCATTTGCAGCTATCCAAAAAGTAACTGACAAAATTATTGTTAAAAAGCATACTATTTAAAGATAGCAATGGCACTTAACTCCCTGTGAAATTATTCTTTTTTGCATGCTGTCATTTCGAAGAAAGCAATAAGAAGGCCATTTCCAAAGATGCGTCTAAAGATGTATTTTTTGAAATTTCCGTTAGTAGTTCATTTTTAATTCGGCAAAGCCGTTAAAGGGTGTGCACAAGCGTTGACACGATGCACACGCGCACGTGGTTGCTATAATTCTTCAGTTCAGTGCATGACATCGCGTTGCTGCAATCGGCTGATGAATGAGAACGTGTCCCGGACGCTGATTTCGGGCGCAATTCAAAACATGACTCGGCAACTTTTGAATTGAATTTGAGATCCTAGAATATTGTTTTCACGGAATATACAGCATTCATTGAGCTAAAACTTCATTAGGTTAGTTGTTAAGCACCCTTCTTTTGATTTTGAGCACTTTGTTGCTTCAAATGAAAGACACTGGGTATGCACAAATGACACATGATATACTCTACCTTTAAATAATGAGAACATCACATTCAATTTAAGTCCACGAATAAGGAATGACTCTCAGTGCTTCATTACTGAACTTATAAAACATGTTGGGTTTTTTGTAGTGTTAAGGGGCATATAAACTACACAGGTTATAAAAAAAAGATTTTGTAAAAGCCGGTTTATGCTTCACACACACATTTTGGTACAAAGCAAATTCATTAGGGTAAAGGCAAATGACACAATGAACTTCAAGTGTTGACAACATGAAATTCGTTTTCCCATCAAGTATGAACCCGCTTTAAAGGTCTTGATAAGCCTTGTTCACTCCCAGATGCTGAAGGTTGTATAGTCACTCAAACTATATCTTCAGTATTGTTCACAAACTACTACACTCTGAAATAACAGGTCTGAAAAATGAAAGTACTTACGACTACTAGTTGCCACTGCCGGTGGTAACTCACAAGTCTCTTCAGTGATAATATCCTGCAACAGCAAAAGGATTACTTCAGGATATCAAGTTATAAGCCTAACCACCCCCAACCCTTCAAAATCCAACTGCTATTTTGTTGGAATCTATTGGAGTGAGTACTGCACTAGTAAACTGATTATGCTTTACACTGGGTCAGGCATGCCACCATAATCAGAGACCAACAGTTGGGTGTAGAGTTTACAATATGGTGTTGGGCTTTGCAAGAGCGAGGAAGGTTCCTTAATCACTCAAATGAGCTAGGGTTAAGCTGGATCACAAGTTCATGACAATTTACTTAAGAGGAGCGTTAGAGGCAGAGTGAAGGAAGGAAGTTTGTGGGGTTGGCTCTCTGACTTTTTAAAAAAAATAAAATGTTATAACACTATTCAACAGTGCAACGGCAAGACTCCAACTAAAATGAAGAAACATTTATATTTAAAAAACAGACAGTGCAAGGGGTTTGAGTAGTCTCAAGAATTACAAGTGCAAAAAGCAATATGTTGCTTAACTATCAAAAGGCGTCGCAACAATTTTTCGAGTAGGAAAGCCTCAAGAAAGCTAGCAGCCACTCAGAGTTTTGGCTAAAAGAAATAGACATTCACTTCTGACACATTCAGTTCATAATAACTTTAATAGGCACGGTACCAATGGTTCACATGCTAATGCAACCAAAGAGATCTCGTACCTCAAGATTCAACTTTGTCAGGACCAGCTGGATGGCTGCCTGTCCCACATTGTCTCCCAGCTCCTTCAGGAAACCTTTGACCGAGCCATCTCCAGGCAACGCCAGGGAGAAGTTGGCATTACACAGAGGTATTGGGATTCTCTGGTCAGCCATGATGGGGAAGTCTGTAGTGATGCCATCGATGATGAGAGAGAAGGCCAGATCTACTTCGTACTCCTTGGTGGTGTCAAGCTTGTCAATGGAAAACCTGGATAAATAGACATGACATTTGCAACTCGCCCATGATTACTTTTTTACTGAACATTTGGCAATTGACAACGTGAAGGAATAGTGCATACTATTGGGAGACCTCTCACAACAGCCATCTTGCAAACATGTATACTCAGGCGCGGATCCAGATGGGGGCACACCCGGCCCGTGCCCCCCCTTTTTGCAACTGTTTTTTTTTTTTTTTTTTTAACGAGTCATCTTAGGGCGGGCGGGCATTAAATACATCCCTTTGAGAACATGGCTATCTTTTTCCTTTTTGAGGAGTCATTATGGCGGGCGGACGGGCGGTCATCAAATCAATCGCTTGGAACATAACTATTATACATATTTTTATAAGACACTTTTTTATTTCCCGGCTGGACTAGGGGCACATTTAATACAGCACTTGCATTTAATGCTTCATGTCAAAATGTATTCCAAAATATATTCTAGAGTAGAACCAAGGGCGGATCCAGGGGGGGGGGGGCAAAGGGGGCCATGCCCCCCCCCCCCAAAAAAAAACGAAACCAATTTTTTTTTTTTATGTGACATCGCAATAAAGGCAGGCAATGAGTACACCACCATCTTTTCCTCAATAAAACAGTGGTTAAAGTGGTCAGAAATTGCCTCAGATCGCACCACAGAGTATCTAGAATCCAAAAAAATTTCGGGGCCCTTAAGCGGGCCCCGAACCCCACGCCGTAATTTTTTTGACCCACTTTTGGGGGGGACCAAAACTTTTTTGGGGGGGGGACCAAAAATTTGTTTTGGCCCACCCCAAAATTGTGTTCTGGATCCACCCTTGAGTAGAACATGTACCGGTACACGAAATTATGTAGGCTATGTGTTTTTTTAATAAATGAAGAATAAAATCGCCATCCCCTTCTTTTATTTTCCCGGCCTCAGAGAGAGATTTACGTCTGGTTCTCTACAAAACCTTTTTTTTTTTTAAGCAAAATGATTAAAAAAAACCTAGTTCGTTAAAGTTTGTACTCGAAGTTAATTCTTTTGTAGATTCCAGGGGAAATTTAATACGAATTATGCTCGGTTTTTCTTATTTTTAAATGAATATGACATCCCTCAAATAATAGCGTCAAAATATATTCCAAAATATATTCTAGAATAAAACATTTTCACAAAATAATGTAGGCCATGCATTTTATTTTTTAGATACACGAAGAATTAATCGTCATCCCTTTTGCCTCAAATAGAGAGACATCAAATAAATAGGGGTTATTTTAATACGACTTAGTATATCTTGTTCTCTCGATTTATTTTTAAAGTAAAACGATTTCAAACACCCTAGCCCATTAAGTTCTGAACCCTCAGTTAATTCTTTTGTAGATTCCAGGGGAAATTTTAATACGAATTATGCTTAGTTTTTCCTAATTTTAAAAGGAATACGAATAAGATTATCAACAGCCCTTTGACTTCAAACTTAATTTCAAAATGTATTCCGAAATATTTTAGAGTAACATTTACAAAAATAATGTAGGCCATGCAGTTTTATTTTTTAAATAAGCGAAGAATAAAATCGTACTACGAAAAAAGACATCGGGAGCCCTACATTTAATGAATTATTTGGACTTGGAATATCATCCCCCAATCGTTTATCTATGTGCATGTACACAACACGGAGGTGAAATTTCACGTTCAATTCAGTTTCCCACATTTTTCGCATAAAGGTTTCCCCTGTCTCTGAGAAAAAAAAATGCCCAAATAAAATCTCAGCTCCGAAAAGCCTTTCCAGAGAATGATTGATAGCCGCATTGTTCAAATTGATACAATGCCACTCTTGTTCGTTACAAAGCATATACATTTGGGTTCAGCTGTAGGCCACCGAACTTTAAGGCCTTTGATAACAGCTCAGGAATGCTGCCACTTTCGGGAAATTTGTGCAGACAAACTTTTTCATATTTTGGAATTTGGAATTTTGATGCAGTTTGCATTTCCGTTAAATTAAAGGTTGTTTTTTTTTTTTTTTAAGAAAATCGGAGCCCCCCCCCCCAAAAAAATACAAATAAACGATTTTCCTCAGGCCTTGACATTTCTTGAAGTGATTCGACAACACTTGCAGAATGCAGACGATTCATTTCGTCTTAAATTATTTAGCCTGCAGACTTCAAAAGAACATGGAAAAAAATGGTGGTTAAAGTGTATACAAGTGTATATACAAAGTAAGTATATATGTGACCGCAGTTACCTCACATTATACTGGGACACAGGCGGCAGTCTTTTTGAAGTCTTGACTAAACATTTAAACGCTACGGAGAAATTTTGCTAATATCATCAATTTTTTTTATGACAATCGAGATGGTTTTGAAATAAAGTTTTATTTCTTCTTTTTGTTTGTAAAGACTATTCGTAATGTAATACTCAGCAGGCTTATAAGTTAAACAACATTTTTCAAAGGAATTGGGACGGAGAAATTTTCTGGGCCGGTTGATTTGCTCAGCCGTGGGGTGGGGTGGGGGTAGGGGCTGCTTGGGGCAGGCTGTCCCCTAATGAAATTCAATTTATTTTATTTTCTTTGTTTGCAAGGCAAATTTCTGGGTAGAAATGTATGTTTTAATAGTAAACATGACTTTTTTTGGCTCGCTCGCTCCGCTCGCTCGCAAAATAACACATGTTCATTTTTTTTTTCACCCGGGGGCTGTCATCAGCACCTTCTAATTTTGGGGTTCATTTTCAACTTACATCAACAGTGACTTTAAATTCTATATTTGATAGGCAAAAATAGTGTTATTAAAAGTAAAAAATAAACATTGTGAATTTTGCTCTTAATGGCTTAAAGTACTCATGATGTAGGAGACAACATCTAAAATCGTAGAGCTTCCAGTGCCCTCAACCCTGCCCGCAAGGGATTTCGCGCTTCAGTCTCGTTATGTGTGCAACGCGCACAAAGTTTTTGTGCCCCCCTTTTTGAAAATCCTGGATCCGCCCCTGTGTATACTGACTGGAGTGCACACTGAAAAGAATATGCGAAATACACAAAACCAAAGAATGTGCCGGTTTAGTAAAGATTATAACATATAATTTCTGTGTATCCCATATTTGCTGTAGTGATGGCTTACAACGACACATATTAAACTGGTGCTTGACCACTTCTGAAAATGTAATTGTTTCCAAAAGTAACAGGACAAATTCTTATTACTACACAAACTCACTTCACATCAAGAGCATCTCCAATCATGAAACTTTCCATGGCTCCCCACTCGTAAGAAAACAACGATATGTTGAAGAACCACAACTCTAGCCCGACAGACAGTGTATAGCCACAGGGGTCGATGATAAACCAGGCCTTGGAGCTGATCTGAGTCACCTTCAAGTCTAGATTCAGACAGCAGTGGAGACTCGTGCAACGGCTGCCGATACGGCAAGACAACTGGGGAGGGGTGGGTGGAAACTGCACGGGACAACCTGGAATGGAATTATGGCAAATGGCAGAATAACAGTTTGCTATTACCTATTGTGAACAAACATTTATTAAAGTATTGAAGTTCAAATTCCTTTCATGTCTTTTAAGAATATGAGCATTTGTTAAAATATTATTTTTAAGACAAATTGGTCTTAAATTGATCATTTGATTAAAGGTAGCGTCCTCATTTGTAATTTGTGCATTTTGTTTGTTTGAAGCAAGTGCTCAAAATCTAAACAAGGGTGCTGAACAACTATCCTGATGAAGTATCAGCTCAGTGAACGCTGTGTATTCAGAGAAAACAATATTCCAGTTTTTCGATTTCAAATCAAAAGTTGCTGAGTCATATTTTGAATCGGGCCTGAATTCAGCATCCGAGACACGTTCTCACTGAGCCGATTGCAGCTACGCGATGTCGCGCACTGAACCGACGAATTATAGCAACTGCGGGCATGTGTGCGTCGTGTCAACACTTGGGCGCGCTACGCCGAAAAAAACGAACTACCAACGGAAATTATATGCATCGTCGGAGAGGCCTTTTTTCATTGATTTCTTAAAAATGACAGCATACTAGAAGAATAATTTCACTGGGAGTTTAGTCCAATTACCATATTTAAACCAAGTGTGCTTTTCAACAATAATTACGTCACTTACTTTTTGGATAGCTGCAAATGATGGACTGTACCTTTAACAATATAGGAATAACATGTTATACACAAACTCAAAAGATTAACATTTTCTGTGTAAAGATATGAATGGGACTTACTGTCATTACCAGCCGGCAATGCTGGAGGCAAACTGCAAGGATTCCTGGAGAGATAGTTCTGGCAAAAACAAGCAGTACAACAATAAGTAAAAGCACTGAGACTTATCTACACACTGCCTTCTTAAATGGCTTTGAGTTGCAAAGCTATAACTACATCTACATGCAGAATAAGGCAGACTGCATCAAACCCAGGATTTGTATTGTGGGAGGTCTCATCAGTATTCAAAACATTTTTTTTAGGGGGGGGGGTTAATCTCATCTCACGCAAAGGACACTGTGAATACGGACCATTAGAAATACATTGTTTGTGTAGTTGAATGACAGAATCACGGCTTGCTCATCTACCTTGAGGTTGAGATAGTCCAGCAATAGGTCTATAGCTGCATCCGTGACTTCATCTCCCAAGTAATCCAGGTAGTCACCGATGGTGCCATTGCCAGGTAGGGTGAAGGTGGCATTGGGGTTGCAGATCGGTATGGGTACATGAGCTGCCTGCAGCAGGTGGATTGGTCGACAGGTGCCATCTATGCACAGGGTTACTGACAGGTCAATAAGGAACTCCTTCTGCTCACTCAGCTTGTCAACATTGTATCTGAACATAAATAGTTGAAAAATATGTGATTCAGAATGTTCATGTAACTGTTCCATCTCAATCGCTTACAGATTGAACTGGCCATTCTTGCCCGAGCGTGCAAATGGTTTCGTACACACGTTCCATGACCAGTCTGAGACCCCCTCCCTCTTTTTTTCATAACAGTTTTTCAAAACAGTATTCCAGCAAAAAAAACTGTATTGTTCTTTTTAAAACCAGTTGAGGTCGAGTTTATTTTGACAAGAACGGACCGAGGCACGGGTTTAATATTCACTCGACCGAAATGCCAGGCGGGTTGAAGCCATTACCCTGGGGCTGCAGAGTCATATACCGGGCCTCGGTTGGTGGCTGTGGCTCGCTGACAGATAATTTCCGGCCTTTGTTTTTGCGGGTTTTTTAGTCATCCGATCTGACATTCGGAAAACTTTTGTGTGTATATACGGCCGTAAGGCGAACTGGTTAATAAAATTAAGTTACGCCACTGCTTAATTATAAAACAAGGTAAATCTCCACGAATGTTGATCATAAGTGACTAATATTATTGGTGTTTATGAATTCCCAATAAACTTAATGAAAATCAACCGAGTGTAACATCTAATTCTATTTAATGGAATTTCTTCCATCCATTTGAACACAGGAATCCAAGTGTGCATACTTACGCTATGTAGACAGAGTCACTGATATCCAGCACTTTATCCACTCCCCAGTCGTATTCAAAGAGGGTGAGATTCTTGGACCAGGACCCCAGCCCGACAGACAGCTGGAATTCACAGGGGTCTAGGAGGGCGTAAGCGGTGGTGGACAGCCGAGTGAAGACCAGGTCAAGCGAGGCGCAGCATGTCAGGCCCAGGCAGCGGTCATCCACTGTGCAGGTCAGGAAGTTGTTTGGAGGTGGCACTCTCAGAATTGGACATTCTGTTGTGGACAGTGGAAGAATTGGTTGCAGATTAACATTTCTGGTAAGGTATAATTCAGACGTGTAATCTTCAAGTCCAATTTATAACTCTCAGGGATATAAAGTGGACTACATTTTGCCTGAAATTTGAGGTATGAAGGGAATTTACTCGTTCATTATTAGTTTATTTCAACTAAAAATGCCCTCAGAGACGGCTACTGAATGTGGCGACTCTAGATCGTTCAACCTTGTAAAAAGTGTGGACATGGTCACAAAATAATAAAAATTATCACAGTTGCGGGTATCACAAAAGTTTAAAATGGGATTTGCTTTGGATATGTCCTGAAGAGAGTTGACAAATCTTTGCAATATAATAGACTCATTTCTGATTAAAAGGTAAAATGAATTGCAGTTTAAGAAAAATAACCTTTAAACATGTACAGTATGATTACATTGCCTCTTCCTCAATTCAATTTTCAGTGTTTCAAGTGTTGGTGCCATTACATGCAGAATGCTAGCAGGATAATCTTCAACTAGCTTATAGGAAGCATGCACAAACTCAATGCTTTGTTTGAGAGGGCTCTTATGTTCGTCATTGCTGCATTGACCCCTGTGAATTCCAGCTGTGGGTGGCTTGTGCGTAAAGCGCTCGCCTCTCACCAAGGTGACCACAGTTCAAATCCTGGCCGCGGATCACATGTGAGTAGAGTTGTGCGTTGGTTCTCTCCTGTGCCACGAGGGTTTTTCTCCGGGCCCTCCGGTTTTCCTCCCTCCGGAAAAATCAAACACTTTCGATCTCAGGCTGTGCTCCGTGGTCATACTTGGGTCGATGTGGCCGGCAGCCATAGGTGCCTTTACGTGCCAGCGGCCCGACCACGTTGTAGCCGCGTCCTTCGCAATTCAGCATACCAGCTGCGAGTAAGGATGATTAATAGCCTCCCAAATTATTATTATTATTATTATTATTATTATGCTACATAGTTACTCTGAACTTACTATTTTCACTCGGGGCAAGGACCTCCATATCACACTGCTGGTTACTCACATATTGCTGAAAGAAATAGTCAAAATATGGAGAATTAAAAACACTTTATTTTAAACATGCATCTGTTTGTGTGAACTACTGCACCAGTTAGTTATTTAATAGAAAATCCATCTACATATTGGAGAAAAGTTCAAAAAAAGCTGCCGCTAGTTATATTTTTCCCGAACTACATTGCTGGTTAATTCAACTAAGTAATTTTTTTCATGCTGCCAAATTTTGTCACATTTCAGAGACTACCACTGCACAACATTGTCTGCAAAAAGGACATTTTCACTTCATGAACAGAAGTGCCAGTGAACTTCCTTGCAACACTGACAATTTAGGAAAGCTTAATTCCCAGCAGCGTCGATTTGTTTTGTACTGGCATGTGAGTCATTCTAGGGCCCAAAGTGTGACATTTTTCTTGCCCTGTTACCTTGGTACTTTGTTATATGCCATCATTAAGAACTTTTTATTAATAAGGTAGGTAGTTTGCTATTCATAATCACTCTTCGAGGACGACCGCATTAAGGAGTGCATCAGAATTATAAAATCATATATGTCAGATGTAACAGGGACAGGAAAATAAGTGGACCCCAAATTTATAGAATGACCCATTTGCACAAAGTAGTAATTGAATTTAATATCAAAAAATAATACAGCATAATTTCTGTAAGCTACCTGGATTCCTAGTTTTCGGAGACCAGCCTGAATAGCCAACTCCCCGACGTTCCCGGCGAGCTCCCGGGCAAGACCTGCAAAGCTGCCATCCCCTGGCAGCTCAAAGGAAGCATTGAGATTACAGAATGGGATAGGTACCAGGGAATCCTGAAGGACTGGTGTGGTTGTACAGTCACTGTCGATGCAGATGGCGATGTCCAGAGAGATCTGGAAGGATTCCTGGGCATCTAACTTGTCGATGGTCAGACTGAAATGGCAGAAAAGAAGATTTCTTTACGTATATTGCACAATAGTGCATCAATATAATCTTATCAGATAGGAATTGGCAAGCCGACCTCAGCAAGTGCGTAAGTTGAGTGGTTAAGACATCAAGCGGGAAGGATGTTAATGGAGGAACAACGCAATCAAATGGTTTGTTTAACGTGACAAAAAATACTGACTTAAGAAAAAATCAAGGCATGCCGACAAAAACTTTGTTGTGTATAAAGTATTAGGAAAATACAGGTCTAAATACAGGTCTACATGTTTTGATGGTCCAATAAAATGCAATACAAAGTTTTATTAAATAAATAATGTATAACTAAAATTGTCTGGAACAAAATACTATGAATTAGCAAAGGACAAAGTATGAAGAATTGGCCAAAGCAACTATTGCCCAACTCTGGGACTGCAAACTGGCTTAGAAACAAATTTTAAAAGTTCAATATTAGTTTTCAATTTCAATTTAAAAATTTACTTTCAATTTAAATTTTAAATTAAAAAAATTAAAATTAGGTTTAATTCAAAAAGAATAATTCATTTCAAATGTGAAATCGGATTGCTAAATAAGATGTTTTGTCCCGTCATGAGAACAGCAACTTTTAATGGGCCTCTTAAATGGGAATACCACTTGCTTTGTGACTTGTTTTCAAAATTAATTACTCTTGTGTTATATGTTATATTTTTGTTAATATTCAAGGCTCAAAAAACAAAAGTTAATATGATGATTAGACACTCTGATCTTCACGAAAACTGTGAAGCTTAAATTTTGCTTTTAAATTTACACGACTATAGAAATTGATGATGAAGCTTATGGAGTATGAAAAAAATACCTCAGAGTGATAGGATCTCCAATGGTGATTTCTTCCAGCTGACCCCACTGATAGGACAAGATTTGCAGATTCAGTCTCCAGCTGCCTAAACTGACCGCCAGCTGATAGTTACAGGGATCAAAGATGAAGGAGACCTGGGTGCTGATGGGACTGATCCCTGGGATGGGAAGCTCCAGACAGCAATCGAACCCTAGACACTTCTCTGGAAGGGTGCAGATCAGGTTTTGGGGCAGGTGGGGAAGTCTGACATCTCTGGGACAAACTAGGGAGGGAAATGAAATATGCCGTCAATGTGAGACAATTTATATAGACAAATAAAAGCCTTCAAAAGGGTCTTACTGCAAAATCAGACGAAAGCAACATGCCTATCTGAAACAATGACGAGTAATTATCTATAACAAGAAATGAACGGAAGTTTTAAAGTAACAGAAAGTTCCATGGCAGGGAATTAGTCTCACTAATGAACTCACATGATCAGATCAGGGATAAACTCAGAACTCTAAAGAGGAAAACTGTACTGACTTACTTCTCTGCCAACCATTCTGAGTAACTTGTGGACGGACACATGGTTCACGGCTGATGTATTCCTGAAAAGAAATGAGAGTTGTATTATCTTAGTATTATTCAGAAAATGAAATTTATTCAGACTTTTTCCTTTTAATTTTGATCTTTTAATTTGTTCTACAAGGTCCTCAGTCATTAACATGCTTTTAAAAAAAAATCTGTATCAATAGATGGAAAATTGTTTTTACACAAACTGTTTTGACGTAATATGGTTTATTGGGTGCGTTCGATTAGCTCTGATGGACTTGGGTTAGCCCCGTGCCATTCAATAAGCTCTGACGTCATTCTCGGGGCTCACCAGGGTCAGCCACCACAGACCCTGCTTGTGGAGCAGAGTAAATGGTAGAAATATGTCGCACGCATGCATTGCTCATTCCAAGAATTGGACAAATATGGCGGCCAGTCAGTGGAAAGGTCGTGTGGACCCAAAAATCAACTTTATTTGAAGTGTTAACAAAATTATTATTGATCTCATTGCGACTTTAGAGGTTATAATTCCAGCCTGACAATCAATCATAAAGTAGACTCAGTACGAAAAGGGTGTTTTGTCAATGGCTATAGATCAGGCCTCAGCTATGGTTGCACGTGAAGATCGTCATGGCCTGTGTTTGAGCATTCGATTAGCACGGCTGTTGTGGCTAACGACAGTCAATCCAAGTGAGCTACTCGAACGCACCCTATATAATTCAGTACACTCAGTACAAGACTTACAGACAGTCCTAGATGCTCCAGAATTGCATCCACGGCAGATTCAGCAGCATTCTGGCCGACCATCTCCAAGAAACCCTTGATAGTTCCATCCCCTAATGAATAAAATTCATGCTTAAAATGATCTCCCCTTCAAACTTCATATCGGCACCGTTTTGACGAAGAGACAAATCTGCGCACACATCTGCAAGACCAAGTTCTGAAAAAAATCGCATCTGAAGTTGGTCCATTTTGCAAATTGCGTTTTTGTATACATTTCTCCTCCAAAATTGAAATACATAACTGATGCGATAGCCCAGTAGTTAAATCGCTCAAAAACATGTGTTTCATAAAATCATGTTTAATTAGCAGACATTAATTACTATTCCACACTGCGTCAAACGAAAATTCTACTTCATCATGCGTAATAATTGTACCATATGTTTATACACAGAGCTCGCTTATGTAAAATGATATTTAATAATACAGATTCGTCACTTAGTCGAACGCAAATAGTATAGGCTACATAAATCTAAATATAGCACACATGTAAAATCAATGAGAATCGGTGACAAATAGAGATTCGTCACTTTGTCAAAACTGAGAGTGTCAGATTATTTACTTTGAATAATTAGCATACTTAACGAACCATGCAATTGCGTGTCTTGAAATTTGGTAATCATGTACAGGCTGTCACGGAATGTTAGAATATCCAAAAATGGACAGATCTATCCATCACTTAATAAAAACAGTGACAATATGATGGTCAAAAAAGTTCACATGAATCGTACAGTTCAGAGGTCAAGACGAACTTTTATTAGGTATTGACCCTAACCCTACAAACCTGCAAAATATATTGATTCAAAAATACTCAAGATATAGGACCACACAAAAAATTCTAAACGATGTCAGTTTTCAACAAAGTACTGCTGAAATACGAGGAACCTGTGGAAATAAACTCACCAGGAAGTGAGAATGTAGCGTTCTCGTTGCAGAGTGGTATCGGCACTCTGGTCTTCTTGAGGATGTCAATAGAGGGCGAGTCACAGTCTGAGTCTGGCAGGCACAGGGACAGTGCTAGGTCCAATACAAACACCTTGTCCTCAGTCAGCTTGTCAATGGTGTAGATCAGGGTCAAGGCTTTGCCAATCTTCAACTCTTCCTGGGTACCTGGGTTCAATTTAAAAAAAAATGTTCAGATTGACATGATTTGCATGGTAAAACATCTGGCTCAATCTGGTAGGAATTTTGAGAAGACAAGCTATATTCAAAGTTATATTGGATTGTATGCGTTTATCCCAGAAGTAACCAACCAATTTATTGTCAAAAGCTTATTTGGATTAAAGATGATACCGATACTAAACACCCCGTGAAATTATTCGCTGCTGTCATTTAGAAGAAATCAAGGAATGTCGGTGATTTTCAACAATCAGTCAATGGACTGATTTTTGGAAATAAAGAGTGCTATATATGGATGAAATTATGTTTCGTGATCAAAAGGTTATGCATGTTTTTTTCACTGTTGTCTTCAAATGTGTAATATCTACTGAGCTGCAACTTCAATAGGTTAGGATTTGAACATTCTTGTTTGGATTTTGAGAGGTGTTATTATTAGAAACAAACAAAATGCATGAAAAGCTAATGATCTTTAACTGTAAAATGCTCTGAATTCTGGGACCGGTACTTTCCTCTCGGTCAACAAGAGTCAACAATTTTTAATTGTGTTAACAGCTGAAGAAACACACAATCTGCATGGATAAAAATCTCCACGGTAAGAGAACTGTCATCGTTTTCACAAAGGGACGTAAACATCGTACTTAAACATTCTGACATACTTCTGTAAGCAAAATACCATTAATTTCTAAATTACATTAATGATGCCAGCGGCAGGCATCTCTATAATTGCATTTTGCATTTTCACAAAAAGACGCGACCATGCCTGTTCCTTGAACACGTGCAAAATGTATCGCACGGAAAGGCGTAAGCCTAAAAAAAGGTCAACCGAGATTTTCATTTTCAGGGAAGGACATCTTTGATATATCCCTTCCCTATGGAAAAACACATTGAACAGAAGGGCGTAAATGTAGGAAAACTGGTATTTTCATTTTCATGAAGGGACACACATCTTTACTAATTAATTTTGGCCCATTAACCACTGTGGTAATTCTAATTACTGGGTTCACATAAAATTTAACCTTTTAAAGAATCATGTGCAGGTTTCTCCTTATTACATAAACTAGTTGCAAAGTAGTAGTTTTTGCAGTTTTAAAATAGGAGGAAAATTCTCTTGTGACTATTTCGAAAACATTTTTTCCTTCAAAATCCACATGCCCGTCCCTTCATGAAAACGGTGGCGAATTGATCAGCAAAATGAAATGCACTCACCCCAGTGGTAGTCAAATATGGTGAACGTCAAGGACCACATTCCCAACCCAAAGGACAGCGTGAATTCGCAGGGATCTAGAATTAGCCACATGTTGACTGACAAGACAGTGATTTCAAGATCCAGTTCAGTGCAGCATCGCACACCAAGGCAGCGATGTGCAAACTCACACGTCACTCCACTGGGCAGTGATGGCAGGCTGACATCAGTGCATACTGGGTGAAAATTCAAACATTGGAACGAAGAAATAGTTGTAAGAAACAAGTCAGAGTAGGCAGTGTGTACTGCTGTGCTGAATATACCAAATATTTGAATTTTCGATCATCAGCAAAATTATCCCGATGGGACTGTTTTCAGATTCAAATATTTAAAAAAAAGGTTAGTGGCCAGGAAGAGATGATGAAAACCCCCACTTTGTTCTTTTAATCAGATCAGTAACGTGGGTTTTTTGTGTGTGCAATATTATCATCATTTCATTGGGAAAAAAAGTAGCTTAACGCTAAATGGCCCAGTTCAAACAACTGGGCCATTGTTTGAACATGGTTTGAACATGTCTAGATCTGGAGGCTGAACTTTACTGTGATAAGGATTCTACTGCAACTGCTGCAATTCTCTTGCTCATTGAAGTATAGGCGTAGCCAGCGGTGGGGGGGGGGGGGGGTGTTAATAATTTGTAAAGGTGGGGCGGGAGGGGGGGCGGGAGGGGGGGCGGGAGGGGGGGGGGTGTAAGGGGGTATTTACCCCCCCCCCCAATATTTTTTATAGACTGCCTTTTTCCAATTCAAATGCCCTTTTTTTCAACAGGCTTAACCCCCCCCAATAATTTGTAAAGAGTGGCCTGTTTTTACGAAGTGCCCTTTTTTTCTGAACAAGTTCCCATTTAAAAGAAGAATTGGAGCCCTTTTTTGTGGCATCTGCTGTTTTGGGTGTCTTTTTCTGAATTTTGCACATGTATCGCCGTGAAAAGCACCATATATTGGCCCTTTGTGTGCATAATCGTCGGTGTTGAACAGCGCCCCCATTGACAGATTGTACCAGCCCCCCCCCCCCCCCCCCAATGCTTTTTGATTTTACGGAGGCCAAGTGTCCGGAGAAAAAAAACTGTCTACATTTCACCACAGATGTGCAAGTGCCCTTTTCAATTTTTTTTTTATCCCCACCTCCCAATAAAAATGACCGTGCTACGCCACTGTGGAGTGTACTACCTATGTGACCTGGAATCCCGAATGACCTATTTGCAGCTCCTTGGAACACCCCAAAACGGGTGTAATTCCGGGGAAGGGGGGGGGGGGAAATGCCCCCCTCCCCATAAAAAGTTTGCGCCATCCCCCCCAATTGACCCCCCCCCACTGAAAATTTGACATTCGGAGAAAAGCACAGCCATATGAGTTACCATGATTAGCTGGAAGAACATAAATTCCCCTTTTCCACGATTTTTTGCATACTTTTTTCCAAAACTTTTTTTTTTTTCGTGAGTGGCTGTTTATTGTAACGTCCCTAGAAAATTATTGACTAATGTATCCATGATAATCCAGTAGAAATTTTCTGAACCTAGAAATGTTCTTTCCTATGAACTTTTGTTGTTGATTTGCATTCCCATGGGGTCCTAGAACAAATTCAGCTTGGTTGCCCAAATGGTACGTTTGGGCAACTCTGCTAATTTGCATAAATTCAAAATGGCCGCCGGACGCCATCTTGGAAATTTATCTTTTGAACCACTTGTCCTAGAATGATGTATAATATATCCATTAAGGGGTTTTGTGATGTGTAGAATCCATTTCTGGGGTTATTTTTTTAATTCAAGGTCAAGTTCAGGTGATAATGGCCAGTTCAAGGTCGAATTTGACCTCTTGGTGGACAATGAAAAAAAAATCAACTAAAACTTACACTTTAATAGTTAATGATGCCAAAAATAGATAATCAAACAATATCAGCCCCAATTACCCGTAAAAAATGGTGAGAACTCAAATTTGTGTTATTTTTTTCCATTTCAAGGTCAAGGTCAAGGCTAACTGTCACATTTGTTTTAGATGTTTTGGCACATAAAGGACCCTATACATTGGAGTAAATCTTTGCCGGTGAGTGGGGGAAATTCGACAGGCAGGCTGGAGGGGGGGGGGGGGGGGGGGCTGGACACCACATTACACTAGGGGGCGCCCTTCAAAATATAGATGTAACAATATATTAACATGTATACTCACGCTTACGGTACATCAAAACTGCGCATTTTTAAAGCTTTTTTGCTTTTAGTTAAACACATTGGGTTTGTTGGGATGTTCGAAAAATACCTCAAGATCCGCATTTTGATTTCCTCATCACGAAAAAGAGGGGTGGGGGTTGATTCCATAGCCCATCCCCTCTGGTATACAAGTTGGGGATACATGTATATACAATGTACCTCCCATTCCCCTCCCAGGATTTTCGCCCCTGACCCTATTTTTCTATTCTTTTCTTTTTCTTTAGGATTTGAGATGGCTAATGCAGCACTTGATGATGGGAAGTGCCTCCTCTCAACTTGCAGCAGGTCTGGACCCCTCAAAACATTCAAGCTACAAGCCGTGAAGAAAGTGATTGAGTGCGCAATAGAGCGATATGACCACGAGTCTCTTAGCAGAATGCAGACTATTTTGGACTCTCAAGGAGATCAAGCATCGGTGGAACTTCATAAAAACTGTTATTGTTCATTCACCTCAAAGGATCATATCAAAAAACTTGTGGCAAAGAAGAGGAAGGATGGTTCAGTTGATATTGATGAGCCACCAGTTGCCAGAATAAGAAGGTCACAAGTAATAGAGTTTGATTTCAAGAAATAATGCTTGTTTTGTGGTAAAGCTTGTGAAACTGTAAACCAGTGATGTAGTGCCTTGATGCTGGGCCTTGGCCTTAAGGCTGCCTTAAGGCTGGATTTTAGGGCCTTGGCCTGGGCCTCGAGGCTTGAGGGCAAAAGCCTTGGCCTTGGCCTTGGCCTTGAGGGTTCAGGGCCTTGCAATTTTGAGTCAAGGCTCTTCAAGGCCCATAGATTTTTACATTTTCCAGATAAATCTGTTCGTAATTTTGCTGTTACCATTTTAATTGTATTACCATGGAGGAGGGAAGCACCCTGTAGATTTGTGTGTTTGGCACACTTCCACTTTTGTAGCATCACATTTTGTTACCATTGTAGTAGATTTGCTGCAAAAATATTCCGTACACTTGTGGGGCTAATAAGATGATCACTTTAATTGCACATAACTATGGAATAGATCTGATTGGTTGTATATGTCTCCCTGATAAGTGCTAAAGATTTGCATGTATCTGTTTTAGATAATGCTGACATTTCTGACCATGTTGGGCCAGCAAATAAAAAATTCCCAAATCAGTTTCTTGGATCCCCTTTTGTTACACTTGGGAGAATTGTGTGTCAATATAGAAGTAAATCATTATTTTGTTTAATTAAACCATATTGAAGACCTGAACTTATACTTTAATAGATACAGTGCAGTCATAAAATGGCGTAGGCCTATGTGAGCATGTTGATTGCAATTAAAGAAATGTTGTTCGTCGTAACGAGCACTTCGTGATGATAAGGGCGGATCCAGGGGGGCCAAAAGGGGCCATGCCCCCCCCCCAAAAAAAACGAAACCGTTTTTTTTTTTATGTGACGTCGTAATAAAGGCAGGCAATGAGTACACCACCATCTTTTCCTCAAAAAACATCGGTTAAAATGGTCAGAAATTGCCTCAAATCGCACCACAGAGCATCTTGAATCCAACATTTTTTCGGGGCCCTTAAGCGGGCCCCGAAGCCCAAGCCGTCATTTTTTGACCCACTTTTTTTGGGGGGACCACAATTTCTTTGCCCCCCCCCCCCAAATTGTGTTCTGGATCCGCCCTTGCGTGATGATGTGTCATTCATGTGACTATAATTAGTTCTATATCAGTGGTCATTTCATAAAACAGGGCCTTGGCATTGGCCTTGGCCTTGAGGGTTAAGCCTTGGCCTTGGCCTCGAGGCTTGAGGGTCAAAGCCTTGGCCTTGGCCTTGGCCTTGAGGGTCAAAGCCTTGGCCTTGGCCTTGGCCTTGAGGGTCAAAGCCTTTGCTCCAACACTGCTGTAAACCCTAAACATCCTGAAAGGTGGGAAAGGGTAGTACAGTGCGAAAGAAAAGGTGTCAAAGATGCTCCACCTTTCAAAGCTGTTGTATTGCAATATTGTAATGACCGTAATGATGTGTGGAGTAGGGAAGTTGCTTTGCGTTGTCATGGTGTACATGATTTATCTGCCGCTGAGGCACAATATCATGTACGCTGTTATGACGAATTTAGGAAAATGCCCGTTTATTCTGAACAGACCCCCACACTGGATGATAAAGCATTGCAATTGCTTGTTGATGAGATGTATATTAATCGAAAGATATATACTTGGACATCCATTGAACTACACGATAAGTATGTGAGTTATGGTGGTCAGTTGACACGAAAGCAAATGTTTACTAAGCTGGTTACGCACTTGGGTGATGATGTTGTAGTACTTTGCATTGAAGGTTGTGCATCCATTGTTGGATTCCGTGAGTATGTTGGTAGAATTTTTAAGGTTTCCAAAGTAGACACTGTGGATGAGGAGAAAGAGGATGCCTTGGTAAGAAAGATCACAACGGAGGCACGTGGTATTCCAGTCAACAACAAAAACTATGATCTTGGTGATTTCACTCATGCCAAGACAAAACAACAAACTAGTACTACACTGCTTAGGTTTATCTCCAAGCTAATATCAAACAGTGAAGTCACAAAAACATCACTGAGTCTTTCGCAATCCATACAATATCAAATTACCAAAACACGTAACCAAACAACACTTGGGTTGGGTGTCAAACTACACCACAAGTTTGGTAGCAGATATCTCATTGACATCTTAAATGAACATGGATGCACTGTGTCTTATGATGAGGTGCTGCGGTTCCGCAAGTCGGCGGCCAAGTATGTAAGTGACAATTCTGCAACGTTGCATGGAATGATGGGGCTTAGTCGGACAGTCGGACTCGTATTTGGCTGGTATGACAACTTCGACTTGCTGGTGTCAACTCCAAATGGTCGACGTGAGACACACGCCATGGCAACAGAATTTCAGATGCACCCAGCTGGGATTATCGAGACTGGCAGCACTCAGCCTGGTGTCAGTACTCTCATCATTCCTCGCCTCACGACCAAGCAGTCTAAGTCTGTGGGCAATAACAGGGC